AATAACTGCACTTGACTCCCCCAAGTTTCAGTTTCTCGTCTCTGCCCTCAGACTCGCACCCCATCCGAACCGTCGCCGTCTCGCGTGCCCATCGGGAATACCAAGGTATTTCAAAAGGGGGAAACCGCCGTATGTAAAAGGACGGAAGGAAAAAGGAGAAGAGATAATCAGAGCATCGGGCCTCAGCAGGAAGAGAAGCCGGATCGTCATCCTTCGAGCCGAACTCGCGCAACCTCAGCAGGCCTATGGAGGGAACGGCCTGAACGACCTGAACGACCAACACTTCATCCTCTCTCCCCTCTGCGAGGGCAAGGAAAAGACCAGAAAACGGATATAAAAACAGAAAAAAATTAGAACGACAACTGTAGGCCCGTTTCCCTTCCCCTGGAGCGGGCGCCGAGGCTTGTCATGGCCCTCGATACAAATGCCATCGACTCCTCGACTGTCCCGCCAACAAGACACCGGTCTATCCTGTCGAAACTGACCAGCCGCTTTGGAAACCGCAATCGCAACATTTCGGAGTTCTACGTGCAGCCAGATGATCCGTGGAAGTCGTACCACCCTGGGGAGATCGTCAAGGGCGCGGTAGTGTTGACCGTGGTGAAGCCTGTCCGGATAACGCATCTGGTTGTCTGTCTACATGGTTACGCGAAGGTCTTCAAGAACACGGTTGGCCCTGGTGAGCATGCAGAGGAGTCGGGCTACCTGGGGCCGGGACGTGGGCGCAGAGACGGCGAATATCTGGGCAACGGCTTCACCTCGCTGTTCGAGGACGAGGTGGTCCTGTGCGGCGATGGAAGGCTGAAGGAGGGCATCTACAAGTTTCGGTTCGAGCTCTGCTTCCCTCCATATTCATTGCCCAGCAGTATCAACGTCTGTCTTGACCAATTCCCCCTCCTTCCCTTATTTTGCTTACAGTGTCGGTTTCTAATGGTGTTTTGTAGTTCGAGCGCGGAACAATATCGTACATGATCACATCAACTCTCACACGACCGACGACCATTACCCCTTCAATGTCCTGCGATAAACGACTTATCCTCATTGAGAGAATCGACATTGCTCCCCTACCTGCTCCCAAAGCTCGTGTTATAACTCTTGAACCCATATCCGCAAGGTCGAAGTCCAAACCAAGAAAGAAATCTACTTCTGGTGAACGAGGGTTCAATGGTGCTGCAGGCCCGGCATCTCTTGAGCCATCGTCTTCGCAAACGTCTGAGCCAAAGCCCCCGTTGAGTCCCGTACCGAGTGAACAGAGCACTTCAAGCTACCTTAGCAATAGCACACAGAGCTTCCAGATTATCAGCGAGTCAAATACCGCCAGAGATTCAGATACCATAGCAGCCACGACCAAGCTTCTCCGCGGCGGAGGCTTGCCGGGCGATGTCCTGCCACTCAGAATTATGATCAACCATACCAAGCCAATTCGAAGCCCTCATGGGATTATTGTCACGCTGTATCGTCAGGGAAGGATTGACATGTACCCTGCTATTCCCATCGGTACTCCAGCCAAGGGTAAAAGGCCGGTTTACGAAGACTACTATCCTAAATCACGAACAGGGTTGGGAGGTCTCTCCTTTGGCGCGACTAGGACTTGCAGTGTCTTTCGAAAGGACATGTCACAGATATTCTGTCCGCTGATAGTAGACCCCAATACCATGACCGCAGATATAAAGACCTCAATTCGAATTCCTGAGGACTGCTTTCCTACGATAACGCGCGTCCCCGGCGCAATGATCAGTTTTCGCTACTATGTTGAAGTGGTTATGGATATCCGGGGAAAGCTGGCTGGCCAGGACCGCTTCCTCCCACGGTTAAATATAATGAACTCATCCTCCAATAGTTACAATCATTGCGCTGCCCCCCGTGGGTTTAACACGGTGGAGACATCGAGAGGAGGGACGTCTACCACTTCCAGCTGTACGGGGAACATACTGGACACCGACCAAGTGCGAAGGGACAAGAGTGTCATTGTCTGCGTCTTCGAGGTTGTCGTTGGGTCAAAGGATAGCGGTAGAGGCCAGCAGCAGCAGCAGCAGCAGCAGACGTCCAGCGATGAAAGCGTTCGTCAAGACTACCCGGCTTCAAATATAGATCAACATACTCAGCCGACTACCCCGGAAACCGTTCGCGAGCAACAGCAGCAATATCAAACACCACAATTCACTCTGCAGACAGGTCTCAAGGCAACCGGGATTTGGATAATGGTTATGGCGCTGGATCTGGAGACCGGGAGCCATGGCATGCCCGGCCTCCCGACCAGTACGTTATAGACCCTCCGCTGGCTCAACCGCAAGAAGACATTGATGAGAAAACGCGGCTACGCCGAGCTGAGGCGATGCTCCTACCCAGTGCGCCACCAGCATCTGATGAAGCTGGCCCGTCGAACTCTACACTTGCTCTAGCTTCGGCACCGGCCCTCTCAGAGCACCGCGACCTCTCGTATTTCGAGACCCCTACTCCTACCTACTCTGCCTCTGTTTATATGCACTCTCACCCTCCTTCCGCCCCTTCACCCGATACAATCACCCCTTACTCTGCCCACGAATCATGTTCCGCCCTTCAACACCCTGGCGCGTATCTTCTGTCTGAGAGCGCTGCTGAAAGCTCGTCTCGCCCCAACTACCACCAACCCCACTCAACCTCCGTCCCTTCAGATGATAAGCAAGAGCTAGAAAAGCAACGGCTCCTCAACGAGAGAAGCGCTCCGCCGGACTCGGACGCACCAGAGTCAGCCACCGGTGGGCCCGGCCAGGCCACCGCTCCGGCTTCTGAAAACGGCGATATCCGCCATCAACCCCTACCCTCTGCCCCTGTCCTTACAGAAGACGACATCATAGGACAATCAATAGCAACAGGGGAATCCCTTCCCAGATACCAACGATAGACGGAGAATGTGGCTATGCAATGACCAGGACTGGACGGCGTTCAACATACGGAGTTCTACTTTGTTTTCCTATACACGGAGTTCATTTCCTTTCCTTCGCACCTTGTCGTTTTCTACCATTCCATTCTTCTAGCCGTACTTACTTTTAAACTTTTCTGAGGCATCGACCGGTGCATTTCATTCCTCGATAATACCACGAATATCTCAACGGCAGCTACTGTTAACTCAATGACTAGCCCAGCAATAGCTTATAGTATTATATTATATAGCATGCATCCTTACCCACCACCACCTAGGGGGTTCCACAAACGGTGTCATTTTTGCTCTCCGGTTATTTTATCAATCCAAATAATATAACTCTTTACCAGCATCCGAAGAACTTGCATGATCGATAAAACTAGCATCTCAGACATGCTACAGGGAGGGGACTGGATATCCCGCTCCATGTGAAAAGGGGTGATCTTGCTGACGCCCGGGCTCCTTTTCATCGCGTTGAGATCGCAACCGATCCTTGAATGGACCCTAGCCAACGGCCAAATCCGCTTGCTGCAATCAAGGGTTGACTAATGGATAAGAATGTGTCATGCAATGCATCTCCCTTACCAAGCATCATGTGTTTCATGGGGTTTGGCATCCATGATGGCGAGCAATCCCGGCACAGCGTCTCGTCCGCTAGCCAGGACTTAAGTCTGCTGATGGAGAGACAGGCGGCTTCGGGGTGCTGCAAGAGAAGCAGTTTCCAGGAATTATGCTGATACACAGTTATTCCAATACATTACTCTACGTCTATTCGCCACGTTCTCTCCTTCAGTATATACCTTGTGTGCTACGGTTTTGTTTTAGCTGGTTCCGCCTCTACGCAGTTCGATACCCCCAGGACCAGCAATAATAGCAAAAGGCTCCCTTCCGCTGGGCTTGATACAGCGTTCTAGCCAAGCTGTCGCTTTCCTCGTCGTTTCTACCGATATATGCCTGCTTATTCAGACCCAAGATTAACGATTTGGCACGATTGTGGGCCTGGTGTTGCCGTGAATGTGGAATCCTTACCAATGGTACGGCTGAGCAGGTTCCGATATTACGGACTTGGTTGCCCTTGACATGAGGCCAATATGCGTCATCAAAAGACCATGGGTGATGTTTCTTAATGTACCCTCGTTATCATGACCGTCAGAAGCACGTCATGGTCTAGTTGAGACAGATATTGAGGGGACGTTCAGCCTGCACATAACTATGTTGGGTACCTACCCCCCAGCATGGCCTTATATTCTCTCCAGCTTTAAGCTCAATGCAGCTTTCCTCTGATACCCACCTTACATCATATGTTTACCGACCCTTTTTACTTGGCTGGCCGTCGCATAAAGTACAGAAACTTCAATAAATGCAACAGAGCCGAATCCACCATGCATGATTCGATTCCATCAGAATTTTCAACGTAGGGAAGGAAACTTCTGACGATTGGAAGGGAGATGGTGAAGCTGAGTACTTTGGTCCCCTTGGTTTACACCACCACATATCAGCGCAGTATTCAAGGCATATACCCTGCTTTTTGGCTGTTTTATCCCAATACATAGCCATTGATGTGCTAATGGAAGCTGCAGCCTGCGGATAAAGAGATCTCTACGAGGGCAGCGTCTCTTTCTCGCCTATGGTGGCTTAGACTCGCTTCAAAACGGATTCGCGCGCGCTACAATGATTAGCAGAAGAAATGCACTTAAAATGGGTCTCTGTACGTTTTGCAGTTTTACACAGGGGGGAAAGGAGACTGTATCAATTCTTTAGTGAAGTTGTTGATATCGCGTCCTTGAAATCGTTATCGATACCCTAATTATTTGAAAAACGATGGCATTGCCAAATTATACATGGCAGCATACCAGTCAAGAGCTATATAACCCCTTGTTTTGCAGTTCAATTCTCATGCTGTCTGCCTCGTGGCCTTCCATATTGAATGGCCTTTTGGACCTCCTGGATATCTCCTTCCCTGGGCGCCACATCAATGATAGCTTGCAACAGTTTCTCACGGCTGAAGATAAAAAGTTCGTTGCACCAAGTACAGGGCTGTATTGAACGAACGTTCTTGACCGAATTTGCCTCTTGAATCCAAAAGCAGTTCTTTAACGGTATGACAACCCATTTTTTCTAGTATATGGATGTTCTGGGCTTCTAGCCGTTTCCAAAGCCGACAATCTTCTCCAATACTCTCTTACCGAATACATCTATAAGTATCTAAATATGTAAGTTTTGCTTGGTTATATTGAAGGATATTTGATTTTCTTTTTGCTAATAGGTCAATTTAGTCACCTATTTTACCCTGTGGCTCTGACCAAAACTCTTGGTCCAAATAACGAAACTTGAGGAATCGGCTAGGAATCTGCGGATGGAGAGCCCAAGGCCACTCGAATGCTCATCGGTGGAAGATTTTTTATCCCCCGCTTATTCGCAGCCATTTGAATCGACAAACACCACCAATGCGTCCTTTGGCGAAGTCTTAATGACCAAATTAGGTAAAACACGTTGGTATGTCTCTAGAAGTGTTCATTTGAGCATGGATACACCCTGCAATCTGCCACTTGAACTGAACAATGTCAGAACCCGAACCCCATGTTTATAGATGCGGAGAAAAAAATCCAATGCTCTCTAGGCTAGTATCTTCTAGAACACAGATATTCTAGACTGTCTTATCAATCACAGTGTTGTTGAGGACGCATACAAGAACTATCTCTGATTTTGCGCGGATGGCTGCCGGGTTCACAATTCAGCCTCGAAGAAAGGGCTTTCAAGGGGGATAACTGTATCGTCTACCGTCTTAGTGTTGAACGAACCCTAGATCGTGATCTGTGGATAGTCTTGCTAATTCTTGAATGCCAAGTTAGCTGTGCCTTTAAAATCAATTATTTATTTTGCTACATTGTATACCTCTAACCAAAAATCGTTGATTAGAGAATAGCATGATAGTAGCTGAGCAAATATAGGTATTGTTTTTAACCATATTTAAAGGCTAAATGGGATGGATCATTGTGGTATTCCAGTCAATTGTAAACTCAGCCACGCCACTACCAAGACACAAAATGGTCAAACAATGTGTTTGTAATAGGTTTAGGATACCTAGTGCCTTTAACGTATCTAGTTGTCCAGTAAATACGTTGAGGGGGCAAAAGCTAATGTTAAGTATATATACCATTGCCATATGAACGTCGCAGTTGGCAGCCGAAATATAGTCAACGTCCATAATTGACTGGGCATCAGGGCGAAGGTTAAGCCCGGGTCCCTCCTAAGCCTAGATCTCACTCGGGACTATAGAGCCACGATAATGGAACCGCCAACTTCAAGGTAGAATATACACATAATAGGGGTAATCGCCTAATGTAAGAGGTGGTTCGTGCGCACCGACTATCCGAATAGCCCCTCCAAATGTTGGGGCTGATATTTCTTACTCTTGGATTTGTACCATATTGCCAGTTCCTCTGTGCTTGAAACACGGTCACCGTCTCCTAAAGTTTTAAGGTAGTGTGTCAATTGTGGTCCATAGCGGGTTGAGAGGATAACCACTACCTTGCATCGAAGATGTAGTTGCAATTCATACATTCTGGCCGGAAAAAAAAAAAAAAAAGGGAGGGTGGCAGCCATAGAATAGCAGGCATAGCAACGTTTCCTTTGCGGCTGGGGCTTTGCAGCTGCAGGGGTAGTTAATAGGCCACTGTATGTTGCCATACTCGGATACCCTCAAGCTGAGAAGAGCTTGAATCAGACACCGTAAAAAACCTAGTTTGGTTTTGAACTAGCTCCCCGTAAAACTGAAAGCAAGGAACTTACTCGGAAGATACGGGCCTGGCAAAATTCAAGTGCTTGCTTAGATGGAGAGAGCATACCCAGACATATATAGAGTTCTTGTAGAGAGAATCGGTCAGCTCGTGATATGTTGGAGCTTGAGCTCAGGCAGATCAGATTGCTGATCCATCATATTATTAGTTAACCCCTAAAAGAGTAAGGTTTGGCTAACTGATCCCCAGGCTGTGCTGAACCTTTCCTTGTACCCCTCTCCCACAGGTGTGATGTTGTGATCCTTCATGCAAGTGCAAGGAAGCTGATGTTAGTCCAGCCAATCGGGAAACGCAAGCAAAGAAGGTCGGCTGGCCGCTCCTGCAGCGGGGTTTGATGGTTTAAATCAGAGCTCTTATTTAAGTCGTCCAGAGCTCCCCATCATTGCAATGATATTGTGAATATCTTTGAGCGCCAAGGATGTTTTTTTGTCCACCATGGCGGCGGGCTTTGGCTTTTCAGTCGGTGACTTTATTGCTTGTACCAAGGTAGCTAAATCAGTATATCTAGCGTTCCGTGAAGGCACAGGGGCAAGTTCAACTTATCAGCGGGTTGTGGCAGATCTGAATGGCCTGTTATGCGGGTTAGAGGAGATACGCTGTCTAGAGTTCGATGAATCACAAAAACACCAAAAGCTAGCTCTACAAGAAGCTGCAGACCAGTGTCAACAAACAATTGAAACTTTCCTTTTACAACACGCCAAATTCAAGGCATCACTTGGAAAAGAACACACAGCCTCTAAGTTCAAGACACGTTTTCACAAAGTAGAGTGGGCGTTGTTTATGAAATCCGAGGTCGATAACCTGCGGACCCAGATACTTGGTCACACGACGACCATAAATACCCTCTTGATAACAATGCAATCGTGAGTATTTCCAGCGCAACTGGGTGTTATTTCCTTTTCAATGTTGACGTGAGGCTGTAGATCCACAGCAGCTCTACAAATAAGCAACATCAAGGATTATAGCCAGGCTACATTGGAACAGTCAGCCTTGCTTATGAAGGAAACGCAGAATCGTATAGGCCAGACTCACAACATGCTCGGGACACAAGCAGACACGCTTAGCAGAATACTGAATATTCTGGAAGTTCCGAACACACAACCAAACATACGGGATGTGCGATTGGTCATGATGGAAGCCTTCGACATGAACATGAAGGTGTATAGGATGGCACTTGATTTACAAAAGTCCCAAGCCCAGCCACATGTTGACTATGAAGCGCCTGCTTTACCACCACAAATAGAACGACAGCGCCCCGTGGAGCTGGAAGACGCACATGGGAGAGTGACGCCTTTCCACGTCGAGTTCATCAACTCCTTCGAGGCTTTGCAAGCAGTATTGGAAGCTCGATTCCGCAATGTTCCCGGATGGAAGAAGGTAAAGAATATGGAATATGTTATGAAGGAATCCAACTCAAAGCGCCAGCTAAATTTCAAAGCACCATGGGAGTCGGTCTTTTTACCTGGTAGGAGCGTGACCATGAGTATGGTGTTTTGGATGCCGCCTCCATCCGGGTTGAGGTGTCTGGGTTGTCAACTGGAAAGCCAAGAGAGCGCAACGGGATACGAAGTTCAGTGGTAAGAAAAACAATTCATCCGTTTGACTTCTTCCCTCTATTTGATGGGGTCTGACTTCATATTCTCATCACAGCCAGGGACCCAATTGTAAGCTGTGGTATGAACGCGTAGTGGACCTGGAAAAGCCGGCCTGGAATACATCTTCCAGGCCTTTTGACATATACCCTCCACGACCGGAGCCAATATGGCCTCCGAAAACTGAAGATGCAATTCACGACTTCCGGCGTGTACAAGTGCGGCATACAATCGCCTTCTAGTCTTGAGATTCAATCTCCATGTTATATATAGCAAGATCGGACTATTAATGCCCATCAAATGCATTTATGACTCCCCATGAATCACTAAACAAACCCACCCTCGAAATCTCGAGGGTTGAAGACGGGAGGTCAGCATTACCTGTTTCGGAATTGAAAAGAAATACGGATAATTTTCACCCGTAACTCCGCTATTGGCCAGATCTCCGCATTTCCCTGCCAATAGGAAGCCGCATTTCTTTAATTACATAATCCTGGGGTAAAAGCAGCCCGATTCCAAGCCTTTTTAAGAGAGAAGGCTAAGGAGAAGAAGAGAACAACATCGCCTTCGTGTTTTCTGCAAGGATTTTTCCTTTGTCCTTCTTTTCGATCACTTGAAGGCACGTCTATTTGCAATCCGGACTCTAGGGGTAAGTTTTCCTGTGGTAAGAAGTGGCTCTTTTGATAGACGATCGCGTTTGCCCATTCATGTGCTATGGAAGAAATTGATCAGTGACATTTGCGCGAAAAAGGACCACAGCAACTAATTTGAGATGGCTTCACTAGACAGATTGAATCAACAGTCGAAGATCATTCGCCAACACTGTGTATCTTCTTAACTATCGGCATATTTTTGATTAAGAACCATCCTCCGCGACCATGGCTCTCAGCGGTTCCTTCGCCGCGTTCCTTATCGTCTGCCGTAAGTTTGGGCCATAAACTCAGCCCGGCCAGCCAAAGAAAGGATTGCGCTGATCAAGCATTAACTCTTTGCCTATCTATATAGCAACCTGTTTCTTTCTTGGGATAATCTTCTCCCTCTTTCCCTACGACTATCCGTTGCTATGGTCCACGGCGCCAACCCCACCATCCCACTACGACTATCTCGAGGCTCATTTGCGCTTCCTCCATAGCTCTCCGCCATTGATTCCACGCATTCTTCATATTGTCATTGCAGTTGGACTTCTCGGTTTGATGATGAAGCTTTACAAACCAACCGAATCCAACATGCTCTTTGATGGCGCCAGTTTGGTTCTTTACATGTGCGGTATTACTGTCTACATTGCCAACATAGTCAAGGGACTCCGTATTGTTACAGAGGGTGACTACGGAGCGTCAGCTGCTGCGGACGCTGCTGCTGCCGCTGCCGCCGCAGCAGCTTCAGGTGAGAGTGAAGATGATGTTGGTAGTGTCCAGCAAGTACTTGGTCGAGAGGATAGCATGAAAGTCCTAGCAGCAAGTAACACCATTTTGGCATTGGTTTTGATTGGTGTTTTGGTGCTCCAGGCAGGCCAATGGTATGCTGATAGAAAATCCCAACAAGAAGCAGAACTGATCAGGAAGAAAGAGGAAGAAAGCGCAGAGAAAGACAGGACTGACAAGGACACATCCCCCAAAACTGCAAGGCAAAGTAGCAGTTCCGCTGCTAGCAAGAAAAAACAATGATTTACTTCCTTTCTCTCTTAATGTCTTATAAGCTTATATATGGAAATGCATGAAGTATTGCAGATACTATGAAGACCATTCAATGTCTTATAAAAAAATAATTTTCGTGAGCGAGGGATTTTGATAATAGTAATGTAGCTTCCTTGTACCATAATCGTAGTATCGTTTTGCCTTCCAAATGGTAGGCATGTATATATGTGTATATATTCAAAAGAGATGGGCAGAATAGCCAGGAAATTGTGCAAGCAAATATGGATAAGTGGGATGGAAAGAGCATACAAGACACATTACACTGTAAGGGTTTTCAAGCGTTCAGCTGCTTAGCATAGGGCAGTGTCTCCTCCGTAGAGAACGAGAAAGGGCTTTTGGGGATATCAGGGGACCGAGGGCTAAGTGCCTTAGCAAACAACCCGTCCTGAACATCCGCAGAGCTGGCGGTATTGACCTCATTGTTCAATACACCATTGTCTCCAATAGGCTGCATATTCAAGGAGGCAAACCCGGAATCCTGCTCTTGCTGCCGACGAATGGAATCTGGAGGGGCATGGGCTACTGGTTGTCTGCCTATCCGGTGGGTCTGTGGCTGGCTTGATAGATTTGATGGCTGGGGCTGTTGCAGTGTTTGCAGGGACGGAGTAGACGCATTGACGGGGGTATTACCAGTGTGGAATGAGCTGAAAGAGGATATTGCCATGTCAGGCTCATCGGGGGAGAGAGGATGCAATTGTGGATCAGAAGCCAAGTTGCCTGCAGTATATTAGATCACCAGTCCAATTATTGAAACATAGGCGATGAATTCGCGCTTATTGAGAGAGTGGAAATGGGGCGGTGATAAGTGTCTTATGCACTTACCCATGGGTATGCGGGTTAGATCTTTCTCACTGGTCCCCAGTCGCAGTCCCTTTAGCTTCTCGGCCAGTCGATTCCCGCCCGTTGGTGACACAGGAGTCGTGGGACTGAGCGGCGGTGCATTCAAATTAGATAAAACATTTGTCGTTACTAGCGGAGGCAAACCCTTAACAACAACTCCAAAGTTGGCTTCTATCCACTCTTTCTCCTCTATTGCCATATGCAATGCAATCCCTTCGGCGTTATACTGAGACTCCTCCATAATCTCCTTCTCCAACACCTGCAGACGTTTTTTAGCCCATATTGTATGCAACACCCCCTTTTTCCCCGCCGTTCGCGCGGTAGCTCCAAGCTCTGGAGGGTAAATGGCTGGCAATGGATGGATCTGGATGGACTCGCTTTTCTTCACAGTTGAGGCCGAGCTCGGTGGCGGCTCATAGGTGAGTGTGACTGTTGGTGGGATGGTAGCATGCGGCGGCAGCATGAAATAGCAACGGCGGATGTGATCGGTTGCCTGGTCATGGGCTGGTAGGACGGTTTGCTTCCCATCCCACGAAACCTGCCATGAGCCTGTACTCGATCTAGAAAGGTCGTCATCCTCCCATTCCACCATCAAGATCTTAGTACCTTCGTTGCCCTTCCCAGCTTCGAACTCGAAGCGCCCCAACGCAGTGAGGGATTGAAGCTTGTTGGGGACGCGCGGTGTCTCCAGGGCAGCAAACTCGCTGTCCGGGGTGAACTCGCGAGCCATGGCCCAGTCAGGAGCTTTTGATATTTGATTTTAAGGGACGACAGTTAGCTAGTTAGCTCGAGGAGCGGGTAGCAAAAAAAAAAAAAAAAAAAACAAATACTATGCGGACAGATGCTGTTGCCTCCTGTCCCATCCGCTCAATTTTTCTGTCCTCTATCATGTTGTTGCGGTTATTTTTAGGCTGCTCTCCCCTCCCAGCCGTGGTTATGGGAAATTCTAAATTACGTGTTCTATAAATAGATAATTTCTCGATGCGGCTCACTTAGCGCCGCCAAGCCTTCCGACACCGACGGCGGGACAAATCGCAACGTGCGCAGCAGAGGACTGCATATCAAGGTGACGAGGATCCTGATCCCGATGGAGACGGCGCCAACATGGCCGCGACAGAACGTGCGTGTATATAACATCCCCGAATCCAACGGAGTTTGCGAGTACGGCATCTTGGTATCTCTTCAAATAGCTATGCTGGTTCTTTCCCGTTTTATTTGGATTATTGTTATTATCATCGTTAATTTCGAAAGAACCACCCCTGGCCCTCATATAGGAGAATCTGGCAATCAATTTGAGTCAGTACAAGCTTTAGGACATAGAAAATCGGCGATTCTGTCATACACCACTGAGTTTGTCAACCAATTTGCCCCTCCAGAATATCATATCTCGTGAACCATACATGGCTTTTGTTATGTTGGCTAAGTCTAAGCGCTGCATTTATTGTCCCAATATCCTAGTCATCCCGGCCGTGCGTCCTGACAGGACAGTTCCTTGCAGCCCCATCAACAAAAAATCGCGCTATCCACATGATATTAGGTTTTTTTTTTTATGAAATATCATGCATGGCTGAGAAATGGACACTCGGGAGGTATTTATTTTTGGGTACGAGATGAACAAGTTCTATGAATGAAGCATTGATATCGCACTGCTGGTCTTTGTGTGCCTTGTCCTAGGTTTTATAGCCAGCATTCTATAAAAGGGTAAGCATAGGCACCTATCCTTGTTGGTGCTAAGTACTGAAACAGGAACCTCTTTGCAAGCCTGGGGCTATCATCACAAATACTCCGACGAGCTTTGATACCACGCGTATACTAGTAATAGTAACATGCTTAATCATGCTCGAAGATAAGGTAAACACATGGGGTATTATTAATAACGAGGGAATATTTTCCTAAGTGCTTAGTAGTACTCTTTGCTTCCATGTGTCCGTTGAACCTTGTTACAATATCCACTTCGAAAAGGTTGTACTTGATGGAATAAGGTAAGTGAATCACGAGGAAGATAGGTGCGTACTCAAGATATATTTCTCTAGTAAATGACTAGATACAGAGCACGTATTATTCAAAAACAAAAGGATACGGCATTACAATTCGATGAACCCACCAAGGACCCATACAGCCGACAAGGCCAGCGAGATCAGAGAAACTCCAATTGGGCCTAGCTTAGTATTTAGGGATATCAAACCCCAGGTATATAGAAAATATATAGATGAAATAAACATCACAAACGAGACTCCATGCTCAATAACAGACCACCAGGTAGATAATTAATGACAAAAAATGAAAGAGGAGATTAGGCATCCCAGCGAGCGAAATAGATTATTGTTGTAGCGGGTGACGGTCATCAATCATGAGCGCATAGCCATATTCGAGTCTCAGGCTCAAGAGTACATAGTTGATTCATGAAATTTTTGTGGCAGACGATTGTGAAGAATAAGATGGGCCCTTGATTTATTCGTCAGCCTTCCGTCGCTTTCCCTTAGGGGCTGGCTCGAGAGCTGTGCGCTTGTAGGTTATAGTTCTGGTAATGACATGGCGAACACTGATAGGTCTCGAACAAGAGGAGCATCGTGGTGTCTCAGTCTGTCGGGCAGTAGACTCGGTAATCCAGTCTGGAGGAGGTAATGGAGATCTGGCGGAGCAGCAGCGGGGAGAGTCAAAGCTGGGAGAGGTCAGCTTTGGAGATGGAGCGGAGATGCGTAGCGGTTTTGCAGAAGTGGGAGTTTTCCGAACTCTGTCACTGCTGCGGTAGTGGTGATGTAGAGCAACTGGTGAAGAGGTGATCGATGCCACAGTGGGTGACTTGCGGCAAGAATTTGAACAGTTGCAAAAGTAGGGGCTAGTTGCGGTGGAGGAATGAGATATGGAGACGGCTAGACGATCGAAGCTCTTGTCCTTTGAGCTAGATGGCGAAGCGACGATTGGAGTGACAGTTTTGAGGAAGTCCGTGTAGGCCGTAGGTGGTGTGATAGGGGTTCTGAGAAAATCCTCCTGCTTGATGGACTCGGTTTTCCCAGAGAAGAGTGGACTGTCGTGCAATTCTGAAGGGAAGGTGGGTGATTTGGATGTCTTCAGTGGTGCGAGAGTAGGCTTTGCAGTTGGCGCCATGATGGATGAGAGTGTCTCAGGAGGTGGATATTTGAGACTGCGAACGGTGGACGAAAAGGCCTCTGGAAGGAGAAAGGAAGAAGAAAGGCAGAGTAAAGAAAAAGAGGGGAGCGCAAGGGATGGGACTATTGTTTTGAAGGGGCGGGAAAGGGAAGTTTAAGAATGGAATGCCGCCGTCGAACTAACGGGGTCTTCAACAAGAGTGATGAATGGCCGGGAAATATGACAGGGGCTGAAAGTAAGTCCTCCTAGAAATAGAGTATGTAGCCAGTACCTCTCTGTGAGAGGCACTTACAAATTTATGGGTGTAATCGCGCTGTGTAGCAGACGATGGACAGTGCTTGGGGGGTTCAATCTATAAGGTCCAATAGCCTTCCAGAAAGGAACAATGCCACAATGTACAATGGTTTGTTTGCAATAAATCGAACTGGGAGTGTGTATGCAGGTGAATGACGACCAGCGTAGCTTCACGATAGGAAATGTCAGGGCGATGGGAGAGGAGGAAGAGGGAGGGAGAGGATGTCCCCGGTCAATGTTTCTTCTGATTCTGCAACTCTGAAGCACAAAGTTGGGCGGCTAAATCCGACGAATCAGAAAGCAAGTGGTGGGGTAGGTTGGCCGTAAGGGGTATAGGTGCGGTTCCAGGTTTAGAAACTAAGCTAGGCCTAATAAGGCAGCGCGGGTCACAGCGTCGTGAACCTTAAATGCAAGCCCAAATTGGGGCCAAAGTTAGGGCTCAGGGCGCGTTGGACGCTTTGATTGGCTGGTTCGTCACAAGTCACAACCCTGAGAAAGGGGCGCAAGATGCAAGTTGATGCAGCGTTTTGCAGAGCGACAACGATGGTGATATGCAGGTGTTGGCTTTGCGAGGGATGCGTGATAAGTCGGTGTGATGGGCTGAGCAGGCTGGGATCAGTGCAGAGAAGTGGAGAGTGTTAAGTTGACGCCCCGTTCAACAACAGGACCGCCTGCTCTGTTATGTCAGTCCGAGGTCACTATGTCTGATGGCACTATGTTATTCCGTACCTGACTCGAGATGGATGATCTCTTATAACTAATGACTGAATAAACTCAAGTCGTCTAGTCGAGTCTTGGTTAAGACAGGTGGTGGCGGGAGAGGATGAGGAGAGCGCTTTGTGGTGAAAGTTTGCTATGAGGATTGGCAGCTGGGCTGTGCTGAGGATGAAAGAAGCTGGAATCGTGGGTTGGTGAAAAGAACCAACATTCCGGTCTCCTGGCTCCTATTTATCTTTCAGCCTGGCTGAAAACTTGATAGACAAGTATACTCGCACTTACACGCCTTGTCTGTGAAGAAAGAGAAAATTTCTTCATGCCTGTGTCTATCCAGGCCGCTTGCTAGAGACAAGCGCCCAGGAGTCAAGTGTTTCCGTTCCCGCCGAAGGTGTGCGATATCAAAATGTTAATGCCGACTATGGCCTCCAGGGCTATCATCCAATCATCCCTCAGTCTCTCTCCGTCGAGAGCGCGTATGTTGCAGGTCTTCTTTCAGCACTGCTGCTGGTTGGTATTCGATACCCTGACGCCTTCGCGCGCGACAACGGGGGCAGTTCCACCCCAGCGGCAATCCAGCGTCACTGCAGCAACGGTGACTCGCCCCCCAGCAACTTCGACCCCTCTGACGGCGGTAACCGCCTGGCTCTCTGTCATGGTTCAGGTGCAGTGAGACGCATGTCATTCTTCGGCGGGTATGTGCAGGTAATAGTTCCATCACGGCGACAAATCATTACTTCCGGATTGGCCAGCTTGCCACCCGTCTTTTCCTGATTAGGAATTCTTCACAATATTAGCTACCGCCATGTGGTATAGCCTGTAGGTTTATATCAAACCGGACCATTCTCGAAACCTAACAGGGCATGCATTGAACTTCTGTGTTTAATTGCTTATGGGCCTCTACGCTTCATAGTGCGATTCTTCAGCGGAAAGCTGGCCAGAATAGCAATCTTCGAGGAGATACCTTGATCACAAAGTATCTCTAGAAGTGTCTAATGGTAGAGACCCCGGGTGGCAGGGGATTGTGATACCTCCCATTGGGTAGCACGCAATATGCCGAAGCAATATATTCCCTGCCTAACAGGACCAGAATCCAAATCCCGGTTGACGAAACGCTCGCACAGAGTTTTGTTTTTGTTTACCGAGTTATCACTTCGAGTTATGGTGTGTGGTTGCAAGTACCTCGCTTTTTGACTCCACAACCTCCTAGATCAATTCAGTGAGCCTTAATGGGTGCTAGTATGTTTTTCCCCTTGAAATATTGACCAGGTCTTACAGATCAGTCATGAGCCTCCCGATTCGGTCTCTATGTGAAGTAACAGATAGCAGACTGTCATTGTTGCCGGTGCAAAGCCAACAAATTGCATTGAAACCCTGTTGTCCTGCATTTAGCGCTCGGATGTATGCCATATTTGGAAAAAAAAGTGGATGCCTTTCATGTTACCGCTGCTTATACTTTTGGCTGTCCTGTCTGGATACCTTCAGCTTATTCTAGTCAGGACATTTACGAAACTACTTGGCTCGAACATGGCTCAGGCTCCAACAACCAATATTTCAAGCGGTTAACAAGGGTAAACATCATCCTGGTAGGCACAAAGATATCACCGGCCGCCTTTGTCTCCCATTTGGCCACGTCAGACCCTCCTGCTAACTCACTATATCTCGTGATAGATAACCACATCTAACACCAACTGCTGGAACATGATACCGACATCAGTTTCGTACTATCCAAGCTTGTCTCTTTGTGCTGTCATATGGGGATGATATGTTGATTCGATATCATACTTCATGTCTAGCCGAGTACTTTTTGCAGAATTGAACTACCTCAGCGCCGCATATATAATAATATACGTCTATTGATCGGTGTTAACATGCCGGGTACTCTCACCCTTTGCTAAAAGGGAGAGTGGAATAACTACAACATGCGTCGTGTAGTCTACATCAAATTGCACTACCCGTGTTAACCGTTACAGCTGTCGTGAGCCAGCTTCACGAAGGATCCGATATGCAAGGCGGGCAGGCATGTGTTTACCAGAAGTTGTCCTACATTCCTGGTGGCCCAGGATTAACCAGCGATTTCTTCTTTCGGCTAGAGCTTCATGGGATGAAGGCCGAGTACATTCCGTCCGTCCAACAGGATTCAATATTAGATGCATCTATTGTCAAGCCTGGATTTTGAACGGGTACATTTCCAATCTAGGCAGAATCCCATGCAAAAGATTAAGCATGTACAGATACGTGGTTCATTATAAACCTGCGCCTAATTTAACCATCGTATCTGCATCGACCAGATAGTTGTGATATGCTGCCGCAAGGACTAGAGTTGATTATTGACCCCAACCACATTCTCACTCTAACTGCTTTGAGGATCCAAGGGATCCTTTTTGGGCTGCATATCTGCCATTATAGGCAATTTGTAGGATTGTTCCGAGCATTGCCTGTCTAGGTTTGGGGGCCACGCCCCAGCTTTGGCGCGTTTTTAGTACTGGGGGCGTTATTGATATGGTACGAGAAAGTGTCCGTGCATTCTAGGGACAGGCTCAATAGATGTTCATCTTCTGTCAGTATAGTGCTAAGTGATCAATTCGCCATAGCGATGGAGGAATATTCCAGCCTTATGCGTGATTGCTTTTACATTTGAATTCGCTCCAGGCTGCGAAAGTGCATATCAACGAATTTATGCCAGGAGCATCTCTTGCAGATTATTTACGGAGTGCACACTACCCATCGGCCCTCGAAAAAAGCTAATGCGTATAACGATGTAGTAACTAGCTGGTTAAAGAAATGTATCCCGTCTTCGACATTCCATTCCCATCGCCCTTATTTAAAAGGACTCAACGGGAGAGGAACTTCCTGTCTAGGAACAATATTCTCCAGAACCGTAAGAAACTAGTAGACTAGATTCTATGGCAACACATCACTTTGGGGTTATATTTTGTAAATGACGGTCGTGGCTGGTTCTGTTAGCATTTTTGATCTGGAGAGAAGAAGAAGAGGAAGAAAAAGTGAAAGAATTTTCGTGGTGGGCCAAAATATTTATACCAAGTCCGCTAACAAGTCTTGTCACATGAAAGAGCCGCTATGTTACCTAAGCGTCTAAGCAAGCCCGAACTTGTCTCAAAAGTTTAAGTATCGAGAAACGCGAGAAAGAGAAACATCCCCGATCCATTAATTTGATAACTACCAACGCAGCGTCGTAGTTGAGTATGAATGTCCATAAAGGACTACATAAGAATACCTATTGCCGAAACTTCTCCGTGAGAAGACATGGCCTTCTCTCCTGCATTCCTGCCTGAATCGTTCAAAAAAACTGTCCAACCTGATAACAAGGACCGTATGCACTCCAAAGTGCCCAAGCTATTCATCTGAAATGCCAAATGCCAGCCCCAAAAGTATACCCACGATCATCCCTGCCAACATGACTTGGAAAACCAGCTTTGTTCTGCGTCGTTGTGTCATAGTGTCCAACCAACGTCGGTATTTCATCTCGGACTTCTGCCAGCGGCTCATTCGAGGCTGTCTACCGTAGTTGTAGAAGTACTCATCGTCAAATAATGGCATTGATCGAGTGGAATAATGCCTTGCTCCGGAGGATACCATGGTCTCACTACCACTTGTTCCACTTTCCAGATCGCGGGATGGATACCTCCGGCTTGCCCATCTTCTCGGTCTTTGTTCGACCTTCTCTTTTTCGGTTGATGGGGAAATCTTAGCATAGACAGGTGGCTCGATGTCGACGGTATTCATCGTGGCGGTAATATGTCCGTCTTCTGACTTTCTATGGCGATGTTCGCTTGAACTGTAGTGATGTCGGTCTCGCCTTTTGGGGCTCGAAGGATGGGTATGCTTATGGATATCTGATTCGAAAGCCGGCGGCGGCGCGGTAAGCTGTGGTATATCGTCGCCCATAATTGTCGACTCGTCGTCCTACAGTGTTTATCGCTTTGCCCTTCTGTAAGTTTGGTGACACGGCGTAGGTGTCTAATAGCCAGGATGATGGCGTGTATCATAGGATGTTTCTCGAGTTCAAAATAAAATTAATATATACAATGATAGCCTTAGCACATCGGTTTATGTAGCTAAGTCTCGTGAGAAAATGGAAGCCCGAGGCGTTTTATCTCGTTATGTATGGCTATTCTATCCCCATGGCTCCTGCGTAATGGCACCACCCATTGTCGCTTCCAGTTACTTTGCCCCTTGCAAGTAACACCTACCGTGTCTTCATAATCTGCCTGGATATGAAATCATCTCGACAAGCTAGATATTTGCACATCCAAGAAACGGTAACACCGCGATAGATCTCTATCATCTCATGAAGCTGCTATGAAGGGGTTTTCAAATTCCTCGGCGCTTACTCAACACTACAGCTTCCTATAATGAGCTTCCTAAAATGAGCCAACCCTGTCTTACAGTTTGTAATTTTATTTCATGTTACTTTATATGTAAGAAGTTATCTCTCATCATTTCAAAATCATCTAGTGAAGTGTGTTCAAGATTCAACCCAACCATTACGGAAAATAGTTGAAATCTAAGTATAACACGCCATCAACAGATAGAAGTTGTAGATATCTCTAAAAATACCAATCTGGTCGGTAGCACCGAGCATGCATCAAGAGGCACCCTCACGAATCAATATCACAAACCTATAAACTAGAGTTCGACGGTCAGTCAATTGTCTGGTTAGCACGAAATCAACGGCTCCAAGTTTCTCTTGCAATTAGTTAAAGTCAACACTGCTGATTTTTTCCCTTGAAAGCATCAAATTTCAAGTGCTATGACGAGCTATCATCTTCCATAATCTTCCATGTTACCGTGATTCAACAATCAAATTAAGGTTGAAGGTTCAAGTTATGCTCATGCTTGCTATATGATGCTACTAGTTCGTAGCAGTGATGCAGATGCATAAGGCTCCGACAGGTTTCCACACGAAATATACACGTGTGTTGGTAGCACAGTTTATTTTCGCTGTTTTCTACATTCATTCCCATATATATGTCCATGGAGGAACACTGATCACCGTTGCGTTCAGAATGGATTGTCAAGTAAGCCACCAATTCCGAAGGAGTTTGCAGTCACTGAGGGTTCGAAGGGTATCGCTTTCCTCCCTAGGTGTCATAATTAAAAAATGATACTTCACTTGACCGTCTCATGGCATTTAGCAACAACAACAAATGATGTAAAAGGAACCAATCGTTGTCATATTTGTTTAGTTTCTCCGTTTTGGATTACCTGTTAATGAGACCGTTTATCCCGTCTCCGTGGACTTCCTAGATTCTGCCTTTATTAGCCAACTGAGAATGCGTACCGCAAGTGGTAGTTACTACAGGTATGGCTCACCCTTGGGAAGTTCTCGCTAAAAAAGGAGTAGAGTGCTGGGTCAGGCTGGGGTATGTCGGGTCACTTCCTATATTCAAGACCTCTTCCCGGAGCTGATACCACGTGCATGGTTCTGGATCATCGAAAACCTGGCTGACAAGCTGGGATGGATAAGGTGCCATTCCAGTCTGTTGGTGAGATGAATAGGAGATCAATCATTTTCGGGAGTTCGGGAGATGTTCAGCAAGATCGAGCTGCCGAATGACGATCCCGTGCCATGGAAGTTGCTGGGCTCAAAACGACGCTGGAATATCAGCGAGCGGCTGAGCTTATATAAGCATTGCCAAGCTTCATCTTAACTGGATACCTTGAAGTTTACTTGAAGTTCCACCGAATAACACTCTATTTAAGTTAACCTCAGCGTCCTTTTGCAGGCACTGAAGAGGCGGATCTGTAAGTATATTATGCTTAGAACATTCGTTGAAAGCTTTGATTCCGACATTGTGAGTTAAGGAGATGATGTTAAGCGCTGGCAGTGCCCGATATTTTGCTCTGCTGCCCAGCATTTGGTAGAGTTGACTTCGAACTCTGTCGTTACCCCTACCCCGCCTACCCGATAAACCCTTCTCATTATCCCGCCTCCGCTAATGGTTCAGTATCCAAATGTGCCAAAGCGAAGGTAGTGTGGTTGTCAAACATCACAGGGCTGGTCCGGGTTAACGACGGCTTCTTTAGGCGCCGATCAGCCTCGGCGTTTCATTTATCAAACCTAGGCGGACGCTCTCAGCTGTGGCACCCGGTGAGCATCATGGATCTATATATGTGCCCATTCGGAAAGCTCGCTAGCCATATATCTGCTTCTCTTCGTCACACTGCTTAGAGCTGGATGAGACATCCCCGTGTACCTCGCCTCCGGATGGAATTCGGCCTTCTGTGGGGGTAGATTCTGGGGTCCAGTGCCTGCTGGGCATGGTACCTAGACATTCGTGGCCAGGGTCGGATATGGAGAAACGCGAGTTGTCCGCTGCTGTTTCATGCCAGGAATCCCAACCTTTCCAGCATCATGAGCGAACAAACGGAACACGCTCTGAAAATGCTTCGGCCCCTTGTGGTTTAATCTCAAGGGCGGATGTGCTTCCGGTCCCGAAACCTGCCATATCCAGCACAGGTTTAACAATTATTCATATATGTGGTCATTTTGAATTGGTACCCTGTTTTATCCGGAGTATCACCTTTCATCCTCCATACGATACAATCCCATAGATCGATGAGGTATTATTTACTTGGCTATTTCGCTAAGTTAGATTTAAGTAAATAAACTTATTGATCTGCCGCTTGTTACCCCGGTTAACTCCCTAGCGAGTAATCCTCGTATTTCCACCCAGCATTTCCCTTCCCCGTGGCTACTAGCGGACATTGATCTTCTGCATGGATGATAACGATGGGTCCTTAGGGTACCATGCATCATCCTACACCGAGGGCAGGATGTCTCCAGCTGGGCCTTAATCTTGCCTGCAATGGAGAGGATATATAAGACTGCATGCCTTCCTCAGTCGCTAGCATCTTCCTTCTTTTTCTCTTTCTTTTGAGCAGACTCTCAAAACCAACCTCTCTCAGTATAGCCATACCTCACCGCTAGTACAGTCATAATGAAAATCGCTACCCTTGCTGTGGTTTCTGCCTTTGCGGCTACAGCAATTGCTGGCCCAATTCGCCCCGATGGTGTTGGAAGTGACAAGTTCTTGATTGAGCTCGGCCCTGGAGAGACTCAATGGGTTACTAAGCAACAGAAGCATGAGATGAGAGCAGTATGTCCTTCATACACTGATACATGAAATGAAAATTCATTTAGCATGTTAACTCCATTTACAAGGCGGGTCAAGGTTTCGTTGATATTACAGATGAGTTTGGTACCGACTTTACTACGGCTGAGGTCGTTCCTGCAAACTACCCAAAGACTGCTCTTCACGCGGCCGTCGTAAATCCTATGATTGCTGGTCTGTCTAAGGAGAACCTTATGCGCGATCTTAATACCCTAGTGAAATTCAACAACCGGTACTACGAGTCACCCACTGGCGTTGAATCCGCTACCTGGATCTTTAACGAAGTCCAGAAGATTATCCAAGCCTCCGGGGTTAAGGGAGCCAAAGTTGAAAAATTTGCCAACAAGTTCAAGCAATTTAACGTCATTGCTACTATTCCCGGAGGCTCCAAGAATACTGTTATTGTTGGGGCCCATCAGGATAGTATTAACATAAAGGACCCTATGAAGGGACGCGCTCCCGGTGCTGATGATAATGGAAGTGGAAGTGTTGTTGTCCTCGAAGCCTTCCGCAATGTTTTGAAGTCCAAGGCTATTCAGGCTGCTAACGCTACCAACACCTTGGAATTTCACTGGTACGCCGGCGAGGAGGGTGGCCTGCTTGGTTCCAACAATATCTTTAAGAAGTACAAGGCCGACGGAAGGAAGGTGAAGGCTATGCTTAACCAGGACCTCACCGGATTTACCAAGAAGGGCAACCCGGAGCAGTTCGGTCTTATTACTGACAACACCAACGCTGAATTGAACGAGTTCTGCAAGACCATTGTTAATAAGGTAAGTTATCTCTTACGACTTTCTCCATTTGACATCCACATATATTAACTCAAGCCAGTATGCTTCTATTAAAATCCTCGAGGCCAAATGTGGCTATGCTTGCTCTGACCATGCTTCCGCTCACCGAAACGGCTTCCCATCATCCTTCATTGCTGAGACTAACTTCCGTAACACCAACCCATACCTCCACACTGCTGATGATGTTATTGCCAATTTGGACTTCAACCACATGCTGGAGCATGCTAAGGTTGTTGTTGGGTTTATGGGCGAGCTTGCCATGGCCCCCAACTTGTAAATACTTTTTCTTTCTCACCCGTACTGGCACACACTATTCGAGGCTTGCATGTTAGAAGTGTACAATCCCCGAACTAAGAAGTGCATGCAGATATTTGTCAATTACAACTACTAGAAATGAAAATATGCAGCTATGGCAGGGCCGCAGTTATGGTCATATTCGTCTTAAACTATGGAAAGCACTGGTCGAGGCCGCTTTTTATAGCAGTAGCAGGTGATATGGATAGCCTGGCTTGTATTAAGCCGTCGCTTCATGGGACTGCCTTTCTCTCCTCGGCTCACATGCCCTAGTCACCCGGGGCTATGTAGCGAAACTTAGTTACTTTTATAACAGTTACCTTAGTCTGAAGTGTAGTAATTACATCCTATTTAGTGGGTGGTGGGCCTCCCGGCTGCAATGCCGAAGACAACACGTAGTTTAGAATATCAAACATAGATTCAAGTGAAAATATATATATATATATATATTTGTATCATGTCATTTCCGTCATATTGTCATCATGTGATATGTTCTTTTTAACGAAAGTATGAGAACAAAGTGTGCAAGAAAGAAAGGAACTTGAGGTAGTTATACATCTTGCCTCAGAAATAAAGCAGAAAGCCAAAATATACTATGGGTATATGCATATAGAGATACACTGAAACCGAAGTGCAGCTCTAACCTCGTAACTCTAATACGGAAATTCCTGGTAACAAGAATTGTTACTTGTACAATAGTGATCGGAAAAAGTATGTTCAATGCGGTTTTTACTTTGGTCCACCTCCGAGGCCTGTAGTAGATTACATGATTAGAACTTGTATCATAAAGCAATGTAGGTAGAATACTCACCGGCAGCATATGCAAGGTACCAGATACGGCTAGCACCACCGTCAATCGAAGAGAGATCCAAGCTGGGCTGGGCAAAGTATTTCCAGGAGGCTTCGGGGTCGATAATAGCCAAGTTGGCATAGAGGACACCCTTCCAGCCACCAGTGACTTTTTCGGCGGGGGCGGCTGCGCCAGAAGCAAACATGGCGTCCCACTCTTCTTTGACGAATTTTGCACTTCGAGTATAGGCAGAGTTTGGCAGAAGTGGGAGCATATGAATGCTGTTATCAAGGTCAGTAATTATGATGTTGTCCAACAAGAGCATGGGCCGGTGGCTTACCCTTGAATGTATTCGAGGTTGGTACCGAAGTAAGTGGTGTGATCAATCTTGTTCTCAAACAACTAGAGAAGAAGTTGGGGTTAATAGGGACAGTTTCAATATTCTGTTGGGATAAGAGTGATGACTTACGATTCCGGTAACCTTGTTGCCAATGAAATTCTTAGGCTGGTTGACGTTGTCGTTCCTCATCAAGAAGTAGTTGTTCAAGGTTCTGGCAAGGATTCCAAGCATCAAGTTTCCTCGAGCCTCCATGCTCTTGTCACCGCTGGTCTTTCCCCACATCTTGATGGCGTATGCGTACATGGTATCTTCGGAAGTGGATTCCTGGTCTTTACCGTCGGCGGACTCGAAGAGACCCTTAGCCCAAGAGTGGCCGTGGTACCAGTCGAAGGCACGAGAGAAGGGGAAATGCTCATCATTGTCGACAGAATTTCCAGAGTCTCGGACGAGCATATTAACGTATGCCTTGTTAGCATCCAGCCAAGCAGGATCCAACTTTCCAATGATAGCAGCAGTAAGAATAAAGTAACCGTAGTGGAAGTGGTGGTCGTTGTAAAGGGTGTTCCCAAAGTCGAGACCTGTATCACCCTTCTCATAGGTACCAGAGGAGACAACACCTTTCCAAACGTTATCATAGACAAGGGGAATTTGCTGCTTATTCTCGACAAAACGCTTAAAGGACTCCTTCAGACCGTTTAGGGGGCCTGAAGCAGCAGCCTTGTCTCCCACAAGCTCTTGAACAGTGTAGATGGCACCGGCGAACTTGTTCAATCCCTTACCGCTAAAGTACATGCTGTTTAGGTTTGTCTGCGGTTCCATGTCTTGCGACAGCTCGTTTCCGGCAACAGCTTTGATAGCGTTCTTTGCACCCTCAGAAAGGGTAGCCTGTGAGCTTGAGCCGGGCTTCCATGGCGCAAAGTCCATCGACAGAGGAAGATTACCCTCTACCATCGTCCATGAATCTCCAACACAGGCTGTGGCCATGCCCTTGGTGGTAGTGCTAAGCTTCATGTTTTTCTTGCTATTCTTGGTAGCATCGTCAAAAGATTCGACATGGTGTGGAAGAGCGTACATAACAAGAGGAGCATCCTTTCCTGCCTTTTCAAAAGAGAACTTATAGGTACCTGTTCCATCAGCCCCAACGGAGCCGGAGATTTTGATGTTAGTAGCATAAGATCCTGCGGATTTGTCGTAGATACCCTCGCCTTCTTCAGCGGAGGGATTCTTAGCTACTTGGATGACACCCTTGAAGCCAGTAGGTCCACTAATAAGCTTGTTGTTCTCAAGCTTCAACTTGGGGTCAGCGCCGTTTTCGGGAGTAACGTAAAGGAGCCAGTTCTTGCCATCTTCCAAAGTAATCTTGTACTTGAAGATACCGCCCTGGGGAGATCCAGCTGGTTCAACTTTTCGGAAGAGGACAGCAGACTGAATTGCAGGCTGCAAGTTGTTGTAGATGGCAGTGATGAAGCCCATACCCTGGACCAACGGGAAGGTGATAGTTTCACTTGCTCCTCCCTTTGGACGAAGGATGACCTGCGCAGAGAAAGCTTGAGGCTTGGCCACAGACATGGTGGTTGATTCCTTGAGCTCAGACGCTGAGAGAACGAGAGACTTGATGCCAACAGGGTTAATGTAATACCTGATGGGGTTTCCCGGGAGTTTATTGTTAGGCTCCCCAGTGGCCCTTTGAGACGGTTCAACATGGGATATGGCCATGCCGAAGCTAGATGCGTTCTTGTCTCCCTTTGCCCAAATCATAGTGTATGGATGAGTAAAAGTAGTCGAGGTCTGGTTACCAAGGAAGAAATTTGCGTAAAATTTGTTGGTTGAAATTGGACCAGTAGGATTTTCCTGGAAGTTTGTTTGTTAGTTTCTGACGGAAAAAACACAAATACTCACATTATGTAGACAACTTACTATGTGATTGGCCTTAACTGGGTGGTCATCTCTTGACTTGATGTTGGCAGGAATGGGATCCTTCGCAATTGGTTGGAAGATATCCTGGCCCGCCATTGTTGCTGGAGGTGCGCTGGATTGACTTGGAATTCCTGAAACAGTAGATGTTGCTGTTGACCCGGGGCTAGAGGTACTCGTACCGTTGGCGAACTGATAACCAGCTGTCACTTTGGTAGGCGCTGGGGGAAGTCGTTGTGGCGCTGGAGACCCCTTCTCTATGGAGTCAAATCCTTTCACAACGGGGATATGTGGTACTCCTTCACAGGGCTTGTTGCGGTACCAGCAAGTAGAATCTTCTGCCTTGAGGCTAGCGTCACTAATATCTAGATGAGGATATGGAGGATGAATAGCACCTGGCCGTGCATGGAAGGTCAAGTAAGAGATATCAGTAGGAAACGGGATAATAGTAGGCTGCCCTTGGGGATCAGGCGGGGAGTATTGAATCTGACGGTCAAATTATCTTAGTGTTTCTGACACAAGGAAGATCGAATGATCTTTAAAATTCTGGTGATAACTTACCTCGTTGTTCAACCCTCGCTCGTGCTTATATACGATGGGCTGTGGCTTTGCAGCGCTTTCCTGTTCACGGGTACAAACCACATCAGCTCTGGAAGGGAAAGGGGCCGCATGTGCACTCTGAGTTAACAGAGACACTAGCACTGCCACTCCTGGCAGCGTAGTGTATGGTTTCATTGTGCGTTCGAATAAGGGGCTCAGGGTAGAAAGTGATAAAAAAATAAATAAATAAAAAGAACACTTTCGCAATGCAACATACAAATTGCAACTGTGCCTTAGACACCGAGTAAGGGGGTTTAAGGATCAAAGGGGATTGATGGATGCAGTCACAAGCACGAAAGGATTGATCAAAACAGCGTAGTCCGGCTCCTTGATATATGGCTGCATCTTGAAGGAGATTTCAAGAGCGAACCCCATCTAAATCGCAATAAACAAGTCTGCTGCAGGTGGAGAAATGGAGTAATCCGTTCATCTGGTCAAGAACGGGCAGATACAAGCTCCTAGATGACCTCCCCACAAGCGCATATGTAGGCTGCATGTGGGAAGGGCAAGGCACACGAGCAATGCAGACATTGTGGGAGGAAGTTCTCCTGGAGCCTCATTGGAACAGATGGAAAGAGGTAGAGGGTATTAGGTATTGGAGAACAGTGTCAGGCGGAAGAAAAGGAAGAAAGGAGGTATGTATTATGGTGTGTCAAGACTATAGAGGAGGAAGAATGACATAGGGCAGCAAGCCAAGGGTTCTGCTGATAAGGGACAAAAACAACCAAGGAGTGGAGCGGCAAGTAGGCGCATGAGGCGGAGGAAAGCGGTCCAGATGAGCTCGAAATATGCAAAATATGGGGCAGACATGACATGCACTGACTGCTCGGGTGAGCTACTTGGATCTCTTACTTACCTATTCCCACTCGTTAGATTTCTTTTAGTATGGGAGGTAAAAAACGTGGCGATAGCAGATAACAAAGTGTGACCTCCATGTATGAACTGGAATTAAAGGGTATGAGAAAGACAGAGAAGAATAGAGAAGAAGCGGAAGACAGGTGGGAGAGGATGCCGTACAGGAAACACGCCTCTATAACAGTTGATGTCAGGAGAGTCCACTGCTGACTCTTTTTTTCTCTCTCTCTCGTGTTGACCGAATTATGCGGCGGATCAACGGAAACCGGGAAGCCGCAAGGGGGAGTGATGGCCTGCTAGATCTTCCTGGACATAGAATAACTAATGGCGGCGTCCCTGTTCTCCCTGTGCTTCACTTTGCTTCTGCCTCGCTTGCACTGCGGGAGCTAAAATGGGTTGGATGCAATCCTTGTGACACCGCACACTGTTGTTGACATGACGGTACTATGTAACTCGACGGAGTACGGAGTACTGCGGCTGAATCTCCTGGCAATGCATGCATGGGCCCTCGATCTCACTCGATGCATAGGTTGACTGACTGCATTGGTTGCCCTAGGTGACTAGCAGTTGTAACCATGTTTTCTGCTGGCTAGTGGCCATGTTTTGATAATCGTCCCCACCTCGGGAGAGCCGAGCGAGAGGCAAGCAACGACTGTCTGATAAGACAAGAATCACAGCTGGTCGAACATCGTCCAATATCCTCCAGAATAGGCATCGTGCGTGCTAAGCGTCGGCTTGACCCTGGATACGGCATGGCAACCGCTCTGACCTGCTGCGTGGCTGGAGCTCGGTCGAGTACTTTCGGACATATCACCATGGAATTCCCAGCCCCCAAGCCGGCCGACTTTGAAATCCTGGAAACTGGTGGTTGGTGACCCCGAGCAGGAAGCCTCCGTCACCACGGTAACTACTGAGTAGCGCAAGTTAGTTAGTTGCGACTGAAACAAAAAGAAAGAGGGAATACGCCGATCGGCATGGCCACAAGACGATGCTCGATCTCGAGGGGTGTGGCGACCTCTTCATGCCGACGAAAATGATGATGCTGACGCTGATGCTGATGGTGTGGTTTTCCTCATGGCAGATCTGTGGGATGCAACTGCGAGGCCGCCGCAGCCATCAGCTGATGAAGTCACCAAGTCGGCCGTCAACGCTGCAGCTGCTCGTCGCGGGTGCTGGAAGGGTTACACAGGCGAGCGTCTGTTGGATGCAGAGAAGGGCAGCGGATGTTCTTCTCGAGAGCAAGAGGAGGTAGCGAGGTGACGCCCGGTGGCAGGCGTTGCGAGAGCGTTCCATGTTTCCGGCACTAGTTTACCTTGCGGCTGCCGTGAGCTCTGGGGATGGATGTTACGTGGAGTTTCGATGTTGCGCCTCGCTTCTCGACTCTGCCGCTTCTTCATTGCTTCCGTAATGATGAGGCCCCCACGCGGGGGATCTAGATGCTGGATGCTGGATGCTGGTTGCTTGCTAGCTTGCTTGCTTGCATGCATGCATAATGCAGGGTGCAGGGCCATGATTAACAACAGGACTAAAAACAAAACAAAACAGAGTGGTTGAACATCGCCGATATTCATTTTTTCTCTATGGGTCGTCACACGCCGGACAACGGGCAGGGAGCGGCAGCGAGATGCGATAGATCTCTTGCTGGCTCCCGGAAGGCTGAGTAAGTACACGATGGGGGCTGGTAATCTACAATGTAGGACGCTGAATTGGTTTGATAACCCCCTGTTTAATCATCACGCGAGGCTTGGTTGCGGTTTGGAAGGTTGACTTGGTCGTCCACTCGGGGCCAATAGGCAATCGCAGAGCCCTTTCGTACTGCTGCTTGGACTCGAAGGGATGCGGCAGCTGGGATGCGAGATACTTGTTGTTCTGGTGCAAGAAGAACGTGTCAGAATGTATTGATGTTTGGAATCTGGGACCTCCCTTTTTTTTTTTTTTTTTTTTTCTCACCCGCGGGGGGGGGGGGGGGGGGGAACAACAGCGAACAGTTTCTCTTACCTTCTTCACCTGCTTCTCGTTGATGATAACCCGGTCGAGCTTTGCATCCTTCCGTTTGTCTGCGCTGATCCCCTTGACGGTGGTGAACGTGCGTTTAACCCGCCTCTTGTCTGACCGGCTCAGTCCAGCGCCGGCCCAGCTGCCCCATCCAGGCAGTGTATCTTCAACCACCTTGTCGTCCTCCTCTTCTACAGTTTTCTTTTTCTCCTTGCGGAAGGTCTCCAGCACTTCGTCCCCGGCGAATGCTCGTTTGATCAGCTCTTCGTTTTGAAGAAGTACGGGCATGGTAGCTTTGTCCTCATCGTCGGACCGCTCGTCGCCGTCAACAGGCCGATTGGCAACTTCAGCTTTCTCTGAGCCATTCTGATATCCCTGCCTGGAGCGTTGCTGTTTAGGTTCCCGGACAACAATTGAGCCGGAGTTTTCAACTAGGCTAACATCTGCCGCGGCACCGACTGTTTTCTTTGATCGGTTCTTCTTGGAAGTTTCCGTCAGCCAAGGGTTTTCATCGTCCTCTAGAGATTGCTGCTTGGTCCTTTCGGGACCACGGCGAGCGGTCTGCTTCGGAGCTGCTTTAGATTGCTGTCTAGGTTTGGGGGTAACACGGATATCGATATCGGGATCTGAGCTGGAAGCGTTTTCAGCCCCTTCGTTCATGGCTTGACCTCCTTCGTCTTCCTTTTGTGATAGGTTCACGGAAGGCCGATTAGATGACTTTGTGCTCTGTGTGCCAAACTTTCTGCGGCCAACCTCCTCCTGCAAATCTTCCTCTTCTGAGCCAGATTCCTTGCCGTTGAGTTGACGTTTAACCTCCCGAAGCTCACGCTCATTCGCTTCCTTTTGTGCTGCATCGGCATTCTGCATGAATTTCATGGACAAAAGCCCTGAGTATGGGCCTGAATCCTTGGGGCCCGTTCCATCCCTTTCAAGCTTGTCCACCTTCTCCCGTAATATGAATCCTGGCATATCCAAATCGCTGTCGTCCTCGTCTTCAGAGCTTGATGATAGATATTCGCCATCCTCATCGACGATACGTTTGCCTTGAATTCGCTTCTGCAGCTCTTCCTCCCTTCTTGCCAAATCAGCCATTTCCGTCCTGGCGTCTTCATCCCACGCGGTTCGGCCTGTCTGTTTCAGGCTCTTGGCCCATTTGCTCTCCTTATGCTTTGAGCCCATTCTCGCTTCCGCGCGCATCCTATCATTGCGCTCCCGATTTTCTTCATCCATGTCTACTCCGGCGGCTGCCAGTGCTTCATGTTCCATCTGTTCCAATTTCTCCCGCTCCTTCCGGTGAACACGGCGGTAAGCCTTGCTCTTGATCTTTTTGATTCTTTTTGCTCGAATTTCTTCACGGAAAAGTAGGTCTCGTTGCTTCCGGAGTTCTGCCCTGCGAGCTTGAATCTCTTCAACTGAAATCTTCTTTGCTTGGAGCTCTTCAAATTCTTGTATTTTATCCTCCGCATTTCCACTATTTGAGTCTGCTAAACCACTTTCCACCAGTATATTTTGAATTGTAGTTTCGAGGTTGGTTCTAGGCTTGGAGTCCACAACCTTAGACGGTTGCAAGGCATCCGGCTCCGGGAGAGGGAAAGAAAGATGTTCAGCCCGTCTATTGGCTTTCACAGTCTCTATCCATCTGGCGAGAGTTTCTTTGCTTTTATCGTATGCTGCTGCGCGATCTAACCTATCCTGTTGCCGTTTTGGGAGAGGAACGTCTAATTTCCCAGGAATGCCCGTGGTGCCTTTCGTAGAAGAGTCATGTTCAATGTGTTTCAATGCGCCCTTCATGCGTGGATCTGATATGCTGGGCATCAAATCAGCTACAGTAAGCTTTCGGCTGGGGGCGAGCCCAAATTCAGTAGGGTCTCCTCCTGGAAGAGCTGTCTTGGGCCTCGTAGATGTAGCCGATCCAGAGTCTTGTCCTAATGAGGTAACAAATCTCTGGAGCTTGGTGAGGCCTTGCTTTGTGTCTCCTTCATTATCAGATATCGACAGCTCAGAGGTATCAGATTCCCCATCATCATCACCTTCCTCTTCGTCATCAGATACATCAGATAAAGAATCGTCATCGTCTTCGTCTTCAGACATAGTATCAGCCTGCTTTCTTTTCTCTTTTGACGCTTTCAATGATACCTCGGGCTCGGAGTCTTCCTCATTCATGTCCCACGCGGTTGCGAGGTCGACCGCATCCTCTCCAAGGTCATCGTCTTCTTCCTCTACCTCTTCGTCAGATACACCATTGAATTCCTCGTTTAGTATATCACCATCGTCTCCATCAGATTGGTTGATGTTGGTTTTGCGCTTTTGAGCTTGAGCGGCTTTCATACTACTGCCTTTTTTCTGCATTGCAGAGCTGCCACGGAAGGTAAATCCTTCAAATTTATCCTCATCACTCTCACCCATAGCCTCATCACTGTCAATATCGCTATCATTGTCGCTATCGACAGCTCCTATTCTCCACTCATGGCCTTCACTGTCGCTACCTCCATCAAAGTCTGACCCATCTTGGTCTCGTCGTACACGCTTTGATCGGCCGGCATCTTCATCATCGTCTTCTTCTTCGTTATTTATAACGCGCTTTCGGGTAGGCTGGCTAAACTCATCATCACCAAGTCGGTGTCTGCGGATTTTTGTTTTCGTGGGATATTGTTTCTCTGCCGTAGCAAGCGCATTCAAATTATTCTTCGGCCGTCTTTTTGTTGCAGATTTCGGTCGCTTCTCCTGGGGTTTGAGGATGTTCGATTTTCTTCCCGACATTGTTGTAGAGAGAATATCTCGGTGAGGAATGAGCTTCAGCTGCAACTACAACAAAAGCCATTCAACTTATCAAGAACCGCTTTTTTTTTTCTATCAATATTTTTTAAAGTGGGTCCCGCGGCACTGTTAGGCGAAGAAAAAGCCGCGCGCTTATTGGCTTAAGCTTTCAGCGCAAAGGAAAAAAAAAGCTTTCATTTCAACAATTAATAGCAAGACTCGATATTCAACAACCAAGCGAGGACATACGGGCGGGAGTTCTGGTGCTTTGTACACATTGAAGGGCCCCTGTCGATTAGCCATGTTCAGACCTACACAGTGCATGCAGGCTCGCCTGCGATTGACCACAAAGCAAGTTGGTCCTGGCTATTACAAAGGTAACCGAACGGGATCAATGGGACGTTTTGGTCGCAAGAAGGGAACCTACATTATAGAGTGGGAGAAGGTCCGCACATATGTTGTACCTGAGGGCCTTGCAGATTTCAAGGTCTGTATATATTCTCTAATAGATTGACCTTGCCGGAGGCTAACCGAAGTCAGCTTTCACCCTTTGTAACGAAACGAATGGAGCCGACGAGGACATTATACACAAAAACAATTGACCATGGCCACAAAGAGGCGACTTATCCACGAGCATACACTGGCAAGGATTTCTTGAAGGAGTGGAGCGAAGAGAACGAGCTAGAGGTCGACGAGTTGAGATTGCGCCAGGAGGAAATAGATGCAGAACAGCAATCCGTCGAGACAGAAACGACCAAGGACGAGAAACAATGATTTTTCAGCATATTATCGACTGGCCCTATTTGTTTGCGCAGAAGTATTCTATTCTGACCTCTCATTCTTAAGATCACGGATGACCGACACAACTACGCAAGACCTGGGGATTGTACACTACATATATCTTCCGGCAAATAACTCCTTGCTGGATGGATGACGGAGCACTGTATTTGGAGTTTATGGGATTTCCTGTTTTCATTGGCGTTTTTGTTACTTGTATGATCAAAGCAGTGGGTGCGGTTATATATACAGAATTCTGATATGACAACCCTATAGCCATAACTGTCATTTCTACTAGAAAATACTTTGTACACTTTTTTGCCAAGTGGAATCATCTAGATAACTATATGTGAAAGCAGCTTCTAGCGGTTAATAATCAAAGATGTCCCTTGGTGTGGCAACTTGCGGGACCCCGAACGCTTTAACCGGAACATCAGCAAGGCCGATTCATCCAAATCCATGGACAACTCGACGGGTCTTCGAGGAGACAAGAAGGAAGATAGGGAGAGAGTGTGAGGAGTCACCATGGCTTGACTGATACGTGCGCTATACAGACATTTGCGACCAACCTCGGAGACTTTGCTCGTCGTCTAGCTACGCTAGTTTCCTTGGGCAGCTCATCACTGCACCACATGATGCTTCCTCCCTGACCGGAGTAAATAGTCAAACAATAACATACTCGACTGCCATCTACCAAGCGCGCTCTTCGCTATGTTTCCTTCGTTTACAGGCAATACTCGTCGGCCCCGGCAGGTCAACCTCTCAACCCGCTCTACAAACCCCTTTTCCGGCACTCCTGTGAAGCGTCAGCCCCCATCCGTCCATGGGCCCCAGGCAACGCTCGCCATTGCACAGCAGGAGAGAGCACAGCGCCAGCTAGAACGAGAGCGTTTAACCTCGAGCCGAACTATCCAGAGGACATGGCGGGGCTACAAGAGCAGAAAAACAACTTGGGGTATATGGCGCAAAGATTGGGATAACCATGAGAAAGCTAGGGGAGTCGGATACCACACAGCTGCCGAACAGCAAGGCAGTGCATATTCAAGCAGCTTGGAGTGCGCTAAGCAGCTACAGCTTCTTCTACAGTTTGTCCAGTCTACAAGTCAGGAGGATGCTGTGAGGTTGGTGTACTTTTCCAGATGTTTTCAACGAACGGTTGAGAGTACGTCACTATCAACAGAGGGAGAATGGACGACCATGCTCTCTCGTCTGATGGTGACAACTCTGGATATCCTCAAAGCTTCCAGTCGTATTAGCTCGATATCCTTCTCAATGGATGACCTGCTACAGCTTCTGGTGTTTCTCACGAGATTGATACCGAAGCAGATGGCGCGTCAGGCGCGCAAGTACTATGATGTCATGGCAAAGCTCACTACACGCCTAAAGCCGTCTTCAGGTCAAATTGCCGTGGGCTTGACTAGAGACAACATTGCGGAAGCCGTTCTTGCTCTGTTACAGCCGATCACCTCGGAAACACTGGTCGTATACGAGTGGTTTGCCCGGACATACCTTACACTTCCACATCTTCAGGATTACCTCGGGACCATCAGTGATATAGCAGCTCGGGTGAACTATAAGCTTCTGGCATCGGTCATAAGTACCAACCTTCTGTCGTCGCAGTCCTTCCTCCACGCAGAGCAAGTTGAACCCCGAACCTGGCTTCTGGCGTATTTTGTCTACTTTCACAGGCATGCGCTAGGGGAGCAGGCTTTGAACCAGACACCAGAGGTTCTTTTTGTCAAGGTTGTTTCCATGCTTCTAGGCTCTGCAGCTACATACATATCACAGAGGCTTGATCCGGATGAGTTTGGAGATACCCAGTCCTCCCAACAGCAGAAACCATTGCCGTCATTTGTAAAGAATGAGGTTTTGACGTTGGTTAACCAGAACAGCATTACACACCTCTTATCGATAGCTGGAAAGGGACAGGCGGCAGAAAATGATGTCCAGCAGACCAGCGAAGATGATGCTAAAAGTCTTGCAACATATGCCTTGACTCTGTTGAGAATATTTCCTAAACGAGGTGATGAAATTCGTATGTGGCTTTATCTTGGCTCAGCATCAGATTATGCGAATTCACAATCAAGTGCATCCAAACTACCTGCTATTAAATTCTTTTGGCAAGCCTCAAGGGCAACAAGTGTTTATCACAATGTATCACATAACCCCAATGGTATCCTAGAGATGCTTCTGCCACCTACTATTAGGGAGGATGAAGACTCCCAGCGACAAGGGAGCGATCAAGAGCAACAGTGGACCGTTATACTCATCTTTCTGGAACTTTACACCTTTCTTCTCAAGGTTTTAGATGACGACGAATTCTTCTCTGAGGCCAATAAAAACAAATATACCTCCTGGACTAAGGAAAGCTCTCTTGCTCTGGGCGACGTCAAAGAGTTGACAGTTTTCCTGACAAATCTTGCGTTTACGCTTTACTGGAATTCATCTGAATTGAGTGCTGCCGAGACCACCGAAAAGGCCTTTGAAATGCGGGAATATTTCAGCGTGTCCGGGACCCATGGGCCTAATCAAACAGTTGCTCGAAAACCTCAGAGCAAAAATCTCAGCGGTGCGACTGGGATACCTCTACATTATTTCAAGGGGTTGGTAACAGGGCTATTACGAATGATACATGAGCGAGAGTAAGTCTAGCTTTTCATTAATTACGTTAATAACAGCCATAAGCTAACAAGCTTCGCAGCTCGAGACGAAGATTCCTCCCTGATGGCCATTGGCTCATGACTGATCGGTTTGACATGACCGGCTTTATCCCTACTGTAGTCGCAGAGGAGGAGAAAAGGCATCAGCTTCAAGATGAAGACGACGAGAGTGAGCCGGAAGGTGAAGATATCGAAGATGCTCTCCACTCGTCACTAGGGCTTGTGGGAACCAGTAGGGAGCAGAACATCCGTCGAATGGAAATATTAAGAAAACGGCAGCAACAGGCCTCTCGGCGAAAGGAGCTTGAAGCTGTGGCACCTCGCTTAGAGATCCTTCGGAACATGCCCTTTTCCATACCATTTACGACCAGGGTGCAGATATTCCGAGAGTTCATATACCGAGATCAAGTACGAAGAAGGAAAGGGTATGTGGACCCAGACGCGTGGAGACTATCTATTGCTCAGGGTGCCTCGGGTATCACAGAAGAAGGAATTGCCATGGCACGAGATATCCTAAGTAAACACCATGCGGACATACGGAGGGAAAACCTTTTTGAAGATGCCTTTGAGCAATTTTACCCACTCGGGGAGGCATTCAAGGAGCCTATCCAGATTACGTTTATTGACCAGTTTGACACTGTGGAAGCTGGCATCGATGGTGGTGGTGTCACCAAAGAGTTTCTTACAAGCATTATAAACGATGCGTTCAATCCTTCTGGAACTTTGAGCATGTTTACGGAGAACGATGAGCATCTCCTCTATCCAAACCCAACCTCTGTTGAACAACAAAAGGCACAGCTGCGTGAAGCCGGGATTATTGAACGGAGTCCGGAATGGAACGAGCATATCCGAGAACTGTTGAAGCGGTATGAGTTCTTGGGGCGTATTATTGGGAAATGCCTTTACGAGGGCATCCTTGTGGATGTCAGTTTCGCCAACTTCTTCCTGCTGAAATGGGCTCTTACTGGAGGTACTGGCTCAGCATCAAGGGAGTCTGCCTATCGAGCAAATCTAAACGACGTTCAGGACCTAGATAAGAGCTTGTACCAAGGATTGGTGAGTTTTATCCTTTATCGTGATGGCCTATTAGCTAACCTTGCAATAGCTACAACTCAAGAACTATCCTGGGAACGTTGAAGACTTTGCTCTGAATTTCACAGTAACTGACACAGTGTCAGTGCCAGATGAAAAAGGCAAAGAGAAGACGCAAACCATTACCCGCGAACTAAAACCGGGGGGTTCCAACATCCCCGTCACCAACCAGAATAGACTGGTATATATATCGTATATTGCACGCCATCGACTCCAACTACAACCCTACCTCCAAACGAATGCCTTCCTCCAGGGGCTAGGTCAAATCATCCAGCCGTCATGGCTATCTATGTTCAACCAAGGTGAGCTACAGCGCCTTGTCGGCGGAGACGCAATCGAGATTGACGTCAACGACCTCCGCCGCAACACGGTGTACAGCGGCATCTATGTCCTGGGGGATGACCAACAGGACCACCCAACAATCAAGCTCTTCTGGGAAGTCCTCGAAGCAATGCCAAACAAAGACAGGCAGAAGGTGCTCAAGTTCGTGACCTCGACGCCGCGGGCTCCGCTGTTGGGCTTCAGCCATTTGAACCCCCGGTTTAGTATTCGCGACTCAAGCTCTGATGAAGAACGACTGCCCAGTGCGAGTACCTGTGCCAACCTGCTGAAGCTACCTCGGTATACCAATGCAAATACACTCCGAGAGAAACTGATGTATGCAGTGAACTCGGGCGCAGGCTTTGACCTTAGTTAATAATTTTGATAATACTCTATCATCCTCGGTGTCCTCCTGCCATGATGTCACTGGCAGCGGACCTGGGACTGCATTTGCTGGAGCCTGGGGTAATGAGACGTCTGGGGAGAGATGTATTTAGTAGTCAGCATCACCGTGTATAGACCTTGTGCTTCGTCTTGTCCATTATCAATCGTAGTCGTACTCCGTAGTATGCCCAGAGACAAAACGTCCCCTACCTCACCAATCCATAGGGCCCGGGGTTACTCCGTCTCATTGCTGTAGCATCAGCCAATAATAGACGAAGCCAAAGGACACTTCCCGCACCGCCCACACTTCCACAAGCCATGAGCAGCGACTATCAACCGATCTCTCTCTTTCCGGCCCTTTTTTCTCTTCTTCTTCTCTCCTTTCCTTCTTCTTCCCGTCTTTTTCTCTTGCTTCCGTTTTCATATATGCTTGCTTAGTCATCTATATTATTAATGTATTACTCATTGCTGACTCATTACATCTCTTGCTTAGACAAATCTTAGTCATCCCAAGCTTTTATTCGCGCCACGAAAGGGAAAGAGAAAAAAAAAAATTCGACGACTTTTTTTTTTTAAACTTTTTCTTCTTCTTCTTCTTCTTTCGCACATCAAAAGATATCAAAAAAAAAAAAAAAAAAAAGTCCAACCAACCTCCAACCACCAACATCGCTTCTTGTGCTTCCTCAGGCTGTGATCTATCCGTCCGTTAGAAACACTTTCGAGTGTTTCCTTTCCTTTGCCCCCTTCCCCTACCAGAAAACTACTCGTAAAGCCTGAAAAATATCAAGCATTACCTCTTCGAGGTTCGCCTGGTGAGTCCTTGTCCCGTCTTCGCCATCCCACGTCGAGCCCGTCGCCGTTTTTGCCAGCACACGAGAAACCATCGGATCCCACGCCTACCTGCGCCCACTGCTGCCTCACCATTGGAAACGAGAGCCGTTCGTGAAGAAGGAAAAGGGGAGGCGCTGGCGGTTGGCGGTGGTTGTGGGTTGTTTGTGGTGGTCCAAAAACCCGGCACACCGCACACTTACCCCAGCTACTTTCACTTCTCCTACAGCTCTCTCCCTTCAACTTTCTCTCATCTCACCTTCCGTTTCGCCCGCAGGATGCTCTGCCTCGCGTCAGCTCTGCCTTTACTGCTCGATCACACCCTGTATCCTTTGAAGAGAATTCCTCGCGGTGCCCCTCTTTTTTTTCTTCTCGAGCTTCTTGATCTGGCTTTGCTAACTTTTTTCCATTTGATTGACGATACGAAAAGATTTCCAAGCGACCAAGAATTCAAACCAAAAAATCACAAAAAAACACGGAAAAACATTAGAAATTATGTCTGCTCCAGAGACCGCGACCAACGTCCCTACGGACCAGGTTGAGGCGCCCACCGAGGCCCCTGCCAACGGCACTGCTGCAGGCGCAGCTCCTAGCACTGAGGCCGCTCCTGAAACTGCCGGAGAGCCCTCTGGCACTGCGGCTCCTGCGACCTCACAGCCTCACTCTGCCTCGTTGTACGTCGGAGAGCTGGACCCTTCCGTCACCGAGGCTATGCTCTACGAGCTCTTCTCCTCCATCGGACAGGTCGCGTCGATCCGTGTCTGCCGTGATGCTGTTACCAGACGCTCTCTTGGCTACGCCTACGTGAACTACAACAACACCGCCGATGGAGAACGTGCCCTTGAGGACCTCAACTACACCCTGATCAAGGGCCGTCCATGCCGTATCATGTGGTCTCAGCGTGACCCTGCCCTCCGCAAGACCGGTCAGGGCAACGTCTTTATTAAGAACCTTGATACTGCTATTGACAACAAGGCTCTTCACGACACGTTTGCTGCTTTCGGAAATATTCTTTCTTGCAAGGTTGCTCAGGATGAGTACGGTAACTCCAAAGGATACGGATTCGTCCACTACGAAACTGCTGAGGCCGCCACCAATGCCATCAAACACGTCAATGGTATGTTGTTGAACGAGAAGAAGGTCTTTGTTGGACACCACATTGCCAAGAAGGATCGCCAGAGCAAGTTTGAGGAGATGAAGGCCAACTTCACCAACATCTACGTCAAGAACGTTGAGCAGGATGTCACCGATGAGGAATTCCGTGGCCTCTTTGAGAAGTACGGTGAAATCACCTCTGCTACCCTCAGCCGTGACAATGAGACCGGCAAGAGCCGCGGGTTTGGATTCGTCAACTTCTCTGACCATGAGGCCGCCTCCGCCGCTGTCGAGGCCTTGAACGAGTACGAGCTCAAGGGTCAGAAGCTCTACGTCGGCCGTGCCCAGAAGAAACATGAACGTGAAGAAGAGTTGCGAAAGCAGTATGAAGCTGCTCGCATCGAAAAGGCTTCCAAGTACCAGGGTGTTAACCTTTACATCAAGAACTTGTCCGACGATATCGATGATGAGAAGCTTCGTGAGCTTTTCAGCAGCTACGGAAACATAACTTCCGCCAAAGTCATGCGCGAAGCCATTGTCGACGTTCCCGCCGAAACCGAAAAGGGCAAGGAAGCCGATAAGGAGAAGGCGAAGGAGGCAGGTGACAAGTCCGAGGAAAAGGGAGAGTCTAAGTCTGAATCTGAAGACAAGTCGAAATCCGAAGAGAAGAGTGAGGGAAAGACTGAGAGTGCCAAGCCTGAAAAGAGACATCTCGGGAAGAGTAAAGGTTTCGGTTTCGTTTGCTTCAGCAACCCAGATGAAGCCTCGAAGGCTGTTACCGAGATGAACCAACGTATGGTCCACGGAAAGCCACTCTACGTTGCTTTGGCCCAACGCAAGGATGTTCGCAAGAGCCAGGTAAGTAGCGCTCAAGGCGATACATTTTCGAAGAACTCAATTTACTAACATCTACCAGCTCGAGGCCAGTATTCAAGCTAGAAACACCATTCGCCAACAGCAGGTTGCTGCTGCCGCCGGAATGGCCCAACCCGTGAGTGCTCCCCCATATATATATACATACTCGATTCTTTTTCTAATACCAAAGATAGTTCATGCAGCCTGCCGTTTTCTATGGCGCTCCGGGCCAGCAAGGTTTCCTCCCCGGTGCTCAGCGTGGAATGCAGTTTGCTGGTCAAGCTGGTATGGTTATGCCAGGAATGCCCGGTGGTCGTCCTGGCCAGTTCCCCCAGTTCCCTGGACAGCAGGGCGGCCGTGGCATGAACCCTAACCAGCCGCTTCCTCCTAACTTCGCCATGGGTAGCCAAGGTATCCCAATGGGTGCAATGCAAAGTGCTGGAATTCCAAATGGCCTAAACTACTCTCAGATAAGCCAGGTCCAGTCGTTCGGCCGTGGAGGTGGTCGTGGCCAGGGTCCAATGCAAGGTATGCCACCGGCTGCCGGTAACGCCCCACAAATGCGTGGTGGACCTGGTGCCCCAGGCTTCGCTCAGGGACGTAACATGCCCATCCAGCAGGGTGGCCGGGCAGGCCCTGGTGGCCGCGGTCAAGGTGCTCCTGGACAAGGCGGTATACCACGCGATGAAGCAGCCGGCTCTGGCTCAATCAACCTCGCAGTTTTCAATGCCGCTCCCGAACCCCAGCAAAAACAGATGCTCGGTGAAGCCATCTACCCTAAGATTCTTGCTCAACAGCCTGAGCTTGCCGGAAAGATCACTGGTATGCTTTTGGAAATGGACAACTCAGAGCTGATTGGCCTGTAAGAAGACACCCTTCCCCATCTATACTTGATTACAATCAAAGCTAACTTACCCGACCAGTGTCGATGATGACGTTGCTCTCCGAGCCAAGGTTGATGAAGCTCTTACTGTCTACGATGAATATGTCAAGAACAAGAATGATGCTCCCACCGGCGAGGCTGCTCAGCCAGAGGCTGGCAAGCCCGCGGAAGAGACTAAGTCTTAAATAATGCTTGAAACGGTTTTCTAATTGTGGAGGAAAGTTTTTGATTCTGGTTTCCTCGGCTTGGCATGTCTTAACGAATACTCTTCCTCTTGTTTCTATCTTCCTTTTCGTTTTTCCTTCTTTTTTTTGCTGGACGACCACCTCCCCCCCTTCTGCCTGGCGTTTATGCCACTCTACCCATCCAGCCTTGTTATACGGTATGGAATCCTTTTCTTTTTTCCCTCCAAGTTTCGGTTGTAGCTGGCAAAGGTTTGACGTTGGAAGTGGGAAAAAGTTCCATCACATCTTTCTCCCTTCCTGGTAACAAAGAATATCCCTTATCTTTCATTCCCCCTTTTCCCTTCTCCTTATTACGTTTCATCCCCCTTGTGCGTTCACCTTGCTTACGTCTTCATGACATCTCCCTCCCCTTTTCCAGGAGTTTTATCTGTCTGTCTTTTCTTTCTAACTCGTGCTTGATTCCCTTTTTGCCCAGGTCTTTGCCTTCTTCTCTTTTTTATTTCATTCATCTGTTTTCTTTTCTTTTCTTTTCTTTTTTATTTTTGATCCTGTTAGAATGTGGAATGTGGTAGCAACGCATGCATGTTAAGGTTCCTTACAGCCCAGACAGCATTTATCTTTGTGTGGTAATTTTACAAATTGTGAACAACCAGCACAAATGAACGACCAATGAGAAGGGAAAAAGGAGAGTATGGGAATGAAAAGGAAATGCCAATTCAAAAAAAAAGTTCATATCTTACGGTGCTAGGGAGGCCTTCTGCGCTTCGTCTTCTCTTTCCTTTCCTCTGTGCTTGTCCAATTTCTTTATACCTTTTCTTTCCTCGAAGAATGGCCCCGGAGGCTTGCAGTGTGTATATTTAACTCGGGGTTTGAGTTGAGCTGAACGCAGGTGCTTACCGTGCCTCGTTAAGAGATGAAGTGGACTATCCAAGAATGATACAAGCGTTCAATATTCTAAACATACCGCATTTGAACTGTTTAGAAAGATAGACTGCCCTAGGAGTATATCTATGCGTCTCTTTTATCATTATACCGAAAATATATGTTTGCTCTCTGCGCGCACAGCATATCCTGCAGGCTAAATTGTGGTCATTCTATGGTCTATATTCCAAATAACAATTCAAATTTTCAAATGTTGCGCCTCTAAGTTTAAAAGGCTTGATGTCGTCATAACTAGCACAAGACACCTTCAGCCCACCATAACATGGATCGCGGTGTCGAGGAAAACATCCCCACGTTAACAATATAGGGTAAACGAATTATAACATTACATTGCACCTGGCTAAGGACTTGTATAAGATGGATTTTACGTCTTCGTTCCATGGCATTGACAGCGAGCTAAAGGGTGCATACATTACGCTACCTGCGAAGTATATGCTCTATGGGCAAGGCAAGTGATATACACTCGACCGCAGGGCATTATGACACGACGAAATAACACAGTTAACTAACATGTTAATAACACGATTAGGAAGTCGAAGCTCGCTACGAAAAGTGGTTTCTGAGCTAGGAGGATCCAAAGCATTTATCATAACGGGAAGATCGTTGAACGAGAAAACACCCGTTATCAAAGAGCTAGAGGGTCTCCTGGCGGACTCGCATGCGGGTACATATGCTGGAGTCCGCCAACATGCGTACGCTGCTAAATCTATGTGGGATAGAAGGTCGTCAAACTAACTGGCGGAGAATAGGCCTGTTGCGGATATAGAGTCCGCAACAGAACATATCAAGCAATCTGCGGCAAATGTCCTTGTAGCGGTTGGGGGAGGATCGCCCATAGATGCCGCGAAGGCCGTCGCCTACCATATACATCAACACACTGAAAAATGGATACCTATAGTTGCCCTACCGACGACCCTGAGTGTAGCTGAAAATACATTTGGAGCAGGGTATACCAGTCGTGAAGGTCTAAAAGTTGGGATCTTCCACCCTGAATTGGCACCGAAAGGTATTGAAGATTGATCTTAATAACTACTTAGTTAACTAGCTAGCTAATGTGTCTGCTAATGTTTGCAGCAATCATCTATGATGCCGAAATCACTCTACATACCCCAGCACGTCTATGGCTAAGCTCTGCTGTAAGCAACCTCAAAATTGGCCAACAACTCTCTAGCTTACAATACGCTAAAGAATATATTCAGGTCCGTGCAATTGATCATGCAGTTGAATTACAGTATCATCCTCAGGCAGCCGAGGTGCCTACAAAACGACTGTGTCGAACGGCGATAAGAGAGATCTTCAGGCTCCTCCCGCTGTGCAAGAAGGATCCCGAAGACCCAAAGATTCGCCAGGAATTACAAATAGCCGCGTATTCCGCCTTCCCTCCGTTCTACTTTACAGCCCCCATAGGGCTAAGCCATGCAATTGGTCATGTTATTGGGGCTACATATGCAATTCCACACGGTATCACATCTTGTATATCCCTGGCTAAAACCATACACTTCAAAGCCACTAGGAATCCGGAGGAAGCTCATCAAATTGCGAAAATATTGCCATATATTGGCCAGGCTTGTTCAGGTGATGATGCAAAGGATGCAAATGCTGTGGGAGATGCTATAGCCAAGTTGGTGGAGATGTTGGAATTGAAATCTACATTGACTGAAGTAAGAGAATATCTCCAAAGTTGTCTAAAATAGATCCTCAATCGACTGCTAATTTCATGTTTCATTGAACACTAGTTCTCCGTCAGGCCCAGTGAGGCTGACACAATTGCGTTGCGGGCATTGAAAGGGGACAAGAAAGATCCAAATCTGCCAGCATGTAAGTGAGCATCCTTGTTCAGTACAGTTCAATCAGTACTAAATCACTTAACAGTGTTTGAGCTTATTCGAAGCTTGTATTAATTGACCTGGATCGAACTGTTAAATAGCAATTGCATTGAAGCATGACCTAGAAAACATTCTTTACGTGGTTAAACAACCCAAGAAAATAATTATCTATATAAGAGATTCTCTACCATCTTTGCAATAGCCAAAGAGCTAGTCAACCCGGGGCTCTCAATCCCAAGTAAGTTTATGAAGCCTGGGAAACCCTTTTCTTCCTGAATCACAAAGTCTTGGAAATTTTTCCCGGAGGTGACGGAACCACCCCTAATCAGCTTGGGCCTAATACCACAGTAATCAAGACCAATCGCATCGGGATTCACGCTGGGTAAGTATGCCTGGATCTCCTTGATAGCTTGTGTTAAACGTTTTGGGCTCGGGATCAAATTATCTGGGCTGTCTACCCACTCGACGTCAGGGCCGAATTTTATTCGGCCGGCCATATCGAGAGTCAGATGTGTGCCTAATCCGCCATAACTGGGTCGAGGCGCTGGGTATAGTAGGGTTGAAGGCTTTGGTGATGAAGCAGCGTATGAGAAATACGTCCCTTTAGCGAAGTGAGGAGTTCGATGTCTTTCTGGTGGTAAAATCATGTTGTTTATTCCACATGCAAAGTGACCAGCACAATTAATGAGTGTTTCAGCTGTAAAAGACGACTCTTCGTCTTTTCTCTCTCCGGACCTGGTAAAAACTTCATAAGCGCCTCCACTTAGAGGTTCAACTTTATAAACCTCAGTCAACAGCACGCAGTCTCCGCCTCTTTCCTCATAGTTGCCGTGTAGATACGACATGAGAGAGTGAGCGTCCACTATCCCGGTCGTGGGACTTTCTAGGATCCCTGCCTCTGCTCGTACATCTGGCTCTCTCCTTTTTGCCTCTTCGGCGGAAACAAAGCGTATCGGTACACCTATTTCCTTAGCATGGAGGAAAACTTTCAAACATTCCTTCCATTGCTCCTCATCCTGGGCAACAATCCACTTCTTAGTGTTGCGGTGTGGGATGTTTTGCTTCTCGCAAAGTTCATAAAGCATTTCTTTCCCTTCAATGCATAGTTTTGTTTTTAATGAGTCTACGCCATAGTATAGACCAGCGTGAATTACCTATAGGTCGCCTGTTAGCTTTAGTTGCCTTCCCAAAACGAAGGTTGGTGAAGAGTCTGCCACTGACCTCTGAGTTTCGACTGCTTGTCTCTGTTCCAACTGCGGAGTGTCTCTCAACTAGAATAGTCGATGTTCCTTCTCGAGCTGCTAATTGACGAGCCACAGCTAGCCCAACAACTCCGGCTCCAATTACCTATTCTCCACATCATTAAAACATGTTCAGATCACCACGTTATAAGATCAAACACAACTTCAGACGGGATTGTGTCGAGAGAGTGTCATAGTACTACTTACTGCGTGTGTAAAGTCAGTATGTAGCTTACTGCTACTAGAAAATAGGCGGCATCTTGCTAGCGGCCTTGAAAGCGCGCGCCTAGCGAACATTGCGCAACCAGTGCTGAGACGACGTCGCCAGCTCAACTCCTCGTCTCACAGGCTAATCCAATCTGAGGGCCTGCTGGTTCACTTATCGGGTCTTGCCTTTGACCATTTGAGAAGTAGACGGTAGGTAAGGATAGAAGAGTAAGTAACAGTAACAGGGGGAGTCTTAGCCGTGGACGGGGGGGTTTTGAGCTTAGTAATGGCCGAACCACAATTCGGTCCGGCATTTTGTGGAGATCAACAGGGGCATTTCTCATATTGCGACTATATCTACAGCGAAGTATAAAAGGGCTTCTTGACACGCATATTAGACGAACACAATGTGGATGCTACTGTAAATATAAGTAGAATAACATCAAGTGACATGCCAGCCAGACTCCGACGCTTACTTGCAGCCACTTGCTTCCATAGACCAACCAAGACGCCATAAAAACTTGCTCTATATCCCAAGGGTTCTACACATGAAGAAGAAAATGTCCCACTGCTGCGAATGACTATCGACGGTTACTTGGCCCTCTAATGAAAGATTCAAAATGCTACGAGATTGTTAGTATGTCAAAAACAACGATGAATCGCCTATCGTAAGTACGTACCTCTTTCTGGTCCGTTGCCAGTTTTCCTTTGGCATCCTAAAAAGGAAGATTAGGAGCGTTCAAACTCGTGGATAAAGATAAATCATGACTTACACTGATAATAGTTAGAATTAAGGAGTAATTGTTAAAGAGAAAACGTTCTCTTCTTTTGGCGTCACCGCTGCTCTTGCTTAGTTTGGTGAGCAGGGCGTCGAATTCATTCACCAGTCTGCCTAGACTGTTGAAAATCGGCTCATCATCACCAGCTTCGTTGCATAATGTCAATATACTATGCAGGAACTGGCCAAATCTTTGCGTAAGGAAGTGCGGTGCAGATGATTGGGCATCGGTTGATGTCAGAGCTAGGACTGAAAGGCCACTTCTAGTAGATGCTGTTGATATCCTCTTCAGCGATTCAAGATGCATGTCCATGATCATTTGGAACCGAGGCCAGAGCTGCATGTTGATGCCGTTGATGTAAGGATCCGCCACAGGGACCTTCCGACGTTGCATTTCAAATGCAAATTGCTGGTTTAATCTTACACAAAGGAGGATCCCAATGCAGTCAGTAGTGGTCTCGATAAGCTGTTTTGTCAGAGCCTGCCCAGATGCCAATGTGGGCTCGAAGATCTCCGTCACTTTCTGAGAAGTATAATGTATTGTTTTCGCAGAAAACATCTCGGCCATAAACGAATACTCAGCAGATATATTATCAATCAGCGCCAGATTGAAGTTTCGGAAGACAATCTCCAGCCCATGTGTAGATTTGTCTTCCTCTGCCAAGTAAGATGAGAGAGCCATGTGGGAGCTTGATTTCAATATGTCCATACGCCGACCCAAGGCGAGGGGATCATGAGCAGCAAGTGCAGGACTACGGCCGCCAGAGCCACCATGTGCTAAGAAAGGTTAGCATATTGAACTACCTTGTAGCATATAGATATAGTAATATGATTACCCGTTCTTTGCGAAGAAGCATCGCCTCCAAGGAGATCATTTCGATCAATTGAATAAAGCTTCAACTTATCTAAGGCTTGGGAATATCGAGTGAAGTTTGATAAGTAATACCACCTCATCGTATTGACATATGCTTGGGTGATCTCCTCGGATAATGTTGGGTGGTGAGTTGAAAGATATGTATATAGATCTTTGTATTTCAGGAGCGACTGTTGTTGGATGACTTGACCATTCATATTGGGGGATCGAATGGCCTTTATTTGAGTGACAAGGAAGTCCCGAATCCGCTCCACAGCCTTCATATAAAATTAGTGATGGGGCCTGAGCGAGCTATGGCTGGGACAGAAGTAACGCACCTTTTCTTGCAAATTTTTCAGTAAAGGTCTAACATCCTCTATGGCCTTTATGTTTTCCGGGGTAGAGGTGTCTGCATTAATAGTAGAAGAAAGCGTGTCGAGTTCAGAGAGAGCTTTAACCCATTCCTGGTCGATAGGACGGTCTGATATCGACCGAACTGTACGTGGTGACACACTTATCTTCTCGACAGCCGGCCCCAGGATTCGTTCAACATTCTTCCTATTCTCAAGCTGTGAACTTAGTCGGAATGAACGGGACTGTAGGGACTCAATCTTCGAGGATATAGCCCCCAGCTCGGCTTGGAACTTCGTAAGGTATGATTCAACCGATTTTAGTAGTTCGTCACATCCCTAGAGTGCAAAGATGGTTAGCTAGGAAGCCCATTTATTATAGTAGGCGAAAAGATTTGAATGAAGATGTGAGATGTGACATACTGTGATCGAATTGTGAAGTTCTTCAAAAATATTCCGATCTTTCTCATCTATATACATCCAAATATCATCAATGGGTGACTGTGGATAGACAAAGAGATATTCATCATGGGAGGCTCACACTGCTCAAAAGATTGTAGCCCCTGAACATAGCTCTGGCGAGCTGGCTGCGTCTCCTTCTGGTGTGCAAACTCCTCTAAGCTGAGGCCGCCAAAGTCGATGTTCTCACAAAGGACATCCGGCTTCTCTAGCGGCGAGGCTGTCTCATCGCCGGACGTAGAACTGCTACGTCGCTGGCCAATGATGCCGTTCAAGACATCTACTGGGTCAGGGTAGCTTTGGTTCCTCATGGCCGAAGAAGGCTGTCTCGAGAATCCATTCGCGGCGGCTCGTGCGGCGCCGGGTAGGGAGGTGGTGGAGGCATTCGGGGTGGGAGAGAAAGACAGTGAAGAGGACCTGGGACTAAACGACGGCCGTCCCGGCTTGTTAGCAGCAGATAGCTGTGACTGCCGCCGTGCTGGAGAGTATGGCAGGCTGCCGGTGGACGCAGAGGCAACCGGGCCTCCCTGGCCGGCAGCTCCTCTGTCTGGCCACATCTTCGCGCTGTCTGTCCACTCTCGACGCCGGTCTGCATCCAAACGGGCTCCTAAACGCGCATGTCTCAGGGCCCCCGGTGTCGCCGTCGCTATCGCTATCACTGCTGGCGTCTCTGTCTCTGTCTCTGTGTCCGCTGCCTCGTCCTCGTCTCGCCGTCGTCCTGCTCGTCCTCTCGTCCGCCCTAGAGCTGACTAATGGATCAGCCTGGCTGCGGTCGCCTGCACGAGCCAAAAGCGCCAAAAGCAGCAAACAGTGCAAACAGGCCCAAACAGGCTAAGCACTCCCGACCCCTCTACACAAGTTTTTATTTTGTTATTTTTTTTTTTTTTTTCCCTCCTTTTGGCGGGAGGGCAGCGGGCATTTTAAATATAAATAATTTCTTTGCCTACTTTCACACTTCGGCCTCCTCCCCACCCTTGCCTTCTCACAACCACTTCCCATCTCGCGCACACTTGCCGGCCTCTCCCCCCCATACAACCTCCTCCAGCCTATTTTCTAACCTATCGACTCGACATCCCTCATCATGGCCGACGACGAGCAGGTAAAAACATCCCACTTCCCTATGCCTCTTCCCCGCATCCGTCGCGGGCGCTACTTTGTGGAATTTTTTTTTTATTTGGCAGCCACAGAAAAACAATGAGTTCTGGTCGCTGACTCTGGTCTATAGCACAATGTCACCTTCGAGAGCGCCGATGCTGGCGCCTCCGAGACCTTCCCAATGCAGTGTTCTGCCCTGCGAAAGAACGGTCACGTCGTCATCAAGGGCCGTCCCTGCAAGATTGTTGAGATGACCACCTCGAAGACCGGAAAGCACGGTCACGCCAAAGTCCACTTGGTCGCCATCGATATCTTCACCGGCAAGAAGCTTGAGGATCTCTCTCCCTCCACCCACAACATGGATGTCCCCAACGTCCGCCGTCAGGAATACCAGCTGGTAAGTTGCCACTTGTTTGCATAATAATCGGTGGTGACGCGAGTTCTTATATACTAACACCACCGCAGCTGGACATCAGTGACGACGGTTTCCTTAACTTGATGAAGGAAGACGGAACTCCCAAGGATGACGTCAAACTTCCTTCTGGTGAGGTCGGTGAAAAGATCGAGCGACTCTTCAGAACTGAGGAGAAGGACGTCAGTAAGTAAACCCCCGCTACCTCTTCTAGATCACAACGGCCTTTTCCTCTAACTGCTTTATAGGCGTTGTTGTTTTGACTGCCATGGGTGAGGAGGTCGCTATGGATGCAAAGGAAGTTACCCACTAAGTTAGTACGACAAATCCTGAATTACCATTTTAACATTATTCTACCTGCTCTTGCTAGAATTCTGTGTCCATAAGCCGTTCCATTAAAAAATCACCTACGTGGGCGTTAAGCACCCTTGGAGACGGTCATCTTCTTTGACTTGCTTGCATCCGCAGATGGCAGAAATAGGTCCTAGCAGCTTTTTCTGGGCTATGTTTTTCTAGTATACAAGTGGATGCTCTTCATGTGTGGCATTTCCTAAATGACAGAGTGATGATGAATGAAAAGATATACGATGTCAAAGCATTTCCTTCGTTGTACAGCCACCCTCTTCTATATCTTGTCCCATTAGAGTACGCCAGAGAATACCTTGAAAACCATTGGCTCACGTGCCACTACCAGTAGCTCCTCTCTAGTCATCGAATAACTACTGTATTGAATTTTTTTTTTAAAAAAAAAAAAAAAAAAAATCTGTATTCTCTCTCCGTGGGCGTGGCGAAAGGGCAAAGGTAATCGAGCCGAGCAAATCAGGCATAATACACAGCCTGAATGTGAGTCTCGTCCAACGTTCCATGCGAACATGGACTTCTGATGGCGGAGTCGATGCGCGGTATCTGCGGCCAGGAAGGCTGCCGCGAAACCCGTTACTATATCGAAAACGGGCTGTGGTTTTGCCGTCAAGGGCATCAGCAGCAGGTAAATGAAAAGAATTCGACTGATAAATAGTTATCCAGCCAGTCTTGCTTACTCTGCGCGTATAGGGCCAGGAAGTGGTCGTAGACGACGAGAATTTCGGCGGCCACGGCAGAACAGCCCGACGGAAGAAAGTCCAGGCTGAACGGAGATCCAAAAGTAAGACCTGCAAGACATATACCCAAATCGTTGGTTTAACTACTCCTGCTAATGCACACTTGCTAAAGCTTATCATGGGAGTGATGCATTCCAGCTGTTCCTGGAAGCCTATCAGCTCTTGCTGTGGAAACAATGTCACGCTCTGGTTCATGGAAAGGGGCTTCCCTCAGAACTCGAGGTAAGGCTTCATCAAGTTCATATAGTGCGAATAAGTTTTGCTAATATCGAGTGTCTAGGGGATTGTAAAGGATTTATGGATTCTCCGGCTTGAGAAGATTTATGAAGGGAGAGATGATATCTACACTGACGATGAGAATTCGACCCAGCTCTTCAGTTCTCAGACTGGCGTGTCAAGCGAACTTGATAAAGAAGAGTACCAATATCACAAGCGGAAGCTCAGTACTTCACCTCGAGTAATTGATTCCTTGGCTCTTTGCTACTTGGGTACATTGCTACTCCGCCTTCCAGTAAGCATTGGGTACATGCAAGAATGGGTTGCTGAGGATGAAATACCGTTCATGAGGCCTCTCCGCTTTATACCCTCAGACATGAAAGACCGGCTACCTGCAATATATCACATGGCATTTGATACAAAGGTAGGTCTAACTACGTTTACTTTAAATGTCTATAAACATAACGTCTAACATGCATACCAGAATCTACCCGTCGGGGATCAAATTCACCGAGCTGTTGCGGACTTGATTGTGCTGTACCACCGTGATTTTAGCATAGAGTTCCCGGCCATTAACTCATCGTTACTTCTTTTCTCTTATGTAAAGAAACTCGCTCTACCTAGTAAGTTGACCGATAAGGGGCTTCTATTATAACAATTATCAAATAACTTGCTGCTAATAAATGATACAGTCGAAGTGTATTCATCTGTTAAGCGGCTTATGAAAAGCGTGGAATTTACATACACATTCCCAAAAGAAATAGCCAGGAGATTTCATCGGATATACCTACCAGAGGTGCAGCTGATGAGTCTTGTTGTTGTTGCTACTAAGCTTCTGTTTCCATTTGATAACGTCAAAAGATACCCACGGACATTAAACGATCCTTCCGTTCAAGTTATAGATTGGGAAAAATGGGCTGAAGCTCAAAGTACATTTGACCGTAGGGGAATTTCACAAGGGCTCCTCACAAATGGTGCTGCAATGCAAGCTACCGAGATGGATGCAATGGAAATGACACAGCAACAGCTAGATGAATACATGGATTGGTATGATAGACTTTGGGTTGCTGATAAAGGTAAGGATGACCTCCTCGTTGTACCTATGCGCAGCATCCGCTAATTCGATTCTATAGATATCAAGGCTTCCAACCCTTTCGCAGAGATGTTTCCAACCACGAGAACAGCAGCTGCCAAGATGGGTAACCAAGCTAGGCAGACGGATGATGAAGCAGTAGCTGAAAAGTTGCAAGCTGTCCTATCCAGCTTACGAGTTAGGAGGGTGGTTACTGAAGAAGAGGCTAACAGGCTTATGAGGCCTATCCCGAGACCGGGATGCGATTACTTGCGCTTCCGTTATGAATATCAACTACCAGATATTGCAAGGTATTTCTATGACACCGCCGCGAAAACCATTGGCGTGTCTTTGGAGACTCTGGTCCTTGCTGTGTATCAGACAGAGGGCCGAATTCACGTTCCAAAGGGGAAAGCCAGAGATAGTAAATAATTAATTCCAATGCTCTGTACTAGACTTGAATAGGAAAATCAGTTGGCCTACCCTCCAATATATATTATTAGTATTATCTTTAATCGCATCTTTGTTGCTCGTTGGTTCCGGCCCTTTCGAAAGGCTGAAGTTGGACGGCTCGCTTAGTCAGCACAGAGAGTAGGGCTTAGGGTATTTGCTCCCACGAGCTAAGCGAACACCTTCGAAATCTTGATGCTATCTTGAACGTCTGACGAAGTATCGGCAAACCACGAAGCAAAATAGCGACAGATTCACTGCCAACAGTAAGTTATCTCTGATATAAGTTGCGCGCAGTTTCCCTGAATGATCTCTAACATATCTCGTTTTCTGCCATGTAGTGCAGATGTAGGTTGAACCCCAGCACTCCGATCCAACCCTTTAAGAACATCCGAGATATGAAGAAAAGAGGGCTGGATCCATGGATTTGGGATGCGCAAGGCTGACTATGTGATCCCTTTCGTTTCAATCGATAGCTTCGTCAAGAACCTGAGTGGAAACACTCTCACTCTGAACGCAGAGCCCACCGACACTATCTCCGCCATCAAGTCCCAGGTTTTCGAGAGAGAGCTCGTTTCTGTCGATGAACAGCGATACGTCTTCGGTGGAAAGCACATCCGCGATGAATTCCCATTGAGCGAATATGGCATCCAGAAGGTATGCTTGAACAACAGCACCCGGAAGACTAGAGATATCGATCTATTCGAGATTATATGTGGCGAAACAGACTGGAATGCAAAGCGGTATCTAATGCGGATGGAATGATTTATAGGAGTCCACCCTTCACCTTGTCCTCGACCTTCCCGGTGGTATCATCGAGCCCTCCTTGAAAGCCCTTGCCTCCAAGTTCAACTGCGAGAAGATGGTCTGCCGAAAGTGCTATGTACGTGGAGACCATATACCCAGCATTCACGACCGGCGTCTGCAGCTTCTGGATATGTGACTAACCATGTATCTCCTGTTTTAATTAGGCCCGTCTCCCTCCACGTGCCACCAACTGCCGAAAGAAGAAGTGCGGACACACAAACCAACTCCGACCAAAGAAGAAGCTGAAGTAAACTGGTGCTTTTCTGTTGCGTGGTTCCGCCAGAGGTTGTGATATGGTGTTTTACTTGGGTGAACATGACATAATGACGCCTTTCAAAGGAAGAAGAGGCACTATGTTATTTATTTATATTTCCAATTGAAAAGGTCTTCCTAGAATTGGCAATACCCGGAGCTATTCAGATAGCATCTCAACAAAAAGTCTCACCAGCCTCACTGCCCTACGGAAACGAGATTCTATGAGAATGTGGAGTAATACAATGTCAATAAGCAAACAACAATAATACAGCATTCGAAAGACGCTCAGAAGGATATTTCAATTAGTGTTGCAAGAAAAAGCTCATCGGTCTTTGAAGAGCCGGGGTATTCCGAGGATGTAATATTTCAAATTTAAAAGCGCGAGTGCTTGTCCTTGTCATCATGCTTGTTATTACCCTTATCATGCTTGTCATCGTGGTCATCGTCATGCTTCTTCGCATAACTTCCGTGACTACAATGCGAATTGTTAGCGTCCGCGCGTATTAAAAGATTGAATGGTCATTCAACTTACGCAAAGAACAGCACTTTAATGGCAATGGCCAAGGCTGCATGAAGCACTATGACCACAATAAGCAATATCTTGCTCGTCTTCATATCCGTAGCACTTAATACCGGATAAAGATTCCTTAGCAGGAAGAACACCGTCCAGCCAAAGCCAACTCCAACAAGCGCCCAATTCAGCGCAGTAAGTGGACTCCAGCTCACTAATGCAACGACAATCCAGATCAGATTGGCATATCCGTAGAGCGCCCAGCACTCAATCAAATCCGCACTGGAGCTTCCAAACCAACGTAAAGCCCCCCATAAAGCAACGGGCAATATGAAAGTGTAGCCGTAAATAAGTCCGGCAGCGCCGGAGAGAAGGCGGAAATCATACTCGAAATGGTGACTGCCTTTTCTCGCCAGGTATTGAGAGACAGTACCAGTCAGGAAAAGAATCACTACCACGGTAGTAGCAATCCAAAACGGTCCGTATAGGTCGGGGTTCCCATCCAGAACATCGAGGAAATTGGATCTTGGGTAGAGAGTCGAAACACATCGTCGGAATACCTCTGAGGTATCAACGTCGAAGTATCGGTTGTAATATGCTATACTCCAGATCTTTGCGTTGGATCCTGCGCCTCCTGACCCGCCCGCTTGTCGAGAAGATGAGCCGCCGAGGAAAGATGCGGAATCTGGGTGACCTTTTGCATTGCGTGGAGTCTCATCGAAATCTGAGCGAAAGTGCCCGAGTTAGCTATATTGGATATAATCGCCTAGACTCCGGTAAAAAATAGGGACACATAATCTAAGGACTATATCAGGGAGACACGAGTCGTACTTGAGGAATGAAATTCAAGGTCTTCTTGAAGGTCTGTATGGCCAAGGTCGCCCTGTTATGGAGTGTTCAATTAGTCTGGGAAACGCCCTTGATAGCAACATAAGAAAACGGTAACAGCATGCCATACCTCAGCATCAACATCCACTACTGCATCGTAGCCTCGGTTGGCCATCTTTGCTATTGGATTGTAATGTCACAGATATCGTTGATGTTGGAGCCTGCGAGATGACGACTGGCAAAGAAGGACAGCTTGAACATCAGGCTTATGTAAGCGTTGTAGCATGGGGCCAGAGCACGGCAGTAGATGAAGGTCTATGCAGCTGATAAATTTTATGTCTATTCTGTGTTTTATTCGTAGGCATACATGAGTGTCGTTTAGCTAATATACAAGAAGAGTGCGACCTAACCTGATCATAACCCCAAGGTAGTCTTTAGAGGTTCTAGATAACGCCAGAGATGCTTTACAAGGTCAGGATCTCGCTTCATCATCCAGTATGAAAGGATCCCGACAGCAACTGTGGCACCAACAAGCTTGATGGAAAAAGAGTGCTTTCGAATAAGCAATACTGCATCTTTACGCATCTTTGCCCGCTGCAGGCCCCGGATCTGCTGATGAAAGTAGCCCCTTGCTTGATCCGAAGTTGACTGCAAGCCAGGGTTTCTCAGCGTTTTAAGGACACTGTAGGAGGGTATAGATTTCCACGCACCACAGGGGAGCTTCTCAGGCGGATGGTCTTGGTATATCCGTACCGTATTCGAGATCAGGGTCTCGAGGTCCAGTGGGCGGGGTAGTTTTGACAGGACGCCATGAAACATCTCAGGCTCATCCTGAGGAATATCGTACAATTCGTCTTTTCTTGAGAGAATAATGGTAGCAAACAGGTATATTGATACAACCGGCTCATGGGCGAGGATGAAGTCGTAGAGTCGGGCAATGTGAGTGTACTCTTCGATGTCATGTGCGTAAAGCGTTAGGGTGGCAGCAAGGGCAAAAAATGGTTTGGTGCCGGATAAATGTTGGCCAAGTTTCTGGTCTACGGATGTGATGATAGCGGGTAGTAGTTGAAGATGTGTAAGTGCGGGGGAGAGAGATGGAAGCATATAGTCTCTTATGCGAAAGAGAGAGATATGTTCCAGAGCTTGATAGGCATGTTTACGGTCAAGAACGAGGAGTAGGACCTGGGCAATGTCATGGTATCCTTGGAAATAGCAAAGCATAGGGTTTCGCCGCAATACTGATACGATCAAGTCAAGTAGTTCATCTCTTTTATCCTTGAGATGTTTCTCTGTCTTATCTGAAGGATAATATTAGTGGATCTGCCAGAATATACTCTCCGTAGCCAAGTGTCCACGTTGACAAACTTACAGTTGGGGTAATAGACAAATGATCTATCCACGTCTAGTTTGACTTGATCCTCGTCGCCGTGGCATGGCAACTCAGACAGTGGCGGAAGTTCCAGTGTGTGGGTAGCACGTACATATCCCTGAAGAATTGGCCCTGATAAGAAGCATTTAGTCAAACCGTCGAGGAAAAATGCAAAAACGCACCACAAGCTCCTATCTTACAAACTTGTTTTCGTATGTCATCTTCCAGCAAGCCTCCTTCAGAGGTGGCGAGCTTAGCTAACAGCCCAACATCCCTTTTTCTGCTTGCTTTGACGATCTCTGCTCTCTTCCGACGGTAGGCTTTTGAATCAGCAGGCAGCCGACCTGGATTGATATCTCCTGCCTTGGGTTCTTCGTTTGCCATAACACGGTTCACTTCTGGCTTTCCCCCATCGACAGATCCGGTAGACTGAGATAGGATTATAGCTGTAAAGGTATAGAGGGTATCAAACGCAGACTCGTCGAATGGCCAGGGAAAGGACAGAGAGAGAAGACAACAAGAGTTGGTTGAATCTTTCCAGGGGCTCAACCTGAGATGAATGTATGTGAATTTTGGAATATATGGTATACCCCGTTGGAGGAGGGAAACACCTGCTAAAACTCTATCAGGCTTAAAGGAGAGCCATGCTGAGCAATCAAGGGGCGGTTGTGCGTATATACAAGCAGCTATGGTCCCACAGGTGACGGGTTTGCAAGATAAAGGTGGTGGCTATGCCTGGGGCAAAGCGTTCAGAGGCCAGCTATGCAAGTATATCTGTGCTGCAGAGATGGGTATGACAGGCAGCGTCCAGCCTATATTCTAGAAAAACCTATAACTCGAAAATTTCCAGCTATCTGAATGGTCCGTCTGGAGAACGATACGTCTACACACAATGCTGTCCAGTGTTGGTGATACTGGCGTAACGTCTGGGCTCGCAGCTTCTCGGCCGCTGGTTGGCTGGAACGGAGAAACCTTCATCCGATAAACTTTTCCGTCCACTTGGGAGGTCGCAACATCGACGTAGCGGGAAGAAGGAGGACGAGGAAGTACAAGCAGGACACGCTCGACTCTCTTCTCTTCGACGAGGCCGGGGAAGCGCAGGTGTCCTTTGGGGGTGTCTTTTTCTCTGTCTTCTCGGGTTTTTGCGACGCCAAAACGTCATAACAACAAGGGGTTCTTCCACGACGCCTTTTTTGCTTGTCGTCTAGTTAGCCTCACAGTGGGTTAGTCCCTCCCGAAAACCAGCCAAACAATTGTGTACTCTATGTCATGCCTCTGTATACAACGAACATCCCAGCCCACCCTTAGGACCAACGGTGATTATTCTTTTTCTTACCGGGAATGCAGTTTTATTATACCCGGCATGGCCAAATGAAACACCCATCTCGTTGTCCTGCGTTATCTTGTAGGATCCGATACCTCGTCACTCCTCTTGAGGCACCACTGGTGTAGGGTGGTATATATGACCTCGGTTGCCCTCCTGTTTATTTTCTTCTAAATCTACAGACGCACAAATCTCCAGCAAGGGAAAATAAGCCTAGCAATACTACCATATCCGACCAAGCAAGCCCTGGTCTTCCACTTCGCTAATATAGACTCCCTTCCTATCCAAATAGTGTATGGAGTACCCCCGCAGTGCATTTGGGATTCTATATAGGACCCCATTTACAGTTTTTGCCTTCATTATACTTACCATTTGCATCCCGGTTCTACGTTTTTTAGGTAGCCCAGATCCAGCACACGGAGGATAGCCAGGATACCGCATATTGGTTACCAAGTAGGCCGTGTTTAAGCAGAGGAACAGCTCTGCTTTAGAACTTATGTTCAGGCCTCACTCTAATTCCTATTGTATTGGTGTAAACCTCTGTTTCTGTCTACCGGGGATCGATAAAACTTTTTCTTGAACTTCACAATGTCGTTACAGACCACCGTCTTGGTCAATGGGACGTGGGCCACGAGGACGGTTGATATTGGAGAACTCCTCTTTCGAAACCGTGAATCGGACAGTATTTTGGGAAGAGCAGAGAAGGCTCAAACACCTGCTACTGGAATACTGTCCAGAACCCTTGCTCAAGGGCCTGCGGTTCAATGGATACTCCCAGCTCGCCTCAGACATCAAGATCAAAATGATGTTGTGTTCATTGGTGATAAGTTCATCCAGATCAAGGAACTAGTACCAAGCGGCCATTTAGAAGAAGTGGTTACCAAGTCTGATTTCGACTCCAGGATTATCGGTGCCAAAATAATTAACTCTCAACCAGGTCCAGAACTAGAGGATCAAATAAAGCAAAGTGGAAGAGTCTCAAGTCACTCTACTCAAGGATCACAAGATGAAGGAAAGGTTCCACCTCATATATTGGTTCTAGTGCTAAGCTCAAAGGAAATTCTTTTTATGTTTACCAAGCCTGGATTTCGTGGTGCTCCTGAGTTTGTTTATTCTAGGCGCCCCTTGCCAGCAGATACAAGTGCTCTCGAGGAATATGGAAGACACATCGCTGTGGAACCACGGTAAAGTTGAGGCATTCCGTCTTAAAGCAAGGTTGCAATACTAACAAGTACAAGGGCACGAGCAATGGCCATTTGTGCCGCACAAAAGTTCTTTGGTGTATTCTCTCTGAAATCTCCGTCTATGATTCAAGCAGAAATGGCTCAAGGACCCGTAAATCCTATCAAGGAGGTAATGTCTCCCACGCTAAAACCCATGGACATGAATGCTCACTCTGGTATCCTATGAACAGGAGTGTTTCTTTCGTGCGGACGGTGACATTTTGAGGATGGAATTCCTTTACCCAACGCCACCAGACAATGACAGAATAATTCTTCTATTGCTTATAGCTCAAGACTCCGAGTCTTATTATGTTACTTACGACTGGACTTCCATGGAAACGCTGCGATCTGTGGAACCAAGGGTCAACAGTCTTAGGCTTTCTAACCATTATCGTCTGCCAACAGTTCTGATACCCCTAATTCACTCAACTTCTTTTATGGTTGCAACACACTCGACCATGTCCATCTACAAAAATGTCTTAAATACAGATGGGCCAATCGCACCAATGAACTGCCCCTTCCCAACTCTAGAACATCGCCCGCGTTCGAGAAACCAAGTTTGGACTCACTGGGCTCGAGCCAGGCGAAACCGGATCAGAAACGCCCAATTTGACGATATTTACCTATGCCGGGAAGATGGTATGATTTTATACCTAGAGATAGGCAAGTCTGGAGATATAGAACGCCAGTCGAATCTAGGTTCGCTTGGCTGTAACCTTGATACTGCCTTCGCAATTCTGCCGGAAGGATACCAAGCCGGAGATGTCCTGGTCACCGCCGGTAGCATGTGCGGTGGCGGCCTCTTTATTGAAGATGCTCGAAAACCACCAAGGTGTATACAGAGAGTCCCGAACTGGGGCCCTATCTTAGATACTGCTGTGATAAAGGCAAGGCGTCCTACTACAAGCTCACTGTCGAAAGACACCCAACAAGGCATGGGGCTACCATTTGATCGAATCTTCACTTGCTCCGGTGTTGGACCCGATCACGGCACTATCTCCGAGCTGAGATATGGCATTGAAGCACAAATAGGCCTCAATATTGAACATGGAGCTTGTTCAAGCATAACAGGAGTATGGGGAATCTCTGTTCCTAAAGGAGAAGGTACCCTTTGCTTGCTAACAGACCCTATGACGAGTTCTTTGATCTTTATACCAATAAGTGGCACTGAAGAAGCATTTGCTATGGACGAAGAACGAAGTGGTTTAGATCTCGATCACCCAACGCTAGCAGCCAGTATCACGCCAGACGGTATTGTAATACAAGTCACTGATGCATCAATTCGGTTGAGCCATGTTGTCTTCCAGCAGCGGTCTTCTATAACATGGGGTGATCCAAACGACCGAGCCGTCGTAGCCTTCACCAGTGGGCCCCTTTCTCTTGTTGTCGTAGCTTTAAGAAACGGTAGCGATGTTCGAGTGGAGCTCCGGAGCATTAGTTCTGATGAAAATGGATGCAAATGTACCCTCATTGGACCGCCTCTTGCTCTCGACCAGGAACCAATTTGCTTCGACGTTGAGGAACTTGGCGGCAAATTATATCTCTTTATTGGTACAGGCGAAGGGAAACTCCTGATTATGGCAATACATAGCCTGGAAGGCTTGACTCCTCACCTTGAACGTGGGATTATGATGAGCAAGGATAACCTTGATTCACCGGTGTTCGAATCTCTAAAGCTCATATCCACTCCTGGTGAGGAGAAAAGGCTGATGTCCTTATTTTGTGGCCTCCGGAGTGGGCATTTAATTCCCTTCAGAATCACTCAAGATGATACTTCATTCGGTAAGTCATTAACAATTCTTGGGTGGTACCAGAACAGGAATACTGAAATGATACATGTTTCCATAGAAATACACCAATTGCCACCTCATAAACTCGGTGAAACTTCTGTTCGAATTGGAGGCTATGAATCCGATAAAACCTTGGCTGTTGTCTCATGCGGTCCAGGCCTTTGGAGGGTATCACACAGCCCCATTGAGGCGTCATTGCATTACTCTCTAGAGAAAGTTTGGATCACTGATCAAAGCAAAGTAAGCCATTTGTAACTCATCGTTCCTAGGCAAAGTGATGCTAATTGGATTACAGCCTGAAAAGATGCAGCCTATTGTCGACATATTCAACTGCGTTGATTTACCTGCACAGGCACCAGCCACCGGCCTTAGTGGTTCGTTGTTATGTATTACCGACAATACTCTCTTTGCTTGTAGCTTGGAAAAAGTTGCAAAAGCTGTTCCTCGCGAGATACGTGTCCGGGGAAATCCGAAGAGACTCGTATATTCCGAATATTTGAACAAGTTGATTGTGGCTTATAATAGGGTGGACTTTGACTTCACTTCATCAACAGAGGGGACCAAACGCTGGATTTGGCCCAAGATTGGGTTCCTAGACCCTGATGGGGAGACGCTTATTTCAGCGCCAATCGATCTCAGGGCTAGGGGAAACGAATCGTCCGCACCTACAGTGCTCACCCGCCAACCTGTCGGAGCATCCGGTGAAAAAGTGACAGCATTGGTAGATTGGAAATTTTACGGCGAAGGCAATGAGTACCACATGATTGTGGTAGGAACCTCCTTTCCACAGGTCGAGTACAAAGCAGGGAGAGACATCTGTGTCGAATACAGAGGGAGGGTTGTTTACATTACAGTTCGACAAAACCCACCAGGTATCGGGAATATTGATTGCATGACCAAACGCATTCATATGTACAACCAACCAGTCCGAACAATAACCTCATTCGGACCGAGCTCCCTGATCGTGGCCTCTGGAGATGACTTGCTAATGCAGACGCTGGATCCGTCCACTCGAAAATGGCGGAGCCTGGAGCCTCACCATCTTGAATCCCATGCGGTTTCAATCACTGTGAAAGAGCCCTTTATTTACGTCCTGACCGCCCGCCACTCGCTTATTGTCCTTCGAGCGACGCAAGAGGGGCTAATTTTGCATGCTCAAGCGGGCGTTGATAAAGGGGGACTTGACCATGTGAATCTCGACGGAGAACTCAAGACTATATTCACAGCTAATCGCGGGGGAGCAGTAATTGGTCTAAGAGAGTTTGGATTAAAAGATGATAGGCTGGTTAGACCGGTCTTTTCTGCCATCACCCCTTCCGCAGTGGTACGAGTATCTCGCAGTTTCCGGCCCCACTCCGGCGGTTGCGAGATAGCCTATGGTACAACACTGGATGGCACGCTTTATCGATTCCAAATGCTCACGGAAAACGAATGGCGGATCCTTCGATTCATTCAATATTCATGTCTTGCGGACACCAATATCTGCCCATTCCGCCGCAAACGCCGAATGGCTGTGGACGAACTGTGCCCTTTGCCAGATAAGCCTGAATACATGCATATTGACGGTGACATTCTTGCTCGTCTTATCAGCCGCGGGGCCAGGTATCTTGAAGATATGATGCGAAGGACCACTCCGGACAATGCACCGCCTGCATATGCCGAGAAGAAGGTAGAAAGATTCGTTGAATTTGCCAGGCTGGTTGTAGGCGAGACCAACGATCCATTTACGGATGTCCTGATGTGGATGGAGAATATGCTCCGGATTGAAATCTAGCACGCCACAGCGCTGCATGTCTGGTGGATATCTCTTCCATGGAAGGCGTACTCTCTTTTCCACTCGTGTTATAGAAGAGTCGATGCCGTACCTTGTCTTTTATTTTTTTTCTCTTGTAGCTGTTCATAGCGGGATTCTTTGCTTAGGCTGTTACGAAAAAAAAGGGGGGGAGGGGAAACGGTGCACTACATTCAACATTCTACAATATAACGCTATTTCATCTTAGACTACATCGCTTTCAGCTCCAGGATAAAAAAAATAATGTCGAACATTTACATTTGGCCGGCAGCGCATCCTTGCAGATGAACTCGCCACACAAGTGAACAGGCTGAAGCGTACCCGAAAACAACCTACCTTACCCTTGGATGGAAAAAGGAAAAAGGACAAGTACTAATCACTGTCCTACCCCAGCCAGCATACTGGATGCCGCCTAAAAATATGAGTGTAAGGTGTCAGTATAACTTCTACTTGTACGCTGATCTAGATATCAAATCCAGGGCCACCAAAAAAGTTAGGCGAGCGCTTAGCTTAGTAATTTTGAGCTTCGTTCGAACCGTTAAAAAAAAAAAAAAAAAAAAAAAAAAAAAAAAAAAAAAAAAAAAAAAAAAAAAAAAAAAATTCCCCCACTAACCACAGCCTGACCACCGAGTAAAAGGCTCGAGGGGAGCATAAGTGGAAGACACGTCCAAGGGGACACGGTATAGACGGGCTATAAAATTAGAGATCAGGGGGAGCTTAGGTAGTTACTAAAAAAGCCAGAAGTGAGGTCGCAGTTGGAGGCGGAAAAGCCCCAACCTTAACTAAACAGGGTCCCTTCAAGTAATGCCACCCGCTATCAACTTTTTACGATAAGCACTGTTCGAGGGACCAAGTCACCCACAATCCTCGTTTCTATATCAATCCCGCGTACAAGAACGGCGAAGAAGCGCCGGGTAAGCTGCAACTAGGTATTGGTCCCCTGGACATTGTTCAGGCGAGTTCCTTGCTAATCTCGTTTATAGGAAAAGAAATCTCACAACGCACACGACTGGACCAAGATGGCGCCTAAAAAGAAGTCAAATAAAAAAGCCGATGACGACTGGGAAGCAGAGCTGGGCGAGTCGATAGCTCCGGTAAACCAGACTGAGAAGAAGGAAGAGCCCCAAGCTGACGCTGCTGCTCCGGAGGAAGACGATGACCTGGGTGGTGGACTGCTCGCAGCTCTGAGGAAGAACAAGAACAAGAAGGCAAAGAAGGGAAAGCCCACCAATGATTTTGTGGAGGGAGAAGATCCTGCTTCTACCATAGAGAGCAAGCAACCTGAAGAGGGCACATTCGACGAGGATGATGTCTTTGCTGGAAAACCAAAGCCAGCCAAGGGAGCTGCAAAGAAGGAAGCAGCCAAACCATCAGAATCTGAGGAGGGCGGAAAGCTGAAGTCGAAGAAGGAAAAGGAAAGGGAGAAGAAAGAGAGAGAGAAACAGAGGAAAAAGGAACAGGTAAGTTATATGACTTATCGCTGGGCGCTGTACGATTAAGGTGTACGGTCTTTACTGACGCCTCCATTTACTAGGCTGCTAAGAAGAAAGCATCAGCTCCCGCAGCTGCTGCTCAGCCTGCTACCAAACCGGAAGCTACAAAACCTACTCCTGCAGCTGAGACTAAACCGGCCCCAACCCCCGCCGCTGAGCCTGCTGGAAAGAAGAAGAAGATCCCAGCTCACTTGGCTGCAATCCAGAGGCAGCAAGAGGCATTACGAAAGCAGCAGGAGGAAGAGGCACGTCGTCTGGAGCTTGAGAAGACATTGGCCGAGGAAGAGCGCAAGAAGCTAGAGGAAGAGGAGCGGAGAAAAGAGGAAATCCGTCAGAGAAAGAAGGAAAAAGAGAGGGAGAAAAAGGAGCAGCTTAGACGAGAAGGAAAACTTCTGACCAAGGCTCAGAAGGAAGCAAGAGACCGAAATGAGCTGCGAATGAAGCAGATGCTGGAGGCCGGTGTTGCTGTAGTAGCTGGACTGGAAGAAAAGCCCACGGAAAAGAAGAAGCCAGTGTACGACAATAAGAAGAAGCGTGGAGGCAAAAAACAGGAGGAAGACCTAGAAGCTGCTGCAGCCAGAGCCAAGGCACAGCACGAAGCTGAGGAGGCTGAGAGGAAGCGACTGGAAGAGGAGAAGAAGGCAAAGGAGGAAGCTGAGGCAGCCAAAAAGGCCGAAGAAAGTGATGACGATATCAAGGAGTCTTGGGATGTTTCGTCTGATGAGGAAGACGAAACCAAACCAGAGGCTAAGGAGGAAGCCCCTAAGGCTGCTGAAAAGGAGGAGCCAGAGGCCGGTACGCCTGAGGAATCCGAGTCGGAAGAAGAGTCTGAAGAAGAATCCGAGGATGAAGATGTCACATCTACACAGAAAGCCCTTGCACAGAGGAAGGCAGAGGCAGCAGAGCGAAGAAGGAAGCAGCATGAAGAAGCAGTGGCAGCACAGTCGAAGGACAACCTTCGTTCTCCTATTTGCTGTATTCTTGGACACGTCGATACTGGAAAGACCAAACTTTTGGATAAAATCAGACAGACCAATGTGCAGGAAGGCGAAGCTGGAGGTATTACCCAGCAAATCGGAGCCACCTACTTCCCCGTTGACGCTCTTGTCCAGAAGACTGCGGTCGTTAATAAAGATGGCAAATTCGACTTCAAGGTCCCTGGGTTGCTTATCATCGATACGCCTGGGCACGAGTCCTTCTCCAATCTGCGTTCAAGAGGATCCTCGCTTTGCAACATTGCTATTTTGGTCGTTGATATCATGCACGGTTTGGAACCCCAGACTCTCGAGTCCATGAGGCTTTTGCGTGACAGGAAGACACCCTTCATCGTGGCTTTGAACAAGATAGACAGATTGTTCGGCTGGAAGAAGATTGACAACAATGGCTTCCAGGACAGTTTGGCTAAGCAAAGCAAGACAGTTCAAAGCGAGTTCAAAGACCGAGTTGCGAAGACTAAGCTTGCCTTTGCAGAGCAAGGATTTAACTCCGAGCTCTACTATGAAAACAAATCCATGGCTCGCAACGTTTCTCTAGTTCCTACTTCGGCCCATACGGGTGAGGGTGTACCTGATATGCTCAAACTACTTGTCACTCTTACTCAGGAGCGTATGACCAATGCACTTATGTACCTTTCAGAAGTGGAATGTACTGTCCTGGAAGTGAAGGTCATTGAAGGTCTCGGTACTACTATTGACGTTGTCCTTTCCAACGGTGTACTTCGTGAAGGAGATCGTATCGTCCTTTGCGGTCTCAACGGGGCCATAGTCACGAATATTCGAGCCCTTCTAACTCCGGCCCCAATGAAAGAACTTCGACTCAAATCTGCATACGTTCATAACAAGGAGGTCAAGGCTGCGCTTGGTGTCAAGATTGCTGCCAATGATCTCGAACATGCTATTGCCGGTTCTCGACTTCTTGTAGTCAACCATGATGATGACGAGGAAGATCTTACAGATGAAGTCATGTCTGATCTGGAAAACCTCCTCAGCAAGGTTTCCCGAGACAACCGTGGTGTTGCTGTTCAAGCTTCCACTCTTGGTTCCCTCGAAGCCTTGCTAGAGTTCTTGAGGACGTCAAAGATTCCTGTTGCCAATATCTCTATCGGACCTGTATACAAGCGTGATGTGATGCGTGCAGGCGCTATGCTTGAAAAAGCCAAGCAGTACGCCGTCATGCTCTGCTTCGACGTCAAAGTTGACAAGGAAGCCCAGGCTTATGCAGATGAGAATGGCATTAAGATTTTCACTGCTGATATCATTTATCATCTGTTCGATGACTTTACGAAGCATATGGAAGAGCTCGCAGCCCAGAGGAAGGAGGAGAGCAAGCTACAAGCTGTCTTCCCTTGCGTCCTGTCACCAGTTGCTGTGTTTAACAAGAAGGACCCGATTGTTATTGGTGTTGATGTTACTGAAGGCTCCCTCCGTCTTCTAACACCAATCGCCGCCGTGAAAACCAACCCGACCACTGGACAGAAGGAAGTCATTAGTCTCGGTAGAGTGTGAGTATACCTCCGACTTACTCCGTAATAAGATATGTTTGTACTAACTTTGGCCCGCATAGAATGTCCATTGAGCGAGACCACAAGCAGCTCCCCATCTGCAAAAAGGGACAGCCTTCCGTTGCCATCAAGATTGAAGGGCCCAACCAACCGCTGTACGGCCGCCAGCTCGAAGAAAAGGATACACTTTACTCGATGATTTCCCGAAAGAGCATAGACACACTCAAGGAATTCTACCGATCGGACGTGACGATGGAAGAATGGGCACTTATCAAAAAGTTGAAGCCGGTGTTTGATATCCCTTGAAAGTCCTTACAGCGCCAAATCGCCAATCCGTTAAAGACACCATGATTCATGTTGACCAGCATGCAAGAAAGCTATGTTTGTAATGACCTTTTGTCTACCTTTGCCTGGGGGATATCTAAAAACTTCTATGAGTGGATCGCGTAGAATTATCATTCTTCCTTTTTTTTTTTTTTTTTTTTTTTCGCTCCTTTTTATACTATTCAACATAATGGGCTTGTGAGCCAATGTTCAACCAAATTGCGCATACCATGCCACCATGCAATAACACAAGTACTTGTCAGCTATAGATATACAAGAATCGGTCAAGAGAAAAAATAGAAAAGGCCAGGTCAAGTCAGTGTCTCAATTCTCAGGCCCATCCCACCTTTCTACTCGCCCACCATTCTTCTCCCAGTCCAGAATGCTTCCATCGTAAACCCCGATTCTGCCAGCATCATACCCCGCCCTAACAGCCAGTTCACCCGCCGTACGGGCCCGAATGCCAGCCTTGCAGTAAAATACCATCTTGGCAGTAGTATTATCATCGCCTCCCTCAACCCCTGGCTTCGGGAAGCCGAACCGAGTCAAGAACTCGTCCGGGGTCAAGAACATGGCGTCTGTCTGGGATCCGATGGGTATGGAAAGGGCGGAAGGGATGATGCCTGTTGCTTCGAGTTCGGGGGGTTCGCGGACGTCGATTAGGATTATATTTGGTTTTGAGGAAGGGGAGGAAGGGTCTTGTTTGGGTAAGGCGGAGTTTATCTGCTGGCTGTCAGGCATTCTGTAAAGACAGCTAGGGTAGTTGACGGCTGGTGATGCTTACGTCTTCGAATTTGTATTCTTTTAAGGAGAGGGGTTCGTAGGAGCCATTTGATTGTGATAGGCGAGTGGTGTTGGAGAGTAGTCGGGCATGGCGGACTGTCTGGGTATATATAGTCTTATGGGAGGGAGTTTGCCTGGTATTTGCGGCAATGGTAGATTGCGCTCGCACCCTTATGCCCTGGAGCCGACGGGCAGGGACAGCAACGGCGGAAGAGGAAGACCGAGAGGCCCTCGAGCACAGACGAAGGGCTGTTCTGTTAGGAAACATTGTTGCTCTGCCTGTTGAATAAATGTTGGTTGATGATGCTGGTGATTCAAAGGCAGGAAGTAAATTGGAAAAGTCGCAGGCCTCGGCAAGTCGACGCCGGGCTCCGCAAAAGGAAAATAAGGTTTTTATTTTGGGTTTTCTTTTAACTCCGAAGAAAGAGGATGATGACGTAAGAAATATAAGTAAATATAAAGAGCAACGAAAAAATAACAAAATAAACAACTTAGATTGACGTTGACATTGACGTTGAGCCGCTAAGGATAGTAAGTTCTCGGGAAGGAAAAAGAAACAAGACAAGGTGAAGTATGGGTGAAGCGAGGCTGAAGTAAGAGAAGAGGAAGAGGTGCCTTCACCGAATATCATTCATTAATAGCGATTAAGTATTATATGCACTCCATAGCATGCCCTGATTAGCTATTGCGATGCGTAAAAGCCGCCCCCCATTCCCCTTTCCCATTCCCAAAGGCGAGACCGAATCGTCAAGACACACGAGTTGCTCGCACTGTTCTCGTATACCATATACGAGCCGTTTTCTGAACTTAAAAAGCTTTTGCGAAAGAAGTAAAAAAAAAAGAAGAAGAAGAAGAAAAGAAAAAGAAACGAGAAAATGTAAAGGGCGTGACGAGGGAAGAAATAAGAAGATCAAATGCGAAGTCAAAAAAGTGAAGTAGGAGAGGGGGAATGTTATGGGAATCATATGAGAGAGGGGAACGTCTGGGGTAGAAGTTCCATAAAGCTTGAAAGGGAGAAGGGATGGGGCATTAATAGAGGGTTTAAGGGTGGGGTGCAAGGCAAAGCCCATCATTCTGTAAAAGGATCACCGTACATAATGTATTCAGCGCGATGAGAGAAAAGAGGAGGGGTAGAAGAATGAGAGAAGAAGAAGAAGAGGGAGGGGAGGGGGAAGGAGTGCAGGTTAGTTAGGTATTAAGGTGAGGTGTGTCCTCGAACCGGTTGTTTCGATAATTGGGGGTAGGGGTGTGAAAAAGTAGCCCCATCCATGAGTCATTCACGACATTATTCACTCTGGTCGGGGTCGTACGACGAGTGGGCAATCATCCTATATGAAAAAAAAAAAAAAAAAGTAAAAGTTAGTATCGCGGGAAGTATGTGCCAACGGATCAGCTGAGGCGACACCTTACCTGTGGGAAAATGGTAGCGAAGACTTTGATGTCTTCGGACTGGGGCGTAGTGTGGTGCTCCCAGTCAAGAGCCATACTGGCCTTTCCAATCAGGGCCATCAAGTTGAGCTGTGCATAAGTCTGTCCTAGGCAGTAGTGAGGACCTGTGCCGAAAACGAGGAAGTTCTTTGCGTTCTGCTCGGCCGTCCCGGTGATCCATCGCTCTGGGATGAAGGATTCCGGGTCCTCATAGGCCTCGGGGTCATGGGTAGCCGGCCAGACGGATGGAACAATCATGGAGCCCTTGGGGAGAGTGTAGGTAGGTGTGACTGGAAAGTCCTTCTTGACTTCATAGGGAACCATGATGACTGGAGGGCGGTATCGGAGGGTCTCTTTTACGACAGCACGGGTATAGGTGAGCTGGTCGAGCAGTTCCATGGAGGTGGGTGCGTCGCGATCACCGTTCCGAACCTTGAGGTTCTCCTCGCGGACCTTGTCGAGAATGTCGGGGCGATCGGCCATGATCTGGAAGAGCCAGGTACAAGCGCTGCTGGTTGCGTCCTGAGAGGCAAAGAGGAAGGTGAAAATGGTCTGTGCAATCTCATAATCCGAAAAATCACGGAGGATGTGCTTTGGCTTCTCAGCGTCAGGCACAGAGATACCCTTGGCGATCTTTTCACGGTAGGCGGCGGAGTCGAGCATGGCCTTGACCCAGCCGTCCATGATGCAGGAGATCTCGTGGCCAGCAGCCATGCGGACCTTGCTCTTTGCCGCACACTTGCTGAACTCAGCCAGAACCATGTCAGCTGCCTTCTTTCCGTACCAGGTCTTGGTGAAGGGAAGGATGATGGGGAAATTGACGAGCTCGAGAGCGGCGGTGATGAGGTAGTAGTCGTTGGCAATCTTGACCACGGCCTCGTTGGTCATGTAGTCGCCCACAAAGGTCTGGCAGGAGAGAGCACACATGAGCTCTCTGAACTGCGGCATCCAGGGGATTGGCTTGTGGTTGTTGTCGGCGGACTCCTTGATGAACATGCTGAAGTACCTGTCGTAGACGCTGTCGAGAAGGGGCATGTAGACGCTCAATGCCTGTCTGGTGAAGAGGCCGTTGAGACCCTTGCGGTACTCGACATGGTCCTTGCCATCGAGGAAGACCCAGTTGGTCTTGCCGAGCAGCTTGTGAGCCGAGTCGACAACGCAGGGCTTGACGTACATGGGCGAGTTGAACACTTTGCGGGCCATGTCACGGGTAGATGCGATCACGACGAACCTAGCCGGGACATCCGCCATCAGCACAATGCCATTATTAAGATGTATATATATAACAATATAAAGGTACAAATAGGAGGTCAACGTACTTGTGGAAGACAGAGACGCAGCTGAGGTCTCCACTGGCCCATTTTGCCTTGTATTCAGAAAACTTGGGGTTAACGGACTCGAGGAAAGGTCCCATGAAGGGAATCTTGAACCGGGGGCCGACAATTGACCCCTTGAGCCATATGTATTTAACTACCCACGATGGTCATGTCAGTCAACCGGCAACCCACACACAGACAGAGAGAGAGAAGGAGAGAGAGGACGAGACGGCGCCGGAACGAGAGGGAACTGACATTGATCGTAGGCGACCGCGAAGAGGAAGAGCGCAAGGACGGCGCCCCAGCCAGACATGTTGTTGACGAGGGCCATGAAGAGGCCGGACGGCGAGGCGACGGCGGCATGAAGAGACGCATCTGCCGCCGGCGAGGCAAAGCTCCCGTTGACACTGGCCATGCTTTCGCTGGTTGATGCTGTTGTCGTTGTTGTTGTCGATGTCGTTGTCGTCTGATGCCGAGATATAGCGGGCGAGAAGAGAGCTCTCCTCTCTGTCCCAAGACAAGCTGCCAACTTAACTAAGAAACCTCCCTTGTTGACTGGTTCAAGTATGGCCCATGTAGCGACCGGCGAGAGTAACTGAACAACAGAGAAGACCGGAGCCCAGAACAAAGCTGAGGTTGTCTGGCTGCTGCGAGATAGAGAGAGAGATAAAATGCGGACCTCTCTTCTTGTCTCTTTCTCTTATTTTCAACCAGCTGTTTTGTCCCTTTTGTGAATAATTAATTTTGTTTGCTCTGCAGGAAGAAGAAGAAGACGAAGAAAGTCGAGAAAAAAAAAAAAAAAAAAAAAAGGAGGAGCAAAAAGAAAAAAAAAGAAAAACCAACAAATCATGAAATTAATTTTAGAAAAAGAAAAAGGAAAAAAAAAGAAATAAGAGAAATTAAGATAGGCGGGATTAGTCAGCGACATGCAAGGACCGGGAATATGATTGGTCGGTGGCCCAAAGAAGCCTAGCGCGGAGGACGGAAGCCGGGGTGGGCCGAGCAAGGGGCACGAGCCACGCACTTGTGTCATGCCAAGGCCGGTTTATGCCGTGTTTCAGCGCAGTTTATGCACGCGGGCGTGGTCGTAAGGCGGGCCAGCGCGTGGCAGTAGTAAGATGTATCTATCACGTGATTATCTCGTATAAAGAGTCACATGACTAGGCGTACCTGAAAAGTGGCTTGAAGGAAGTAAACAAAAAGAAGAGAAGATGAGAAGAAGAAATACAGAGTACGAAGTTATAGGGGAGAGAAGAAGAAGAGGAAGAAGAAGGAGAGTGTGCGCGAGAGAGAGAGAAGAGAAAGGCGTTGAGTGTGATGGCGCTTCTACTGCAGCCCGTCGCCTCATAGTCCGACAGAAAGAGCTTCCAACTCGCTCCGTATAACTAGTACCTAAGTATCCCCAGAGCTAGCTTTTAGGGCGTTTTATTCCCACTATTGGCCGGGATTAAGGGGTCGGCTGAAGCAGAAAAGGAAGATTGGCAAGCGCCTGCTAGTGTTGCGAGAATCGAGTCATGCCGCTTCCGAGGGCTTCGCTGGCCTTTCTAGCTGGATTTTCCATGCTGCAACTCCCGTATTCTAAAAAGCAATCTTGGCTGAGTGTGCCCGCTAGACGCAACTCACTCCTTCTACTAGCGACTCCATCGCAGCGACTTCTCTCGTGAGCTAAAGGCGCAAAGAAACTCCGAGGGAGCCGAGAGAGACGAGAAGCGACTTGTGCGTCCAGCTATTTGTCAGCAAAAGGGCTCGGGCTTTGGCCGCGGGGGGAGGAGGGAGGAGGGAGGAGGGAGGCATCCGAGAGAGAGACTATATAAATATAGAGACTGCATCGGACAGGTCAGAGGAACGATATATCAAAAGACAGCAAGGATAGCAAGGGATGCCAAGGAATAGCAGCCTGCGAAGAACGCCCAAAGAAAAGTTCCGTATATCAAATCGCCCATGGCCCATCACGATGCAGCCCGGCAGCCACCTGCACCGCTGGCCGGGCAAGTCGGCTCCGGCAAGGCACCATCCGCCTCATGCCATCTCCGCATCGCCCGTCCCTCCCTCGACATCGCCAGGACGGTGCGCTTCTACGTCGATGGACTGGGCCTCAGTGTGCTCTGGCGGTGCGGACCCGAGACCCTCGGCGGTCATGCGCTGGTCATGCTGGGGTGGCCTGGAGCAGCGTGGCATCTGGAGATAGTCGATGACTCGCAGGGGGAGACGCCCCCAAGGCCGACGGAGGAGGATCTCTTGGTGCTTTACGTGGACGGCCCAGTTGATCCAGGCACCGTCGACAGGCTGCTTGCGGCGGGCGGGAAGAGAGTCACCGCGCGGAACGAGTACTGGGAGCGCTTTGGGGTCACCCTCGAGGACCCGGACGGGTACCGTCTGGTGCTCAGTCAGAGAGGCTGGACTAACGAGGCCATGCCATCATAGTAGTATCCATATAACTATTCAATCAATCATCGCAATTCTTCTTTTTATGCATCTATTTTTTTTGGCTTAAATGTGGTTATATAACATTTCGCTGTGTGGGCTGGTGTCTAGCGACCAAATCCAAACCAGCCCTTCTTGGTCTCCTTCTTGGGCTCCGCAGATGGAGCCGGCTCAGCTCCCACCGCACTGGTGGCCCCTGCGGTATCAGAAAGGATGCCCTTCTTCTTCTCCATCGGATACTGGATGTAGTTCCACGCCAGATCGAGGAAGATGGGTTTGACGGGGATGGGCTCCAGCCTCGGTGGATAGGCCACAAGGTTGCTGAGATCTACCCCGTCAGGGTGGTATTCTTGCATCCGCCGCACCACCGGGGGCAGCGTTGCCGGATCTCGTTGGTCGGACTCGGCAGCCAGTTTCTCGATCTCCACTATGCCACGGTACTGCCAGACAAGATGCTCAAGCTGGACGTGCAGCTCTTCCGCCTGGGATCGAGTGACGTCGACGCCGAGTGGGTGGCTAGATGCCTCAGTTTCCTCGCTGCATGATGGTAGAGCCTTGGATACAAGTTCGCCTGCGCGGATGAACAGCGCAAGAGCGTTTTTCGACTCCGACTTGAATGCATAAGACCTGCCAATAGCGAGACATCTATACACACACATGTTAGTTTTTCACCTATCTATTCGTTTTTGTGGAAAGCAAAGACCTACCGTAATGACTTGAAGTAAGAGAGTTTGGCTTCAAGTTCTCGAACAAAAGCTGCATCGGCTGCAACACCAGGAAGCTCCTTGACAGACTCCAGACTCTGCAAAATAGAATCATACAACACCACATGTTCTCGAAGCCGACTAATTCGTCTACCCAGGCTTTCTTGCTTGGAGGTTTCCGCTCCGTCTTCTTCTTTGCCCTTTCGACGAACAGCCGCCGGAGGAGTGAAGTTAAGCCCATCAGCGTCACCACAGAGCACCCTGTTCCGACCAACTCGCCATCCCACGAGCCGGTAGTTGACAGCCGTCTTTGTGATCTGTAGACTCTGCATCCGGGCATCACCCTGGTCTGTCCCTTCACTAGTCAGCTCGTCAATTGCCGCCTTCGTTGCGTCAACAGCGTCCTGGCTCGCAATTATCACATTATCATAGTTTGCTGCTGTTTCTTTGGCAGATGCCTTTTGACCACCTTGCTTGGCAATCCAGCCTGCCAGTTGAGCCTCCGCTGAAGCGGCAGACGCCAGGGCCTGTGATATCGCGGAATCTTCGATCTTCACTGTCCTTGACCTCCAAGTAATGGTTTGTGGGAAAGTCTGGCCGTCTCCTGATCCAGCAGCAGCATTCGGCCCTCCCTCCGCGGTATCCTCACTTAAACAATGTGGATCAATGGCTTCTACTTCCCCTCTCAAGGGGCTGTCTGTCGGGAAATATTTCTTTGCAATCGTGCTTAGAGGCACTGATCGAGGTATCTTAAGCTGGTACGCAGAGTAGCGTATGCTCGGGTCAACCGTCCCTGAAATAACTTCCTGGATATTTCCCTGCTTATCCTGCTTCTCCAGCGCAGCATACAACACTCGAGCCAGGGATGCTTGTTTCAAACAATTCTCCCATTGTCGTCTCTCCATCCAACACGTCGTCATCAGCGTGGCCAGATATGCGTGAGCTTCTAAGGTGTCGGTTCGAGAAGCGCCTGATTCCTGCTGGTTCTGGAGTGCGGATGCCAGCTGCTTTGCGTAGACGGTAGACTTCGTCAGCCGGGAGATTATATGTCGCCTTGCTGACCCAACCATCCCTTTCTTTGACGTGTCCTGAGAGTGAACGGATCGCATGTGCATGGCTTCTGCCCATGCTCGCTCAGCCGAGAGAAGTAGTATCCGAACATATCTACAGCCATCATTAGCACCAGTAGTAACACGATCAATTGCACAAACACATACCCCTGATCTTTAGCTATGTCACTAGATGTGATAGCTGCTTTGCTGGAGAATTTCTTGTTCTTGGGCGTTGTTCTCCCCAGTCGTTTGTTGAGGGTATGCAATCGTCGTGTCAACATCGCTCGATACTTGTTGTAGTCGCCCATTGAAAGGGCTTCCGCCCTGTGCGTCAGGACGAATCCTGTGATATCCATGGTATTATTCAATCTCCAGCTGCGTCTCCACGTCCCAATAATCCGTCTATCAATCGTCTTTTCTCTTGCTTCTGCTTCTTTTCTTTCTCCCCGCCAGCAACTTTCCCATTTACACATTGATTATGTAAGCATTTGTGTGCTGAAAATATTCCGGCATCGCTGTAACTATTATACGATATGCTTACTCAGCAACTTGCCCTTTTCCTGACCAAAGCTTCAATTTGATATTCAAGACGACGAGCTCAAGTAACTCTCTGCCCACGTCTCTCTTACGCTGCTCATTTTATTAGCCATCATCCAGCTCTGTGAAGAATAGAAATTGGTTTCTTAGTGACATATTTGGGCCGGGAGGCATCCTTCATCTCGAGACTGGTGCTACCTACACTTTTCGACTTCATGAGGAATTTTTTTCTCATGTTTTAACCAATTTCCCTTGACTTCGTCCCGATTATGCTCTTTCAGCTGTGAAATGCCAATTCCTCTCAGAAGTGTGCTAGCTCGCAGTCCAGGGAATGCTCGAGCGTGCTGTTCGGTGTATCGAGAATGCTAGCCAGCATATCTATCTCGGTTCCAAGCACACCTTCCGGTCACGACATATATTGCACCCCAAATTCTGGCACTGCAATACCGACGACTCCGCTCTATCCCTTCTATATTACTACGCCGTCCAGTCGAGGTTAGGGAAGAGGTCGCCCGCGCAGCATAATAACGATGATGGCCCCTTGGACTCGACTCTCCCACCCACACCACTCGAGTTCCTCTACCCTCCGAAAACCCGGTTGTTCGCCCGCACCTATAAATCCGAATCCAAGAGAAATCTCACTAGGAGAAAAAGAAATATATACAGAACATACTCTTCTTCGGCCAGCAACTGCCTTACCGAGGAATCATTAGACACAGGAAATTCCTTTTCAAACGATGTTAGATCCAATGAGAGTCCAGATGTTCTCCGAAAATTCCTTACAGATAAGGGGCCTCGGGATTACGGTGCTGCGTGGTGGCTCTATAGATCGAGTGGCTCTCCTAGAGGATTCGAATCAGATCTTTTATCATACCTTTCAACATCTCAGGACCCCCGAGATTTTCAGCGTTGTCAACTACTTTTTGAAAGAATAAATCCGACGAATCGCAGCGAGCGTGATTACTTGAGCACAGTCAAGATTGCCTTGAATGCTAAAAGCAGAGCATACACCAATTTTGCCTTGGAATTGTGTGGGGAAGCATCTGCGCGGGGCCAGACACAATGTTGGCAATATGCATTTATGGAGTTTGTGAATCGCATGGACTGGGAGAATGCTCTTGGTGTTTGGAATCTTCAGCCTCATCCGCTACCTAATAAGCTACCAGCCGTGGACCGCCAGTCGAAACTGTTAGCAAATCGGTTGCTTGCTCTCCTCGAAGTTGTTAAGCAGCGCAAAACAAATGATACAACGGAGATGGCTCGCTACATTGTTCAGCTTGTTATCTCTCATGATAGAGCCATGATGTCGGTGTCAATGAACGAGCTACTGAAGATTTTCGAAAATTCCATCAAACTTGAACTCTTCAACCATAACGATTATATTCTGGCTATCAGATCTCTACTATCCTCCAAGATTAGGTCAGCAAATGGTCGTTCAATCATGTTATATCGCAACTTCCGTTGGCGAATTCCTCAAATCACCCCACCGAAAGCATTGATTACGGGGCTGTTGCACATGCTGTGTAATATAGAGGTCTTGGAAGGTGTCGATTACCTCCTAGACGAATACCGCTTACATTATGGCAAACCACCGCTACTGGCTTACCATGATGCCCTGACTGTCTCAGCGAGACTTGGTGACACTTCGTCGACACTCCGGTTTTACAATGACTACACAGCAGACCATGGGCGTGCTGATTCAACAGAAATTCTAACTCCACTACTATATGTCCATGCCAGAACTGGCGACGTGAAGGAAACTCAAAAATGGTTCAACCACGTTTCCGAACTTGGGGTTGAACCACGGGTTCAGTACTGGAATATTCTGCTTACTGCCTATTCGAAAAATAAAAACCTAGAAGGGGCGCTTCGTACATTCCAACATATGCTTCAGAGCGGCATGGCACCCGATGCCGTTAGCTTCACCATTTTGATGGGTTTGTCTGCTGGGCGTGGTGATATCAGGGCCGTTTTGGATCTATTTGACATGGCTAAACGAAACGGAGTCCGTCTACAGCGCTCTATGTTCGACACCATGGTTGAAGTATTATGCAAACATCGACGGTACCTAGACGCTGAGAAGGTGGCGGAAGAGGCTACGTCAAAATTTCCCGCCAGTACTATGACCAGAACTTGGAATATTCTCCTATGGAATTACGCATACACCATTGATATCACTGCCGTTTTAAGAATACAGAATCGCATGCAGGATGCGGGAATCCAATTTGATGGCATGACATATGCCGCAATGATGTCCAGTCTTGTTCGTGTTGGCAAAACGAACTCTGCACGCAAAATCTTGGGAGTCTTGCACAGAAACCACGAGATTCATTTAACACTATTTCATTACGCCATTCTTCTCCACGGCTACGTACAGGAAACAAACCGTGATATGGTACAAGTACTGTACACCGAGATGATGGAACGTTTTAATAAAACTGGCTTGAGTGGAACTTTGGCTATGCTTCAATCTCAAATTGATCGTGATATCCGACGAGCTAGGGAATCAATGGGAAGCGCATCCAGCGCAAAATTCGCCCTTCCACATGCAGAAAAACTTCTCAAAACCGCCATGGCTCAGCTCGATACCCAAGACTTCAGTACCAAACAACCGCAGCCTGGAGCCCGGGGTCGATCATTGCGCGAGGCATTCCCTGCTGCATTTTATGAACAGCTTATCAGGGCGTATGGGCGGAATAACAGGGATGAAAAGGTCGGAGAGCTATTCTTGGAATTTCACAGAAATCGAGATCCACGCTCCCAGATCGCTGCACATCCCCTATGATACTCATGCTCTGATGGTAACTTTTCTAGCAAAGAATCCAGCATTTATGAAGTCAAGAAATGTTTTGAGGCTGCTCATCACTGATACAGCTCCAGCGCTCGCGCGAATCATGTCAGCAGCTTATCACGCCCAACTGGGTTTCTGCGGCACCCAGGGTTAGCAAGAAGGGCCCAGCTGAAGTTACTTTTTGCACAAGACACCAACAGTCCTTCCATCTCACCGCTTTGATCTTTCACACTGCATTTCGACTTATATGCGATCTCTATCATCACAGAATCTCCACTTAAAAATCGCGGATCTTGTGACACAGATTGAAAAGCTTGGGTTTGCATTCAGCACACATAACTGGTCTCTATATGTTAATATTCTCTGTCTTTCCCGTGACCCTGCTTCCCAAATGCGGGCATTCACTATTTTCGAGGAGAAGTTCATGCCCAACTACCCAGGTTGGAGGTATATAAAACGTGGATATACCCTTAGGCCGGAGGGTGCACATATGGAAATGGATCTCATGGAAGGGCCTTTCCGCCGAGGAAAGCCTGGTCGTATGATTGGGCGTAAGGTCCGTGCTCTGTGGGCAAAGGTTCAGCCAGATTACATGCAGCCTACTCATCTCAATATCCTTCACCTTGCTTCCGCCCTTATTGATTTCCGATCCCGATCAATCGTTGACGGAGGAAAAGAGATGAATGAGTTGTTTTCTAAGGCACCTAAAACATACACTGCCGTTGCCACGATCCCATACTTGGAGGAAAAGTTCCAAAATATCCTTCGCCGCTACAAGGCCGATCAGGCGGATATAGAGCGACTTCCAAGAGTTGAAATTTCCAACGACGATGTGTGGACCGGCGGTGTTTTGGGAGAGGGAAGTGAACGAATCAATACTGGCGAGGTAGAATCTTCTTTTGAAGAGGATAATGATGTTCGAGAGGATGAAGACAACGCCGACTCCGAATGGACACCTGAGATTCATGAGCAGCCCAATATTTTTGAATCTACTGAGCCAGCGCCCCCGTTGTTGGACTCTTTGTTGGCCGAAGACATGTCCCGCCGGCAGAGGATGGGCGTATCAGAGCAATCAAACGCTGTTCCTTTTGCCGAGCGAGTATTAAGCCCTGAGGATCAGTGGGATTTGGATAACTACATACGCCACTCTGCGTTTGAAGAAACTGAAAAGTAGTCATGGCTCATCCACAACATCTGTATATAACATCTCCCTGCTCAAAGCAGTGTTATAATCTTCGTCTAGAGAGTCCCCTAATGTACCAACATCAACCCTATGTATTATAGTTATATCCATCTTGAATGAATAATTAATATAAACTGCATAAACCGGATCTTCTTTCGAGTGTCGGGTAGTAAGTAAGACTTGCCCTTCTCATTGGTCTAATTAACGCGCGTCTTCCCAGAACCACTTTAAGTCGCGTGTCGCGTGTAAGTCTCGCGTTTTATGAGGATTTTCTTTCGCAACTTCAACAAGTCGGAAAAAGACACCCAGCAAGCGTCACAGTCCTAGATAACTAATCTGTCTTCTCGGCAGGTTGAAAGACTATCTAAAAGCTGCAGTTTTCCTTTGCAATTTGGCTTAACAGCGTCTTTCTCCCTGATATTTTAGAATTTCCCCTGCCCAATATGGATGGCCCCCCGCTGCTTCGAGATGAAGCTGCTCGCGATAACAAGCGAGCGGCAACGGAGTTCCTTGACCCTGGTTAGTTCTGATATAATTGATCTGGCATAGTTGTTCTAAGCTCTAACAAGTCTCCTTTAGTTGATCCCCGAGCTAGAAGGTAGTTTTATACCGAGTATGACAATGAATCGCCGGTTCTAACGTCCTGTAGTTACCGCGCAGACATAGCTGTGATGATAAATAGAGGACTTCGCAGATTTACGGTATGTAACTGTTCTCGCATAATTCATATTCAAAGGACAAAGGGAAATATAAGCATGCTAATTGCCCTGTCTCTTCTAGATTAGTATCGACGATATCAGAGCCCACAGCCCAGAGCTAGCAAAAGGGTATAACCCCCGTCAGCATTAAGCTTGAACGAAACGAATTCTCACACTTGAATAGACTACTCACTTCACCCTTTGAGTATACATTGGCATTTGACCAGGCATTGCGAGAAATCGTCACAACTATAGCCACTCAACCACGAAGCGAAGATGTAGATGAAACCGTGCGTTAAGATACAACCACTACATTTTCTAGGCTCAAATCTAATCGGTGGATAGGAATATCACTGCGCATATGTTGGTGCATTTGGTGAATATGCTTGCAATCCTCGAACACTCAGCTCATCACATTTAAACCGAATGATCGCCCTGGAGGGCATCGTAACAAAATGCTCCCTCGTCAGACCAAAGATTATTCGAAGCGTTCATTACAACCCCAAAGCCAAAACTTTTTTGTCAAGGACATACCAGGATCAAACGATGACAGCCAGTGGATCAACAAGTTTAAATGTGTACCCTCAGCAGGATGAACATGGAAATCCAGTGAGAAGCCACCTTCAGAATCCATTGGGGACGGTCTGTGTTTACTAATGAATGAATAAAAGCTTATAACCGAATATGGATACTGCAAATACCGAGACCACCAAATGATCTCCATACAAGAAATGCCGGAAAGGGCACCTGCTGGACAGCTTCCACGTGGCGTTGACGTTATCCTTGATGATGATCTTGTTGACAGGGCTAAACCAGGAGATAGGATACAGCTCGTAGGAGTTTACCGATCTCTTGGAAATCGAAATACGAACTCTAGTAGTTCAACTTTCCGCACAGTGGTTATAGCAAACAATGTCATCCACCTTGCCTCGAAGTCTGGAGGAGGAATTGTCCAACCCACGATAACGGACACTGATGTTAGAAACATTAACAAACTGGCAAAGAAGAAGAATATATTCGATCTTCTTTCCCAGTCCCTGGCACCGAGTATATATGGCCATGATTATATCAAGAGAGCTATATTGCTCATGCTGTTGGGTGGAATGGAAAAGAATCTGGATAACGGAACCCATCTTCGTGGAGACATCAATATTCTAATGGTTGGTGACCCGTCAACAGCCAAATCCCAACTTCTACGATTTGTCCTTAACACTGCTCCATTGGCAATTGCCACCACCGGCCGAGGTTCGTCTGGTGTTGGTCTTACTGCCGCCGTGACCACCGATAAAGAAACCGGAGAGCGTAGGTTAGAAGCCGGTGCTATGGTTTTGGGAGATCGAGGAGTAGTGTGCATTGACGAGTTCGACAAGATGAGCGACGTTGATCGAGTTGCAATCCACGAAGTTATGGAACAACAGACCGTCACTATTGCAAAGGCCGGTATTCATACGTCTTTAAATGCGCGGTGCAGTGTCATTGCAGCCGCAAATCCAATCTTTGGGCAATATGATACCCATAAAGACCCGCATAAGAACATTGCTTTACCCGACTCACTTTTGTCCCGTTTCGATCTTCTCTTTGTGGTGACTGACGATATTGACGACAAGAGAGACAGGCTCGTTTCTGAGCATGTTCTACGAATGCACCAGTACCGTGATCCAAGACAGGAAGAAGGAGCTCCCGTTCGTGAGCAAACTGGCTCCAGTCTTGGAGTCGGGCTGGAAGAAAGCCAGGACAAGAACCGAACCACCGAAGTGTACGAGAAGTTCAATGTTATGCTTCATGCCGGCATCTCTCAGAGTGGTAGAAGGGCTGGCAAGAAGGTGGAAGTGCTCAGCCTTCCCTTTGTCAAGAAATATATCCAATATGCGAAATCACGAATCAAGCCAGTTCTCAGCAAGGGGGCCGCCGACCATATTGTGAGCACATACTCTGCCCTCCGAAATGATGAGCTACTTGGAAACCAGAGGAAGACATCTCCCATGACTGCTCGTACGCTTGAGACCTTGATTCGTCTCTCCACGGCTCATGCAAAGGCACGTCTGTCCAACAGGGTAGATGAGAAGGACGCCAAGGCTGCTGAAGCTATTCTCCGATTTGCTCTGTTCAAAGAAGTGGTTGAAGATGAGAGACGCAAGAGACGCAAGACTGCCAATATACCAGAATCGGACTCTGATTCAGAGGACTCCGACAATGACGATGAGGGAGACTATACACCACGCAGAAGGACGACACAATCGGCTGCAGGAACTCGGTCCAGCAACCGGCCGGGCCTCAGAGGTTCCAGAGCAACATCTACTCCTGGCGTAATTGGTACGAATATTGCTGATGATGATGATGTTGATGACGACGAGGATGGCACATACAACGCTTCTCCTAGTGGCCGGGCAGCACCCTCGTCTAGACAGACACGAAGCCAACAAACACAGTCCCAGTCGCAAATGTCTGTGGCCTCGTCACATCCAGCATCCCAGCTTCTTGAATCTCAGGAGACAGACAACACAGAATCTCAGGCGGATATCCTGGCAAATGCGGTTGCAGCATCCGCATCCCTACCTCCACTCCCACCGGCTCGTCTGAGCACGTTCCGACAAGCTCTCGGCCCACTTATGAGGTCTGATCTGTTCCAGGGAGATTCCGCGGATGTGCAGAAAGTCGTTGAGGCTGTTAACACTTCCGTAAGGTCGTCCAGTGCAGGAAGTGATGGTGAGTTTGAATTGGCCGAGGCACTCCAAGCTTTGGCCGTAATGAATGACCGAAACGAAATCATGTAAGTTTTCCTTTTTCTTTTCATACCCTTGTCAATTCCGGTACATAGGCTGACTCAATTGCTACTAGGTATCTTGGTGACGAGACCGTTTACCGACTATGAGTACTCTGATGTTTTTTCTATAGATCTGTAATGAGTGACGGCGAGTTGATATATTTTCCTATTCAAAAGTACCGTGGTAGCTTCACTGGTTTACACACCGACCTTGTATCTCCTTTAACATGGTTATAATACGCTCAGGAGACGGGCGATACAAAAAGCTACTCTAAGTGAATACTATCTCTATGTTTGGCTTTCATTTGATAGCCATCCTAATTTCAATTGCTGTTGTGACTCTTAGTGCGAAATGCTATGGTTTCGGTGTGAGACGAGTATCATCTTAGTCTAAAAGCGATGTGTGAGAGACCTAAATCTCTGTATTGGCAATGTCCTTCTCTATATCCAGGTATATCGGGGGTTTATAGGGAGGTCCGTAACTCCGCTCTCGTGCTGACTCACCTAAATTACCTCCTCCAATTGGCTGAAAGGCACAGTCAGGTGATGGTCACGTGCGACAAATCCTGATTCTTCTTCCCCCTTGTAGCTACACCGCGATCTTCCTGATATATCAAGACTCTAACACTCCCCTTCCTACACATTTTCGCGAATTTGACGGCGTTAACTTTAACTCTCCTCCCTTTTCAACGTAGTTAGTTTTACGGACCTTGCTAATTAACTAAATCTCATGCTGACACTGCTGCTGCTGCTGCTATCCATGGGACAAGAGCGCTCCTACGAGGTTTAACTTGCATTTCTTCGGACAGTTGGGGTTAATTGCAGTTGACCCAAAATTATTGGAACTCCAACGACTCAATAAATCTCTAGCAGCGGACGTGCGCAAATGGCAGGAGACCATAGTTAGCTAACTACTTATCGGTGGTCTAATCAACTACATATACCCAAAAATATTCTTCTCCCTTTGTATAAGGAGGGTGGTGAGAGGTCGATGGATTAAGCGAGATGATGACTGGCTATCTATCTGACACCCTTTTATACCCTTTGCTAGCTATAGGTAGGCATGCCGGGCCATGCAACTTATGCCAAAGTGCGGTCGATGACGACATAGCCGATGGCTTGTCTATTCACTTTGGGTGGCTGCCAGAAAGGTGACGACAGGAAGGACAGCAGGAGCAACACACCATAGTCGACGACCTCACCAGCTCAAGCGGCGGTGACAGTGACGGTTGATTTGTCCTGTCCTGTCCTGTCCTGTCCTTCCCTGGGTATAAATATCTCTGATATCCTCCCGAGTCCTCTCTTCTCTTTTCCTGGTCTGGTCGCCCTCACAGTAGACACTCACGTCAGCTCTTACTTGGAACCCTCTCGGCTCTCATCCTCTGCCTCACTTTGACGGTATCTCGGACTCGACTCTTACTTTGACTACACTCCTCCACTCGTCCGTTATTCTCATAATGTCGACCCAGCAAACTGAAAAGGAACACCTCCCCGAGGTCTACCATGCCATGCTCTCTGATGAGCAGCGAACGGCTTTGGCTGAGTCAAGGAAACGGATGCGTCAGGCTTCCTCAGCGTCGAGTACCTCTACCTCTTCGGATTTTCTGGCCACCAAGATAGACGCGCTTGAATCAGAAGTTGAATATATTGACTGCAAAGCTGCCATCCATGATCTCTCGCGTCGTAGACGCCTGTCACCCCTTGTGGCGTTAGATACCATCAAAGATCTGGCACTCGCATCTACGCCACTAAACAGAGAAATCCGTGTCATTTAACGCCAGAAGAAACTCGTACAAGAAGACATGGAAGCTGCAATGCCCCGTAGGGAGCTCGAGTCTGCATATGTCGATGCCATGGTGGCTAAGGATAGCATCAGCATCCGGGAACCAGACAAACACCAAGTTCAAGGCAAATTCCTTCCGCCAGGGTGTTGAAGATTTCTACGAGGCGTCCAAAATAGAGGAAACGGACTTTATGCCACGCAAACTCGCATTCTGCCATGTCTTAGGGTGGCTCCCGTCGAAGGAAGTCCGAGCAGCCCATCTTGTCCCCAAGAGCCTAGATGAAATATCAGTTGCCCACTTATTTGGGGCTGGGGCAGTTACTATAGATGACCCTAGAAATAGTGAGTTTATAACCCTTATACTTCTCCCTGTCTTCGATCAATGGTAGTTAACGTACGCTAGGTCTCATGCTTGAAAAGAACATCGAAATGGCAATGAACATGGGAAACGTAGTGGTTGTACCAGTGAAAGCACCATCAGCCGCAGATGAAACTATCCAATGGAAACTCGTCGTCACAGACCCAGCCCTACTCAAGCATGTAGCTACCGGTGGAGCCAAGTAGAATGTAAGAAGACCTCCTCCTTAGCAACCAATCTATCAACCAATAAAGTATATACTGACACCCATTAGTTTCTGCATGGCAAGACGTTGACATTCCTCGGCAATAACCGGCCTACTAGACGATATCTCTACTTCCGGTACGTCATGACGTACCTGATGCTGAAAAACCAGGGCAGGTTGGACTGGGTGCAAGAAGTTGAGACCAGGAAATGTATGTGGGCGACCCCTGGCAAGTATCTGCGTCGCTCAATGCTCATAAACCTCGCTCGTCGGGTGTCCGACCACTACCTCCCCGAGGTATTCTATAAATCCACGACCTTCGATGGCGACAACTCCACGACCAACGTGGACGAAACTGAGGACACCTTAGCCATCAACCTCGCAAACAGCATGTTGACTAGCAAAGAAGGGGATGATGCTGAAGATGAGGAAGAGGAGGATGAGGAAAAAGAAGACCTCGAGGAGTAGCCTTGGTGTGTGACTTGGCTATGGGTGTTGTCTAGTTCTTTTGGCCAGTTGAAGACGCCAGATACCATACATATATTAAAACATTTTTTATTTTATTCTATTTTATTCTATTTTATTCTATTTTTTTTTTTTTTTTTTTTTTTTTTTTTTTTTTTTTTTTTTATTTATTTATAGTGTGGCCTAGAAGAAATTGCAAAGGAGTTCGGAGTGAGATCACTAAATAACAATCATCTACAGTATGTAATTATTGATGTTTGAGATACCAATTGCAAAGCTGTGGATGATGTAGAAGGAATTGTAATTGATTCAATGCTAGACATAAAACAGGCTATATATTTCCAAACGCTCTAATGCATGACGGCTTACCAAAGTAAAAATGCATTCTTTTTGCTTTTGTTTCCTGCTATCACGAACCCTCGTCACTGCCGCTGGCTGACAGGGGAGTCAAGGGGGTAGAAAACCTGCTTGATCCCGAAACGGTCTGAGAGACCGACTTGTTCCTCTTGGGCGTGCCGGGAGAACCACCACTGCCGCGGCGGGAGACAGACGACCGCCGCTCACGGTCAAGAGGCAGCTTGTCCTCGACGTCAGAGACGGCATGGGGCGTTGAACTTCGAGAAGACGTCCTCGAGTGCGAGTGCGAGTGCGAGTGCGAGTCAGCGTAGGGGGGTGTCCGGCGGAGTTTCTCCCGCTCGCTGCCGTTCCAAGGGCGGGAGTGCGAGGCCCTGTGATGGGTATATTTCTCGATGTCCCGGCCACTCTTGCTGATGACGGGTATAGCACGCGGGTAGCTTTGTTTCCAGTATCTCCATCTCGCCCACCAGAGCCAGCCGGCGTTTGCTCTGGCCTGTTGGCGGGTGAACTCCTTGATCTTCTGGCGCAGACGAGCCCGCCGTTCGTTCTCCTTCTCCCAGTAGTCGGTCCGGTACTCGTCCCAGTTCTTGCGGAAGGCCGGGGAGAATGATTTGGGCAGCAAGAGCAGCCGTATGTAGTCACCCCCGGGAGCCAGGTCTTCCTCGACCCCAATGCGGTTTTCTTCGTCCGGCGGCTGGCGCAGGCTGGTCACTGAGCTTCCCCGGCGTCTGCGGCTGGCAGGCCTGTCCCCAGGGGCTACCGATGTTGCAGCCGCCGCCGCCGCAGCAGAGGCAGAGGCAGAAGCAGGCCTCTCGTACTCGACGTAGTGGAAAGACGTGTTGGAGGGGAAAAAGGCCGAATAGGGGAAGATGAACGATATGTAGGAGAGCAGTTCCTTCCACCAGGGGCCCGGGATGACCACAACCTTTGCATTCATGCCCCTGATGCCCCGGTTGGTGACTCCCAGCCAGCGCCGCGGCCACCGCATGCCTCGCTCCCACTGGCCGGTGCCCCAGATGAGGATGGCCGTGACCACGCCGCCGGTGAGGGCGACTTTCTCGCCGGTCTCGACGACCCAGTAGACGGAGCCGCCGAGCCCTCTGCCGTCCTCGCGCGGCCGGAAGAAGAGGGCATAGGTGAAGTAGACGATCCAGAGGGCCAGCAGCAGCAGGAAGAAGGTGTTCTGGCGGCGCCGGGCCCGCAGTGCGAGGTACTGTGCGCGCAGGGCGGACTCGACGATGAGCAGGTTCAGGTATATCTGCGGCGGCGAGGAGGGCAGCGCAGACAGCGGATCAGGCGCAGCGGCCGTCACAGACGACTCCTGCGAGCTCGAGGACGAGAGCGATGGCGATGGCGATGGCGATGGCGATGGCGGAGGCAGGCTGCCTGTGTCTGGCCGGTGGACCTGGATCTCGGGCGGCGGCGCGCCTTTGACGATCTGGTCGAGCTGCGACATGTCTCTAGCACTCCTCCGCGGTCATTCTAGCCGTGCGAGAACGCTGGGCCGGTCGTTTGTAGCGGTCGATGTTGTCTTGCTGGCCGTCTTTTTGCTGTGGACGAGCCGGCGATGTTGAGTTGCGGCGATGGAGCTAACTATTGGCGATATCAACTTGGACTCACACTCTGCATCTTCTACTCTTCATCCGCATCTTCACCTTCACCTTCACCTGCTCTACAGCTTCGTCTACTCGTCTTCTGCTATGTCGGTCCGCTGCACTGCCTCCTCGCCGTCCATCCTCGCCCGCCACGAAACGCCCTGACTTGCTGGCCTTTTCCGTCCGACGGCCAAACTCCGGCTTAACTCCCCCGGACGAAGCATCGCCCTCGCATCGACAGACAGATAGACAGTTATATATCCAGTCAAGAGTCAAGAGTCAAGAGTCAAAGAGTCAAGAAGAGTGACAGGCTCGTCTCTGTCGCTCGGCCGTCCGCAGTCAAGCTGTCTTCAAGCAGAATCCCAGCGCTGCCTCTCATCGCCGCCGCCCGCTCGCCGCGTCCCCCGCTGCTCCTTCACCACCACCAGCCAGCACCAGCAGCAACAGCAGCAGCAACAGCTTCACCAGCTTCACCAGCTTCACCTTCGATAGTAACGTCCCTGCCGGCTTCTACGCTGAGTGCGCCTCGCTCGCAGGCGCCCTTCGACTCCTCGGCCGCCCCGTCGCGCCCAGACGGCTGGTCGGACGCTGCGATGGCCTCTACCCAGGCAGCATCCACGGCCTCGCCCGCAGCAGAACAGCCGGCGCAGGCAAAGCAGCCGTCGAGCTTCTTCCCGCTAGGCTACAAGGAGGGATTCAGTCAATGGGTTCGTCTATATCTTTTGACCTAGTTGTTGAGTGTCTCGTTGCTAACGTGGTCAGTGGACTTGCATGCCCGCAGCCACCGCTGAGCACAGCGTCCTCTCCTTCATCCCTTACCTGCAGCAGGTGCCAACGCACAAGCAGACCGGCAAGGAGCCGTCAGTCCCCGATGGCCAGGCTGACAGTCTGACGGCTGCGGACACCTCCCAGGAGGCCCAGGTGTCTGCCCACTCGATTGACGACCCGTACGGCCCCCGCAGATGGCGGTCGAGCATGGTGCAGCTCAGCGGCGACAATCGGGCCCTGAACGAGTTCTCCGTCGAGCGCGTGGGTGAGAAGGTCGAGAACAACCTCGTCGTCCTGCACGGGTACGGAGCCGGGCTCGGTTTCTTCTACAAGAACTTCGAGAGCCTCAGTCGTGCCAAAGGATGGCAGCTCTACGCCCTCGACCTGCTCGGCATGGGACGCAGCACCCGCCCGCCCTTCAAGATCCATGCCAAAGAGCGAGACCAGGCCGTCGCCGAGGCCGAAGACTGGTTCATCGACGCCCTGGAGGAATGGCGTGTCAAGCGAAAGATTGAACGCTTCACCTTGATGGGTCACAGCCTGGGAGGATACATGGCTGTTGCCTACGCCCTCAAGTACCCCGGCCGTCTCAACAAGCTCATCCTCGCCTCCCCCGTGGGCATACCAAAGGATCCCCGAGCAGTCGACACAGAGCTTACCGAGCCGTCCGAGTCGACTTTGTCCGCCGAGTTCACAGAGAGCCAGGACGCAACCACCGGCAACGCCAATAATAATAATAACAGTGGCCTCGCAGGCAGGACTCCTCCCCTCCTGCGGCCTCTGCCCAAATGGCTGACCTATCTCTGGGACTCAAACGTCTCCCCTTTCTCCTTTGTTCGCTGGTCTGGCCCCCTTGGCCCTCGCCTTGTATCCGGCTGGACGTCTCGACGCTTCTCCCATCTGCCTCAGCCGGAATCAAAGGCCCTGCATGACTATGCATACTCCATCTTCAGAATGCGTGGCAGTGGCGAGTATGCCCTCGCATACATCCTCGCTCCCGGTGCATACGCCCGCAAACCCCTCATCAATCGAATCCACGGCGTGGGCCGCCAACTCATCAGAGAACCCGTCCCTTCATCCGCATCCCAGACCAGTCTCTCCTCTGCAGATTCGTCCGCCAGCCCACAGCCATCGTCGTCCACGACCTCGGCCACTGCTGCTTCGACACCGAACCTGGGTACGCAGCCTGTCCCGCGCAAGGAGAACGGTATCCCCGTGGTCCTGATGTATGGTGACCACGATTGGATGGACGTCGAGGGTGGCCACGCAGCGAAGAAGAAGATCGACGAGGAGAGAGAGAGGATTCTCAAAGATGCCACGCCCGAAGAAAGGCTTGCAGACCGTGGTTCGGCCAAGGTTGTCGTTATCAAAAAGGCCGGCCACCATATCTATCTAGACGGGTGGGAGGAGTTCAATAAGGTGATCCTGGATGAAATGGAGGGCATCTCTAATGAAGGATGAACATGATGGTTATAGACTAGAGGAGTTTGAGTGGTCTTTTTCTTTTATTATTCCCTTGTTTCTTTTGCTTTTCTTGATTGTTTCTCTTTGTTGCCGTCAACTGTTCTGTTGGATATATCTTGCCTGCGCCGTCCCTGGAGGTTGATTTGCATAACGTCACCACATATTAATCGATAGACTGTGGTAAAAATAAATAGCATTGGACAGTAGCCTTGAGATAGATATAGACTGTCTGCTCCGTATATTATACAAATTTTGAACATACCAGATGGACTTCCCTGTAGTCGGCTATTTAGCGGTTGTAGTCGACTGGCCAAGCTGGTTTTTCTTGCTGCTAAACAACGTCAACGTCAACATCAAACGTCAAGTCAAGAGACAAACACCCTCCAAGGTAAAAGAACGTATTGATATATACCCCCCTAGAACGATGCAGTCCGAGCAGTCCATGGCCTCAGACCCGTTCCCATGGGACATCGGTGTCTACGATGCTCACTGCCATCCAACGGACACGATGTCTGCCATCGACGATATCAAAGACATGAAAGCAGCCACCCTGACGATCATGGCAACGCGTGAGCAGGACCAGGAGCTCGTTTCCCAGGTAGCACTACAATATAAAGACTCCAGCAAGAACAATCATCAGGCCGGTGAGACTTGTGGTAACCGTATCATCCCTTGCTTCGGGTGGCATCCGTGGTTCTCGCACCAGATATTCGATGATACAAAGGATGCTCAGCCCAGGGACAGCGAATACCTGGCATCAATAAAGATAGAGCATTACAAGAGCGTATTAACACCTTCAATCGAGGATGAAGAGCTCCTAAATGAACTGCCTGTCCCATTCTCCCTGCTGGAATTGATATCAAACACAAAGGAAAGACTACAGAGACACCCGCACGCCCTCGTCGGCGAGATCGGACTAGACAAGTCCTTTCGAATACCAAAGGCATGGAGTTCAGCTACAGGTAATAAAGACGAAAGCACGCCTTCGTCTGATCCCTCAATAACACCTGGCACCAGAGGGGGAAGAGGGCTCTCGCCATACCGTGTCAGAATGGAACACCAGCGAGCCATACTCAAGGCTCAGCTACGGTTGGCAGGGGAGCTGCAACGGCCTGTCTCCTTACATAGCGTCCAGGCACATGGAGCCACTATCGAAGTACTCCAGGAACTCTGGGCCGGATATGAGAAGAAAGTCATATCCAATCGGCAGCGCAAGAGAAGTTCTAGCGCACCCCGAGCCCATGAGGGCGAAGATATCTCTTTATCGACGTCAGATGAAGGGAGTCCATCGAGGAAGTTGCAGAATAAACCCATGCCCTTTCCGCCTAGAGTATGCATGCATTCCTACTCAGGTCCGGTAGATCCGTTATCCCAGTTCTTCCATCCAAAGGTTCCCCTAGACGTATACTTTTCTTTCTCGGCAGTGATCAACTTCCCCAACGGCTCTAATGCAAAGTCTTCAAGTGTGATTAGCGCCCTGCCGGAGGATAGGATATTGATTGAAAGCGATGTACATTGTGCTGGGCAGCAGATGGATGATCTGCTGGAACAGATAGTCCGACAAGTGTGCGATGTACGTGGTTGGCCGTTGGAAAAGGGGACACGAATACTTGCTGAAAACTGGAAAAGATTTGTATTCGGATGAAGACGATAACTAACATGGCATCACTCATATTCTTATGCTGGCATTCTCGGGCTTTAGATAGCGAGTAGGAATAGTAAAGTAGTTATACGGCTAATTTAATTTTCAGTATAAGCTCCTTCTCTGCCGTTCAGCTGTGCTTCAAGTACAGCTGCTGTCCCACCCATGACAGCTTTGATAGCTTCAGGGAGCTTCGTGGCCAGCTCTTCTACACTTCCAGCCCTACCTGCCCACAATTTCCCTCCTGCAGCAGCCTTAGCAATACCAGCGTAGTCCGGCGTGGGAGCAAAGGATATATTCAATTCTTCATTCGTCACTCGAGACCCTTCTCCGTTAGGGTGAATTAGGTTAAGGCTGTTTCGAGGTGCATTCCAGCCTCTGTTGTTCAACACAATGGTCAACACCGGTATTTCATATCGACGACTAATCCAGTAGACAGAGCTTGGGACGCTAAACAGATAAGTACCGTCGCCAACAATTTGGCAAACGAACTTCCCTTGACCCTTGCCGCCGTCCCTGTCGTCGGTAGCTAGTTTGATACCCAACGCGGCGCCACCAGACCATCCTAGGCCACCACCTCCACTGTTAATCCAGGAGCCCGGCAAGGTCGCTCGCAAGTGTTCTGACACCACGCCAGCATTGGAAACAGCTTCAATGCACCATATCGTATCTTTGGGACATGCCTGGCGGGCCTGTGATACCACATATGGTATGTTCAGGGGCGCATCGACTCCAGATGGTGTAGCTGCTATTTCTGCAAGTAACTGCATCCGGGCTTTGTGGATATCTTCCACCCGAGCGCGACGAGACTGGTATTCCGGTGATTTTAGAGTCTGCATGAATTCTGCTGTGCCCGAGATATGTCGGTGCAGTTGTCCAAAGGCAATGGCTGAATCTGCGCGATAAGTTGCTTGAGAATGGATGTAAAACAGAGGCATCTGGTTCTTCAACGGATCCACATCGATATGGTATATAGATGCATCAGGGGCGGGCCTCGACTGCGTAGGAATCCAGGGGACGTCGCAGTCGACCACTAGTATGACATCGGCGGAAGCGACTGCGTCTTTGGCATCTCTCACGCCCACGTAGGAAACATGGTCGGCTGGGAAGCACATTTCGCACTTGGCGGTATCAAGCACGCGAAGTCCCTTTATCAACTCTGCCAACTTTACTAGCTCAGTGATGCCTTTCTCATCACGGCCGGTATACCCTACTATCACAAGCGGGTTTTTGGCATTGACCAGGCGTTTTGATAGGTTCTCCACTGCATCCTGGGGTAAAGCAGAGGACAGGATTGGAGACCATTGTTTTTGGTCTAGGGAATATGGTTCGATTTCTTCCTCCAGCACCTCTCTTCCTGCAACCATGTATACTGGACCTCTAGGTGCACTGGTAGCAAACTGAAGTGCCCTGTTCACCATCTGCTTGACATTTTTCCCAGTTTTCAATTCACCACTGTACCGACAATACTGAGCCACTATCTGTTTCTGGTCAGGAACATCTTGCAGCCAGTGTATAAACTCCGATCTTGACCCCCGAAGCTCTCCTTCCTGAGTGAAAGGAGACAAGCCAGCAAAGATAAAAACAGGCGTACGGCCAACAGAGGCATTGTGAACTGCAGGCCCCAGTCCCTGAGTGCCAACGTCAACGTGGATTAGCACACACTGGGGAGTCCCGCTAACACGCGCATAGCCATCAGCCATTGACATTGCTACCATCTGTGGTTTTACATCGTATCAGTTAGCGACGGCCTTATACAATATAAGTTCAGGTGGCAGCACTGCTGAGTCTCACCTCATGGGGGCATGTAATGATCTTCGGAAATCGGTCCTTACGTTCCCTCTGTCCCTTGACAATGGCCTCCATTATGGCTGGATGGTCGGATCCAAGGTTTGCAAACACATATCGAACTCCGGCCTGATAGATTTAAACATTAATATCACTGTCAAATAGAATGAACTGATTTTTCCATGATAAGTTGCATATATTGCGGGGCGATTTACATCCCACAGCGCCTCAAGCATCGCGTATGACGTTGTGTATGCCCTATTGAAGCCCGTCTGTAAGAAAGATATTCCGTATCAATGGATATAGATGTGTATATAGTTATTCCTTACATCTCTGCTTTGTAAATACACAAAACTAGCTGTAGGGGATATTAGCCGAAGAGTGGCTCGTGGAATGTTGGATGATATTCGAGTGTTTGGGTTATATATCAATGAAAATAAACGATTTAAGAGTTTTCAAGCCGCTCCTTTATCAAATAACGGGTTAGTCATGGACACATTAACCGTGACTGGGGAGTGAATGCTTGAATAACAGAGATAGTGGTCAGTTAAATATGTACCCCGGCTAGGGGGATGATGTGCATAGTTGACCGGAGTTAACTGGAGTTTACGCAAATAACTGAGCTGGATCACTCCACTTCCAAGAGAAAGCCGAGGGTAAGACGGTTAAGCACCTATGAGGCGCCTACGAGGCAACGACAGTCTCTTCGTATCCATACTTGATATCGAGGTTGCGTTGACCCAAGGATGATTAAACTCTGTAGGGCGTCTATACGTCTGGGGTCATACGCCTTATGCTGCACGGTTCGTCCCCCGGGCACCAGGGATCTGCAGGAAGGATCCGAGAAGAGCGGCGTTAAGAAGCTCGAGGAGGATCTAACGCAGGAAGAGGAAGCAAAGAAGACGCCAGGTGAGCAGGTTTTGATATCCATACGAGTCGAGAGAGGCAAAGCTGTTCATTATCACCCAATAGGCATGCCAGCAAGACAAATGATGCATTAGATGCCCAATCGCCAAACGTCATGAAACCAACAAAGAAGCAATGAAAAAGTACATTCATGGTCAAATAGATTAGACAGTAGCTAATAGTGTATTTGTTTTATTCTTGTTCGCTCAACAAAGAAGTACCGCTTCACTTGGTTGCTAGGATATTATAGGCAGGAGATTAGAGTGAATACCCGTGTTACATGATTGAAAACAAACCGTCACCCAAAAAAGGAAAAAGATAAATCAGACAACAAATATACATCAAGAAAGACAAGAGGAGAGACAAGAGAGGGTGCAAAGAGGTTCTGAGGGGGTCGGAAGGGCAAAAACACATCTGAGATGGACATCCGGCTTCGTAAATACTGAGATCCGCGTATCAAGACTAGAGGGGCCGAAAATGTGATGCGGATGGAAGAGTGTGTCGTTGTATTAAATTTGTAAGTATTTGCAGCTACTCCCAGCCAGCAAGGATTAAAATGAAATAAGTAAAAGGGGAAGATTGGATGTGGAACAAGAGGTAAGCGCAATGCAATCACATGTTGGCGAGTTCATTATCAATTTGTCGGTCGAGGAAGGCCTTCTTTTCTCCAGACAACGTCGTTTGTAGTCGTTGTTCAACAAGAGCACGGACTAAGTAAACGTGTTAGTAACAATTTTCATCTGGGGAGTCATATATACATGCCTTGTTTCTTCGTGACAGTGTCGAGGTCTACTTCTCCAAGGCATGCCTGGATAGCAGCAGTGATAGTCGCTTCGTCAGGGCCTTGTCCGGGAGGGTTCCTGAAGTCTACTAGTGTGCTGGCCGGTCGAGGCATGGAGCTTCGCATGCTATGGAGTTGGGATGGGGCAAAATTGTCGGAGCCCGGTACACCAAAACCACTGAGACGGCTGGCATTCGTTGGATTGTCTTGGTAATGGCTCAAGTTGCTAACTGACAGATGTTGCGAGGCGCGGTTACCCATTTGAGGCTGATCAGTATAGTGAGTAAAGTGCGACATGTGGGAATTCCTGTTTCCTGGAAGATTGCTGTAGGGGTTTGGAGAGTGGGGGAGGACATAGGGAGTTTGTTGGACACCCTGGGTAGGGAAACCAGTCAGAATTGTCGAAGCTGGCTTCACGGATGAGTACATTGATTGCATATCATCCATCTCAACGGCAGCCTCGTCATTGTAACCAGGGAACCCGGCCTTCTCTTGAGCGTTGGGATTGCCGCGGCGGCCAGGGAGATTGTGGATAAGGGCGTAGGTGTCCCATCTCTGGAGAGGAATGCTCTTAGGGTCAAATGGTTCATCTTCAACAGCAATGACTTTCCTATCTCCTTTTTCTCCAATGACAATACGAGTGTTACCCCAGGTGAAGTTGTCTTGGTTCCAGAAGGAGTATAGAGGCAGAATGAAACTGTAGAAGGGGAATGCCATCAAATAGATGATCATCCAACCGATGTGCTGCCATTGGCGTTTTATAATGAAGATGATGGCCTGCAGACCGTACACCGCAGCAATCAAAATGATAGAGAATAATGGGAATTGTCCTTTATGGGCTGCGACGAGGTAGATGAGGTATCCAAGGTAGACGGTTGTGGCAGGGAGAATGAGAGTTCCAAACAAGTCAATGAACACGACGAATCTCATACTGAAGCAGCAGAAGCCACACAGGTCCTTGAGGAGCATAAGCTCAGCCAAGTTGTGGATAGTAGAGTTAATCCAACGACGTCTCTGGGACATGAGAACTTGCCATGTTTCTGGAGCAGCTGTGCTGGCATATGCATCTGGAATGAACTTGTAAGACATGTGAGGGAAGTGTTTGGTCATAAGAGTGGTGAGGAATCGATCTTCTCCAAGGGACAACAGGTTCTTCTGATGTAGGGTATCCACACGGACATCAGCATATTCGCTAATGACCTTTTCAGAGATGATCAATGGTCGGCCCTTATCCTGGGTACGAAGTCGGTACATAGAGAAACTGGTATAGGGTTAGCATATTAACTTAACACGATCGCCAGCCGAAGAATGCTTACCATCCAGGAAGACAGGTAACGCTGCCAAAAAGAGACTCGAAGGATTTAGCCAAGTGATGAGAAATGTAGTATTCGTAGACTTGAATCATAGTCCACCAACTTCGCTCCTCATTCTGCAAACTAGTTTCACCACAAATACCTGCAATCTTCGCATCGTTTGCACAACTTGCAACCAAGCGGTTAAGAGAGTCTTCTCTGACACTTGTATCAGCATCAACCATGAGAAGATATTCGTAAAGCTCAGGATCTACACCAATGACGTTGTTGATCTGATGGAACATTTCCAGCTCAAGAGGCGACATATGGGCACGGTGATGTACGCGGTTAAGGAATCGAAGAAGCATGACCTGAGAATCACGTTTTCCACGGTTTCCAGGTTTGCTCTTGTTCTGTTCAGACTCCTTGCCGACTTTAACAACGACAATATAGGGAACCACGTTGCCTTCATACTCGTATAATCCAGAATATACCTTTCCATAGTTGAGCTGGTCACTTCCTTCACCCACAGATTTGAATGGGAGGGCTGGAGGGTCAATCTTGGGGTCAACGCCGAGAATATCAAGCACAATCTTGGGAGTGGGTCTGTCGTTACCACCACCAACGATCATGCCGTCACAAACAACAAAGATGAGCTTTCGCTTGTTATCATATTGTAGGGCAGTGAGAGAGTCAATGGCTTTGCGGAGCTGGTCCTCGCCCTCAGTATAGGCGGGAACTTGGCAGATAACGAATTTATCTTGCATGGCAGGTCGCCGCTTAGTACCAAGTTGCAAGGCAGCCAAGAATTTAATCAGAATGACAGCACAGAGAATAACGGTAAAGGCCAAGAGGATGTAGTTGTTCGCCTGGCATCGTGGAGTATCACGGAAGTCCGTCTTGCCAACATAGAACTGGTTGGTCAAACAGTTCATACTGTTCTTGAAATCGGTGGTATCACCCCATAGGCTGGTGATATCAGTTCCGGCTTCTTTCTTGAACAGGTCCGTGACGACAGATGGCAAGAAATCATAGCCAGGGTAACCGTCCATCTTATCAATACTGTTGAAGTAATCAGTCAAGTCATATACCTTCTCATTGATGATGACCCATTTCCGGTCAAACAGTTTTGCTTGCTCCGTGACGTTCTTCCTCGACCAAACGAGATCACCTTTGTAATATTCCTTGATCGCAGGCTGGAAGACGCGCGGGTACCAGTCATCTTCATGGGTCTTTACAGTTGGATCAGTGACAACAGTCTTTCCAGATTTGTGAATGGCAATGCTGTTCTGAATAGTATCAGTATTGTTGGGAATGAGTTGAATTTCCGGCTTGATACCGAAACCAGGGCAGGCAAGCGGCAGGGGAACAGGGAAATAAGCATCCATATTTTGGCCAGCGAAGGGCTGCATAGACTCCCTGTCTGTTGGGTATTTTCGACCTTGTGTATGGGGAGTTTTGGCGAATTTGCTGATATCATAGACATGTCCTCGAATACTGACAAAGAAGTCGTCCTCTCCTTGATGGTAAGAAACTTCCCTGCTGTCCCAGACCTTATCTTTGCCTGGGCAAATCAGGTTTCCGAATTCAACGATGTAGAAGACAATGATACAGTTCAGAAGTACAATCAAAGCAACAAGAACAACCTTTTCTCTCCAGGCCATACGGACATCTGGTCTCTTCATACGTCCAACATAACGGAGGAGAGGGGATGGGATCCAAAATGTAAGAGCCCATACAAAACTAATCCACACCCGACGGCCGAAGGTGATGGATTCATGTTCAATGCTCTTTGGTTCCGCAAATTCAGGGTCGACCTGGCCGACATATCGACCAAGGGTCTCGTCATAGTAAGTGTCATCATATTTGATATCATCTCCCTTGGATCCGAGACCATAATCTCCAATGTTTCTGGAGGCTCGGTTCATGGTGGGTGCTACTGATTGGGCAACACCTGGGCTGGTGGCTACCGTACCAGCAATTGTTCCGGGACCTTGCCTGTTGACAAGTTGCTCATGGCTGTCTTGGATACTCATGCCATCAGCAGTGAAAAAACCGCTCTGGTTCATGCCGGGATTCATGCCCTGTGGGCTAGGTGTGTAGCCAGGGTCGAAGTTGCTGGTCATCCCTGGATTGAATGGATTCGAAGCAGCCTGCTGTTGAGGAATGAGGTCAAGCATAGATTCAGCTTCCCACCAGGCACTTTCTCTCATCCAGATGCGCTCCTTTCCAACAACGACATCCCCGTTGCTCCAACCTCGCTCAAGGACCCAGTTCTCAACGCCGTCTTTTCCTTCCTGGCAGCCGAGAGGTGCATATCTGACGACAAATTCTTCAACATCAAAATCTGCGGTGAAATCTAGACGCTTGTTGCGGCGGTTTGCCATTTCTGGAAGTCTCCAGGCACGAAGCTGGCGGGAGACAGTCCCAGCAGACCAGGCAGACGTGGCAGATGGTAGTGAAGCAAGGGCGGCTGGAAGATCATCTGTCGGGTGGATAGAGAGATGATACCAAACTCTGCTGCTCCCAAGGGTGTTAACTAGATCGAAGCGCTTGGTTTGGCCAAATCTGACCCCTTGTCCTGGAACAGGGTACAGAAGCTGACGTATGAAACAGCCAGGCTCAACTTCGACTCCAATTTTCTCCAAGACTCCGTCAACCTTGTCGTTGAAGTAGTCTCTCTCCCGAGCGGCAGCGTTATCGGTCATTCCCAAGTGTACTCCTACCTCTGCCTTCGCGGCATTCATTTCACTAAGAACTGAATGGCCTGGGCTGATAACTTCAACACCATCCTCCTTGATCTCAGCGTTGATGCCGACGGTGTCATCGAATGCACCTCTCAGGGCAACTGCCTTTCCAAGTGCCGGGTCTGGGATTTCCACGACGGTAAGACCCACTGTATCAGCGGACTCGTCCTGGCGTCCTCCGTCACTAGAGCCGTTTTCATGGACGGAGACGATTTCGTTATGGATGGCCTCGTTTGCCTTGGCTATGATCCAATCGAGCAAGGCATCGTAAATGCCGGCCATCAAGGCTTCCCGCTCATCTGTGTTGAAACTCTTAAGTAGGATGAGCGGATCAATGTTCAAGAGGCCTCCAACATCCTCACAAACATCCTCGATCTCCTCCTGGTCGACCAATAGGCCCATGGCATTTCCCAACTTAAGTAAGGCAGCCAAGACAGAGAGGAGATTCCTCTGAGCAGCACCCTTGATTCCAATCGCCTTCAAGCAGTTGCGGAAGTCCTCTGTGGGAATAGGGTTAGCATAGATGTATTTAATTAAAACAACGAAAGCCTCACTTTTATCAAATGCAACAATTATAAGGGTCCGTGATACCAAGGAACTCTCGTTCAGCTGGAGTAGAAGATGAGGTAATGAGGTAGTAGAAGACATCGAATGCCCGGTAGCCAGCTTCAGCAGGGACGTTGAAGAGGCCATGGGAAGTGTTGATTCCGGAATTAGACACTGAGAGCTGTACTTCAGTGACACGACCGGTCAAGGTGAAGGTGTAGGAGACTGCAAAGGCGGAGTACTGAAGGGCTGTGGGGTTGTATGGGGTAACCTGTGAGACGAACGGACGGATGGCAGATATGGCGGTGTACGCAATCTCGGGCGTAGAGAGAGGTAGAGATCCTAACATGGGAAAGAGTAGAGAAGGAGAAGACTGATGCGAGGTGCTATCATTTCGTCAGCTCCACGGAAACGTAAAACCGATGTCTGGAGAAACATACCATAGAACGATGCATCCATCTTCGGCTCTTCGTCGAGCATGCTCCCACGCCCTCCTGGCCAGGCTCGGGTCCAGCGTCCCGCCAACCTCCCCGTTAGGCCCGGGAGTCGTGGTGGTGAGCCATGTGTTGACGACCAGGCTGGTGCCGGCTTCAAGTTGGTATCCCAGCGCCGAGGCATATGAAGTATGAAGAGCATTCAACAGCGTCGTCGTCGAAACCTGGGTAGTCTGCTGGGCAGCCGATCGAGGGTCCTGCGAGACCGACGAGAGAGCCGAGTAGATGGACATTCGGTTCGCCATGACTGCGGAACCCGCGGTGGTCGAGTCAATGGGTGTTGGTATGTCCTAATTGAGACAGCAACGCCGGTCTCCTTACGCCCCTAGACCTGTGACATCCAAACGAGAGATGGATATATTTCTGTCGATACAGCCGTGAAAACGCTCTGCCGGCTCGGTCTGAGAGCACGAAATAGACGTGTCTACGGCTCGAGCTGACGATATCGATATCCTTGTGTCTCCTTTCTGGCTGCTGGCGAGTTTCGTCCCGGCAGCGAGCTTGTTGACTATCAATCACCGCGAGCCGCACGAGACAGCATAAGAAAACGACAGCAGAGCAAAGAAAACAAACAGCAGCGAGCGAACGACGAAGAAACGATAGCGAGATAGCGCGAGAGCGAGAGAAGAGGAAGAGCTCAAGGACGAGGAAGGGAGAAAAATCAATGGCCAGCGTGAAGTGAAGAACAACGAAGAGGAAAAGTCGCAGTTGTTGTTTCACCTTCTCTTTTTCCTGGGCGGCGCGGTACGGCTGTCGTACGGTACGTAATATTACGCGACGGGACGGGGCCTCCTCTCATTACATAAACCTTTTTTTTTTTTTTAATTTTGGCTTTTAGGATTCCATTTTTTGCTGCTATTGTATTACATAATCAATAATATTATTGTGCCCAGCGCTGAAGCGACGTGAGGAATCCATGCAGCATGCGAGGATGTGGCGAGTCCCGATGCTGCTGCTGCTAGTGATGTTGCTGGGCGACGGGCTGTGTTCTCTGCAGGAGGTGGTTCACAACGACACTCTCTTGTGCGAGGGTTCTTGTCTTCTTGATGCAGCACAGCAGCGACGACGGCACAGAGATCGTACAGAGGTCGTGCTTGGGCCATTTTGATCGATGTCGATGCTGCCGCTGGTGATGACAATGATGATGTACAGATTGTGCCGCTAGCTACCAGCCAGAGACTGCAGATTATTTGATGCTCGAGATCAGCAAGCAGAATAATTAACTAGTTCGCATAGTCGTGGAGAGCCAGCGGTGGCAATCGGCGCCGTGCCGTCGTAGAATGAAAAAAGGACTGGGGAAAAAAAAAGGAGGGTGCCGGGAAGGGAGGGAGGATTCGTAGTCGTGATGTCTCAAATATAGACAGCTCAAACAATGTCTCACGCCTGACTCGCCCTCGGTTCCTCTCTCTTTGGCTGTGCGTGTCCGTTGGCCAACCTGGCACACCCGTCTTGAAGGGTCAGCCCTGCCATCGGCAGCCGCTCTCTCAAACTGCTCAGCCGTCTTGACGCCGGGGGAAGAGCCCACCAGCTCGTCCATCCCCATCTCGATGCACCCCCTTTCATCAAAGTGCCGACCCTTGGAGGCTGGCGGAAGAACGTAAGCCCGCCGAGGATCGTGCCGCTACTGTCTCGATCCACGAATCGACATCGAGGGATGTTCGAGCCTAATTGGCTACCTTGTGGAGTCGAGCCAGGACGTGGGGGACGAAGCTCCCAGGTCCGCCGTTCCAGTAAAATATTTTGAGCCCTGATGGGTCGCGAGGAAGAGACAGCAGTCAGCGAAGGAGGCTGATGCTGCTCTTCATATCTGGCAACAGGACCCAGTGTTAGCCTTCTGTCAGTCCACCTGCCACGCGAGGGCCTGCACTTGACCTTTTAGAGGGAGCCCAGCTGTCGCCATCCTGCCTGTTCCCTGGCCTGTGGCTCTTCCGGATCGTCTCCTGTTCCTGATCCTGTCTTCTGTCCCAACCCTTTTCCTTCTCTTAGCCCTTTCGTTCCACATGAAGTTCCATCCAGCAGAGGCGAGGTCGAGTTCGCGGAAGAAGCAAAGAGAGGCTGCTCGGGCCAGAAAAGGTTGTTGAAGTAACTTATTTTTAGCCTTTTCGAGGCGATGCTAGCGTAACTTTGGTAACTTTTGGGCTCCTTTTCCCCTAGCGTCCCGCTGTACTGTAATTACCGATACCGCATGTTTCACTTGCAGGTTCACGTCTTTCCCCTTTTGGGCGGCTGCAAGCAAAGAGAAGAAAAAAAAACTTCGCTTGTCAGACGCTTCGACTTTCGACTTCGACTTCGACTTCGACTTCTGACTCTCATCTGCGTTGTTGACAGGAGAAGAAGGACTCTCGCTTCTGCTGGCGTGCTGTGTCTTGTCCCTTGTTTTTCTTCTATTATCTAGTTGTGTTTTTGTTTCACTCGTTAACTATTTTTCCCGCTTGCGTTGGCTGCTCTGCTTGACTACGCAACGCCGGTTTCACTGCTCCCCGTCGTTTGCTGTAACACCACCACCACCGCCGCCGCCATCGCGACCTCAGCAAGGCCGCCGTCTGTCGTCCGTCTCTCGCTCTGCTCGCCATTGATCTCTGCTCTGGCCTGCTTGACCAGCTGCGTTCCCTTCGTTTGATCCTCGTTGCTGGGCCGTCTGGTGGGTGTGGTGAGAAACGGCAGTATAGCCAAGGTACATGTCGAGCAGACAACCACCGCTATACCACGACGACCACGACGACTGAACGACAATCCCACGGCCGCTCTCACTGCTCGATTCTACTCCAAACTACCCCCAGGAGACCACCACCTCTCGCTCTCTAGGCCGCTGAGCCAGTGACCCTCCAGCGGGGAGGCCAGATAGGACGAGCCATGGCTACACCAACCCATGCTCAGTCTTCCCTTCCTGCCCTACCGGCACATCTTCAGAATGATACTCACTTGGCTGCTCATCTGGCCAGCAGGTACGCATATTCGCTGTTCTCTGCGTCGTCTACGTTTTGACCAAATAATAGTCTAACTGACGTCTAGGTTCCATGTCTCCCTGCCAACCGCCCGTCTCTCCTCCCAGGCATTGATATGTCTAAATACATACACCTCGTCCACCAAGGGGCCGGATGGCGGCAAGGAAGGTAGTGCCATGGGAGAGGCCGAAGATCTCGCCAGACGTGCCTGGACCAGACTCGGCTCCCGTGGTGAGAACCAGGCCATCGTCTTCTTGTAAGTTTTTTAACTTTTCAGGTTATTAACATATTTTGCTAACTGATTAAAAAGGGGAGAGTCTGGATCTGGAAAAACTACTATTCGTTCACACCTTCTTTCCTCCATTCTGTCATTCTCATCGACCCCTCTATCGACAAAACTCTCTCTAGCGGCATTTGTGTTTGACACTCTCACTACTACCAAGTCCGTCACCACTCCTACCGCATCCAAGGCCGGTCTTTACTTCGAACTGCAATACGATGGATCATCCACCGTCAACCCAACCCTCATTGGCGGCAAAGTGCTCGATCATCGACTCGAGAGAAGCCGTATTGCATCTGTCCCTACGGGAGAACGTTCGTTCCATGTTCTCTACTATCTTTTAGCTGGTACCAGCGCTGCTGAGAGATCGCACCTGGGATTGGAAAGTCCCACGACTGTCAGGGGCGGCGCTGGTAACCGCACCTCTACCAGTGAAATGCACAAGAGATGGCGCTATCTCGGCCATCCAACCCAGATGAAGGTCGGAATCAATGACTCGGAAGGCTTCCAGCATTTCAAGACTGCTCTCCGCAAACTGGAGTTTCCTCGCAGTGATATTGCGGAAATCTGCCAGATCCTTGCCTGTATCCTCCACCTTGGACAGCTAGAATTCGCTACTGGCCAGTCTACTAGAACTGCTCCCGAGGAGAGTGGTGGATATTCTCACGAAGGTGGTGAGACTGTCACCATCGTCAAAAATAAAGATACCCTGGCCATCGTAGCTGCATTCCTGGGACTGAGCACCGACGACCTGGAACTTAGTCTCGGAAACAAAACAAAGACTATTCACCGCGAGAGAGTTACCGTTATGCTGGATCCTGCAGGGGCTCGAGCCAACGCTGACGAATTCGCGCGCACCCTTTATGCCCTCCTGGTTGCCTACGTTATTGAAAATATCAACCAGAGGGTCTGCGCCGCTGAGAGCGCTGTTGCCAACACTATTTCCATTGTTGACTTCCCAGGATTTGCCCAGACCTCTGCCACTGGCTCAACCCTAGACCAGCTATTGAACAATGCTGCTACCGAGTCTTTGTATCAGTACTGTCTACAGAACTTCTTCGAGCGCCAGGCCAACATGCTTGAGACTGAAGAAGTTAGTGTTCCTGCCACAAGCTACTTTGACAACTCTGATGCTGTTAGAGGCCTCCTTAAGCACGGAAACGGCCTCTTGTCCATCCTTGACGACCAGACCAAGCGAGGACGGACTGATATGCAAATGTTGGAAAGTATGAGAAAGAGATTTGACAACAAGAACCCTGCCATCTCTGTTAGCAGCTCAACCGCTATCTTGCCTGGCAGTAACTTCCCCACTCAGAACACTGCTGCTTCTTTCACCATCAGACACTTTGCCGGAGAAGTCGAGTACCCCGTCAAGGGCCTTATCGAAGAGAATGGAGATCTCGTCTCCGGAGACTTGCTTAACCTTATCAATAACACCAGAAGTGGCTTCGTCCGTGATCTATTCGGGCAAGAGGCCCTCCAGACTATTCACCATCCAAAAGAGAGGTCTGCCATCATGCAGGCGCAGGTCAGCTCAAAGCCATTGCGAATGCCGAGCATGGCCCGCCGCAAGACGAGCAGGGTGTCCAAGTTTGCCCCTAATGCTCCAAATTCAGAAAATGACGATACGGATGATGCCAGCAGTGGCAGACGGGGTGCATCAGGAAATCATAATAAGAAGGCAGGAGATGTCGGTCTCAAACAAGGAGCTGCTGCTCAATTCCTTGCCTCTCTTGACAACATTAACAAATCCCTTTCTGCCACAAACGTCAATCCGTACATCGTCTTCTGTCTCAAGCCCAATGATAGACGAATTGCCAATCAGTTCGACAGCAAATGTGTACGTACCCAAGTGCAGATGTTTGGCATTGCAGAAATCAGTCAACGCCTACGGAATGCCGATTTCTCCGTCTTCCTGCCCTTCGCCGAATTTTTGGGTCTCGCTGAAGAGGAGTCTGTCATTGTTGGAAGTGACAAGGAGAAATCTCAGCTTGTCATCGATGAGAAGCGTTGGCCTAACAACGAGGCCCGTGTTGGTAGCACCGGCGTGTTCTTGAGTGAACGATGCTGGGCCGAGGTTGCAAAGGTTGGGGAGAGAGTCGTGCCTGCATTCAATGGAAGCGGCACAGACGACGGCAGTGGAATGGGTAATAACGGATATGGCGACTCTAAGGTCCGACTTCTTACCCCAGCAGACAGCACTCCTGGCGCTTACATCTATGGTGACGAAACCAAGGGAGGATATTTCAACAGCCGGGATGTTGATGCCCGTTCAGATGCTGGTGCATCCGCGTTCCACTCAGGCGATATGTTCAAGAACTTGGAAACTCGTGAGCAGATGGCTGAAAAGGGAAATGAGAAGAAAATGGTTGAAGTGGAAGATGTCATTGTTTCCGGCAGCCGTAAACGATGGTTGTTCCTCGTCTACCTCCTCACTTGGTTTATTCCTGATTTCCTGATCAAATTCGTCGGTCGCATGAAACGAAAGGACATACGTATCGCCTGGCGTGAAAAGCTCGCTATCAACATGCTTATCTGGTTCACTTGCGGCTTCGCCATCTTCTTCGTCATTTTCTTCCCTGGTCTCATCTGTCCCCCACAACACGTCTTTTCAGCAGCCGAACTAACTACCCACAACGGCGATCCCGGTAAAGATGCATTCATTGCCATCCGTGGTGAGGTCTTCGACCTTGGAGAATATGCCAAATCCCACTATCCCAGCATTGTTCCCCGAAAGGATTTGCTCAAGTACGCTGGTACCGATGCAAGTGACCTGTTTCCGGTCCAGGTCTCCGCTCTCTGTGACGGTGTGGATGGAAAGATCGACGATGCAGTTCAACTTGATTACACTCCAATAAACCGTACCGGTTCAGCCTCCGTCATCAGCAAGACTGATACCAACGCTCAATATCATGACTTCCGTGCTTTCCTTACGGATTCCAGACCATGGTGGTATTTCAAACAGATGAAAATGCTCCGTCAAACCTACGCCAAAGGCCATATTGGTTTCACACAAAAACACCTGGCAGAAATGGCTGATCAATCGCAATACATCGCGTTAATCAACAACCGTGTATACGACGTCACTACCTACATTACCGGTGGTCGAGTAGTCAAATCCAAAGATGGACAGGCTGCTCCAAAGGATGTCAATGTTGACTTTATGCACCCCGATGTTATTAGCCTTTTCCAGCGCTTCCCAGGACAAGATATCACCAAACGATTCGAGGAGCTTAATATCGGCAGCGCAATGCGTAGAAGTATGAAAATTTGTCTCGACAACCTATACCTTGCAGGCGAACTCGACATTCGTACCTCTCCCAGATGCTTATTCTCCCAGTATTTCATTCTTGCTATCTCAGTCCTCTTGGCCACCATCATTGGATTCAAGTTCTTGGCAGCTCTGCAATTTGGAAGGAAGAATATCCCCGAGAATATTGACAAATTTATCATTTGCCAAGTTCCTGCATATACCGAAGATGAAGAATCGTTGCGCCGTGCCATCGACTCAATGGCTCGTATGAAGTACGATGATAAACGCAAGCTTCTCCTTGTCGTTTGCGATGGTATGATTATTGGACAAGGAAATGACCGTCCAACTCCTCGAATTGTTCTCGACATCTTTGGTGTTCCAGAGAATATTGATCCAGAGCCTCTCAGCTTTGAGAGTTTGGGAGAAGGAATGAGACAGCACAACATGGGTAAAGTCTACTCTGGTCTCTATGAGGTGCAAGGCCATATTGTTCCGTTCCTGGTTGTTGTCAAGGTTGGAAAGCCGTCTGAGGTATCAAAGCCTGGTAACCGTGGAAAGCGAGACTCGCAGATGGTTGTTATGCGCTTCTTAAACCGTGTTCACTATAATGCTCCTCTTAGCCCTCTCGAGCTCGAGATGCACCACCAGATCCGTAACATCATTGGAGTCAACCCAACCTTCTACGAGTTTATCCTGCAGGTCGATGCTGATACTACAGTCGCTCCTGATTCAGCAACTCGAATGGTGGCAGCATTCCTTCATGATACACGTGTCATTGCTCTCTGTGGAGAGACAGGTTTAAACAACGCTAAATCCTCAATGATTACCATGATTCAGGTCTATGAATACTACATCTCTCATAACCTTACGAAAGCTTTCGAGAGTTTGTTCGGTTCCGTTACCTGTTTGCCCGGTTGTTTCACCATGTATCGAATCAGAGCCGCTGATACTGGAAAGCCTCTTTTCGTCAGCAAGGAAGTCGTTGATGCCTATGGTGAAATTCGTGTCGATACCCTGCACATGAAGAACTTGCTTCACCTGGGTGAGGATCGTTACCTAACCACTCTCCTCCTCAAGCACCATTCCAAGTACAAGACCAAGTTCACTTTCAACGCGCACGCCTGGACCATTGCACCTGATACTTGGGCCGTCTTCATGTCTCAGCGTCGTAGATGGATCAATTCCACAGTACACAACCTGATTGAACTGATTCCGCTCCAGCAGCTCTGTGGTTTCTGCTGTTTCAGTATGCGATTCATCGTCTTCATTGATCTTCTCAGTACTATCATCCAGCCCGTTGCCGTTGCATATATTATTTATCTCATCGTTCTTGTTGCTCTGAACAGTGGAACTGTCCCATGGACAGCCCTTGTCCTTCTCGCAGCCATCTACGGTCTTCAGGGTATCATCTTCATTGTCCGCAGAAAGTGGGAGATGGTTGGCTGGATGATAATTTATGTTCTCGCCATGCCTGTGTTCTCCATGGGTCTCCCTCTATATGCTTTCTGGCACATGGATGATTTCAGTTGGGGTAACACCCGTATTGTCACTGGTGAGAAGGGACGTAAGATCGTCATATCTGACGAAGGCAAATTTGATCCAGCTTCCATCCCCAAGAAGAAGTGGGAAGAATACCAAGCTGAACTATGGGAAGCCCAGACCCACGCTGGTGCTGACGACCGATCCGAAGTCTCCGGCTACTCGTATGCCACCAAGACTCACTACGCTCCTGCTACTGAGTACGGATACTCCGCTTCCCGGCCCGTATCTCAAATAGACCTCAACAACCGCTACAGCTCCCGGCTTTCGATGTCTGCCACAGATCTACTTGGCCGAGGCTCAGATGTCGAGATGGTGGATCTCTCTGCTCTACCAAATGATGACTCCCTCCTCGCTGAGATCAGGGATATCCTCCGTACCGCAGACTTGATGACCGTGACGAAAAAGAGTGTGAAACTTGAGTTAGAACGTAGGTTCAACGTCAACCTAGATGCCAAACGGGCGTACATCAATTCAGGTATGTTGTCCACTCTACCTAAAATCTTTAACCAAATTTTGGCTTCCATGTACTAACTTTTGATTCCAATAGCCACCGAAGCAGTTCTTTCGGGCCAACTTTAAAAAAATGCGAATTAAATTCAAATATTTCAGTTGAAAAGTGAAAATCGGAGCAGGTGGTATTTTCTCTGTTCCATCTTTACGAGCAAAACATTGGCTTCATCTTGCAGATTTCAGACTTCTATACCTGTCTTATTTATTTCCCCTCTCCGACTCCATACGATATTTACTCCTAATAAACTTTTGAGCCGTACATCATTTTTATTCCCCTCTTGTTGTGTTTCTATTCTCTTTTTATCTATCTAGTGGTTCTGCCTTGTGTCTTGGTTTATGACAACATTCAGCTGGCCTTGGTCTTATTGTGTGTCTAACTATATGTGTTTTCCTACTTTCTTGTTATCTAGCCATCAATTATTGTGTGAGCCCCATGTTCATTATTATACGAGGGACCAGGAGCGGTGAGAACTAATTAGATAATGTTCGTTGATTTTGGGTATATAGCTACACCTATTGATAATTGATGCCTGAGTCTTGACTTTGTGCAGTACCCATGTATTTTCTATGTATCCTCGGGCTGCCACAGCAAGCCGCCCGCTTGTTAGAATGGCCTCGGTGTGTTGATAGCCAGTATTATTATAAACAGCCGCTAGTTGTATGCTCTTTGTAATACACCACGATACTCTAGGAAGACCAGCTGACTTTAAACCAAATGAGCAAGGGCATGAAGAAAGTTTAAGAAAACTGTCGACTGAATTATCATTTTCTCTATGCTCTGCGAGAGTTTATATTGGTGAAATGGCAGTACCAAGCCATGTTGTAGGTACACGTCCGTTATATATTTATAGACTTTCAACAATAAAGAATGAGAAGCCTAGCGAGTACACAGAAGAAAAATGATAATTCAGCCTTGTTTATTTTTTTCCCCCTTTTCTTGAGTTCGTTAGACTTGTATAGAGGGGTTCCTTGTTTATACTTGTGTAAAGCAGCAGCTGTGGTGTGTGGTATCATGTCATATAGATGATTTGCAGAAAGCAAACTTAGAGAGAAAGAAAACACAAGAGGTATAAAAGCTCGAGAAAGAGAACAAAGGTATAGGAAAAGAAACCCTTCGAAGAAACATGAAACGTGAACACCGAGAGGAAGCTATAAAGGATTGGTATAAGTAAGCGAGAGCGGGGTGGGGGTATCCGATGACACAAGGCAGAGAACAAGAAAGATGAGACATGGTATAATAAATGGAAACAGGAGAAGCTCCTACCAAAAAAGTAACTTCAGAAAAGAGGAATTCTCCCCACAATGTTAAGCAAGAAAGGAACAGTTGGATCGACCAAGAGTTCGATGAAAATATAGTGTCAGTGACTTTTCGAAAGAAGGGGAAAATGAAACTCATTCAACGGTGTTCTTTTTTGGTATCATTGATGACTGGGTTGGGTATAAATAGTTTTGCGGCCTTATTTTCCGTCGTTTCATGATATAAGAGATGGCTGCTTAGCGAGGGGGGCCGATAGGAGCAGAGTAGGAGTTGGAAGTGCTGGGTCGTCCGCTGTCGAAGGAAGCTCGTAAGTCGTGTCTGGGAGTCATGTCACCTCCAGACACTGATCCAGAACCCCCGGTTCCAAAGGGAAACTTATTGTCAAACCGAGTAGGCCAGCCGTTACCTGATGGAGTGAGTAGGTCTTCCTTCGCTAGATTGACGCCAGAGTCATTCCAAGGGTTACGGTAACCACTGTCTCGAGATTCCATGGAAACAAGAGAAGCTTTTGAGGCGTTGCTGGAAGCATGTTTGAACAGCGAGCCGGGCGATGAAGATTGATTTTTTCGACCGATGAGTGATGAGAAGGATGCGATAGAGCCCGGTTTTCGAAGACGTCCAAAGATGGAGCCACGGTCGGCAGAGTCATCAGAAGCAAAGCTGGCACGGATAGGTGAGTCTGCAACAAGCGGGGGAGGAGCATGATGAAGGAGCTTGGAATCAAAAAATGGAAGTGAGTCCTCAAAAGAATCGGACTTAGGCCGGGGGATGCTGCCCTTAACTGTCGTGGCGTCTAGACCGTGGGGAACAAGGCGAGAAATAAGGAAATCAACAGCATCTTTGATGCCACCAGCATTGTTACGAGTGAAGTTCATGTCAAGAGTATCTTCAGATAGAGGCTCTGCATTCTCCGGGTCAACAATGGCTTGGCGGGTTGCTGTTCCCATGGAAAGCTCGATTTCATATTGTTCTCGTAGATTTCGGCATATGACTTCCGAAAACTCGGGGGTAAGGAAGAATGCTCGAAGTTCGTCAGACACGCCGAACACCATAGAATGGCTTTCCGGGACCATTCCCTATAGAGTTAAGTTAGCGATGATTGGAAGAAAACGCCGAAATAGAGGAGTTGAGTAACATACCAAAAACGCATCAACGGCCTGTGGTACTTGATACTCTGGGCCAGAGATCGTAACTAGATCACTAGCCGTTTCTGTGCTTGGGAAGTCAATCTTGCAATTCCACTTCTTCTCCAGCTCATCGATATCCTTGATCCTTGCAACCAGATTACGATGGTAAAGACGGTTGACGACGACAGTCTCCGAGACGAACTCGGCATCCTAGGACTCGTTCAAAGTGGACATGAGCAAAATCATCCCTGAGCTGTTGTGTCTGTATGAGGACGACTCACGACTTTCTCAACCATGTCCATAATTTCCTGTTTGACTAGTTCGAGATTCTGTGCGTTCCTTGCTGGGGTACGACAGATAACGTTCTCGACTCGACCATCGTCGTCATCTTTTCCGGCGCCGCCTCTGTCCATAGCATTGGAAAATTTGACGAAGACAGAATATTTCTTCATGACACGCTGAATATGCTGGCCACCGATACCGATGATACGTTTGTGGTATTGGTCTGGAACATGGAAGGAAATAGATGCTGGCATCTCTTGCTCAACAAGGTGGAGACCCTGTTTAACGGCTTCGTAATCATTGGCACAAACATCAATATAGAAGTTGTATTCGTTGAAGCCGTCAAAGATAATTTGGACGTTTCCTACAACTATAAAACGTTAGTACGGAGGATCAGATGGTTTACAAGCACATATTTTTCCAATATAGGATAAGCTACTTACTTTGGCTCATGATTTTGTTAATCTTGCCATTCTTCTTTCCGCTCACGAACTCCTTGTGTTCATTGGCGAGCTCAATCTTGACTTTCATCTGGTGCGGGGACCTTTTGACGAAGGGAATTTGATGAATGACCATCATAGCAGCCTTGACAGAGTCGTCTGAGCCGTGGATGTGGAATGTTAAGTTGTCGAAAGTGACGTCCGCACCAGAATTTGCACAGATATCAGAAAGCATTGTTCTGACGTCTGCTGGAGATGGCGTTCGCATCTGTGGATTGTCTGCCATGAGCCACCATGTAGCACCATAAAATTGACCAGCCTAGAACTGTTAGTGGTACTCCATGCCAGCTGATATGGAGACAATAACTTACGACATTCATGAGCTCACGGATAGTACGCTCGACATGCAAGACATCTGTTCCCTGGACCCTAATGGAACTAGTCCCGCTACCTAGCTGAGGAAGTAGAACAAAACACCCATTTGCCTCCATGACCTTCTGGATCTTGTCCAAGCGTTCGAGGATGATGCTGTCAACCTTTTCAGGGTGAATGATGGCTTCTTTGACATAGATCTTGAGGACAGCTACTAGATCGCGCAGCTTTTGTTTAACGAGGTTGATATCCTCTTGGTTGTTTCCAGTGATATAAACTTCGTCCTCGCAGCGTCTCGTTGCACCCGGGGGCATGTAGCCGTATACACGGGGAAACGGGGGAGGGAAATAGATAGCAGTATTTGTGGTGGCTTCAATCATTTTAATGTTCTTGCGTGTACGGCCACAGACAAGGAAATGAGTACTCAATTCGAGTCTTACAGCATCAACGCGGCGTTTGAGCTGGACATTTAAGTCAGAAAAAGAAAGGACATTGGAACAAAAAAGGAAAGAGGGAGTGCAACGTACTATCTGATCGATCATGATCAAAACTCTTGACTTTGCATGTTCAGCACTCTCTGCGTCACTGTAGATGGCAATCCTGAAACGTCGGTTCAGCCCACCATCAGCAGAGTAGCCGTAAGATGAACTGAGGGCATTGTCAGCATCAACAATCTTGGGGCTGAGCAGGAAGATATCCGCTCCGGTGTAGCCCGCCAATATATCGATATGTTCGAGCACAATCTTGCGGATTGAATCGGTCTCCTTCTGCAAGAGGAGGTCGACGTCGACGTCAATTGTTAAACTTCGCTAGAGCAACGGTCAGTATTCTGCGTAGATCTAGAGTGCAACGGAATTACATACCAGGACGATTGGCGTTTCCCGGTATATTCTGGCCTTCATCTGCTGTACCATTTCTGCATCTCCTGAGATACAGACGTTGGTGACGAGTCCGTGATGACGTCTCTGCATGGGAGAGGCCATCTTGGGCTCGGACGAGGTGACGGTAGCCTCGATACGACCACCACTGCTCTCACTCATCTGACGGCACAACTTACGCAGCGAGTCAACATGCTGCGTGTGGACTGGCAGACGGTGGGTAGGGGTCCCCTCTGGTGTACCCTCCGGAAATGTCCATCGTTGGAAGGCGTTTGGAGACGAGTGAAGAATATCTGCAGGATCTGGGCCAGGCAAATTTGAGGAAAATGGTATATTAAAGGAGATATTAATCAGCTGCGGTTCAACGGAAGGAGCAGCAGACACGACCGTTCCGGCGGGGGTGCTGGCACCACTGGTAGGATTTGGAGAGGCCGATTGTGATGGCTGATGATGTGGCGGGAGCTGCTGCGATTGCTGCTGTTGCTGCTGTTGCTGTTGCTGCTGCTGAAGTGGGAGCTGCTGATGCTGCTGGGAGGGGTGTTGCTGGTGGTGCGGCTGCTGTGGAGGTGGCTGGCCGGGTCCCTGGGGACGGCGATACTGCGAGTTGGGAGCATCCTGCTGAGGCCGCGACATGCCAAAGTTGGGCGTCATACGTTCCCAGCCATGGCGAGCCTGGCCCGTGAAGTTGGAGATCTTATGCATCGTCTAGGGCGCCAGGGTGGAAGGGAGGTCGCGAGTCCTAACCAGAGGCATACACGGAGACGAACGGGGGTACGATCAACGACGACAACGAGTGCTAGAACACGACGAGAAAGAAACAAAGACGGAGAGACGAAGACAACGAGAAAGAGAA